TTTCACTGAGATTATACACTAAACATATACGATTCTTTTATGCATAACTGCTGTGCTACTTAAGACCATACTCAGATAATAACAATCCTGTCATGATTACAGGGGAATTAGTAATCATGAATAAGATCATAATCTTAGCACTTTAGAAGCATTAGATTTTGATGAAATTTTAATATTTTGATATACTGTAGGATACTCATGTACAGTACATCAAGTAATACTAATCAGTACTGAAAACGTCCAAAGAGATTATAGTGATCACCATAATAATGATTGGCAGGAAAGGCATGACACGTGCTCTCATTGTCCGATTAGCCACGTGGTTCCCTAGACATCCTTCAACGAATGCTACTGTTGGAGCGTCTCAGCAGGCGGAGCAGACGAGCGAGAGCACACCCCACGCCAGCACCACAAAATCGGCCTTGAAATTGTGACGCAATAGGTGGGATAAAGACAACGGTTTTGGCCGGGGTGGCGCTTACGAAGCTATGGTTCACATAGCTTAATATTAAACATTTGGGATAAAGTCTCAGTACAGTACTTAGGACTCAATGACTTAGAAGAGTCCATGGCAAAGTCTATGAGATTGTATGTTAAACAAATGAGAGAGCTAGGGATAAACAAGAACATATTTAGTTTCTATAGTGCTTTATTTATTGTAACACCATGAGCAACATTATGCCCATTTTATTTCTTCATGAACCTGAAGGCCTCCATGAAGCCAGTTTTGGTTTGCATACTAGCACACATGAGGGTGGGGGCCAGTTATTAAGGATTAACACTTTTAATTCTTATGTAACTTGCTGACAGAGATAAGCTTCTCATAACTAAATAATCTTTCATTTCATTTCTATTACTGTATACCTGTCTATATATTATCAGATACAAAGACACTCACTTATTCCAGTCAAAACATTTATTAAACTGACATGATTTTATTTCAGAACAGTGTTGGAATCTAAGTCAGCACCCCAACTTACATGACAGGGATCTTAAATTGAATAAAGCTCAAAGTGCTAAGCTCAGTTTGCAACCCCAATGGAAACAATCCTGTTAAACCAATCTATAGTACAGGCTGTTTTAGAGTGAGACAGAGGAACAAACCATAAGATCTCCATTGCTATGCAGTCCTGAAATGTTATCCTTGTGAAAGTGGGTCCCATATACATGACTGACCATATGAGACAGAGAGGATACAGCACACTCTATATTAACCCTACAGCATGTAAGGAGGCTACTTGGCTGGCATTGCATTCAACAGCTTTCACTTCCCACCTGTAGAGTTAAGTATCCATTTAAAGCTGAGTTGACTGGGAGTGCCACAGGATTGAACCAGTGACCCTTACAACAGAAGGTAAGTACAGTTCTGTATCCAACTGGCCTCTGCCCTCCTGTTGAGCCAGGAACTACAGTAACAACAAAAGAGGCAGCTACTCAGATTGTCTCTGAAAGACTGGGTCACTGAAACTCTCAGATGAAACATCTAACAAAGACACATCATTCCTGAGGTCTATATTTGTTGGCTGCACCCAAGTTGATAAACCTGAAATTCACCCCAATCATGAAATTCAAAGGCACCAAGTCCAAACAGCACTAATTCCAAAACTCATTAACTCACATGGGTTAAGAATTTTATCCTGCCACTGACCAGGGCTGTAATGCTAACCACTCAATTGTATCTTGTGACAAAACTCATTAACTCACATGGGTTAAGAATTTTATCCTGCCACTGACCAGGGCTGTAATGCGAACCACTCAATTGTATCTTGTGACAAAACTCATTAACTCACATGGGTTAAGAATTTTATCCTGCCACTGACCAGGGCTGTAATGCTAACCACTCAATTGTATCTTGTGATCAGACCCCATTCAGTAAAATGGAATACTGACATACAAACCACACCATTCCTGAAGTGATTGGAATAGAAATAAATTAAATGGTGAAACCAAACCCCAGTGAGTCAATGATGACCCATCAGACTTACCTAATACCTGCCCAAGCTTTGATAACACATGAACCATAGGAAAAAAGATCATCATAGTAAGAATAATGAAAAAGGCATCCACCCCCAATGAACCATCCTGTGGAGAAGATGATGTGAACACTGGAAGATAGTGTTTGCTGAGGAACACAAACAACTCCATCACCAGACAAACTCTGACAAGACACTGAAGATTAAGAGACTGGAAATAACCTTCACTTGGAGGACATTGATCCTTTACACAACAAAGCATCCACTCAAACACTAGGCTTACCAACTAATTACATAGAACTCCAACACCAAGAAGAATATTTCTCAAGTTGCCAATAAGGGTAAAGAACTTGATAAATCCTGAAACACCTGCAACTGCTGACCTGTAACCATTAATATGGATTCTTCCTCAAAGCTTATCTCCTATGTAATGGAGAAACTATATCAGAACAAGCATTTCTTTTCAAGCTAATATGCAAACTCGACCAAGAAGTGAACCAAGATGCCCAATGTTCCATCATCAAAGGAATGGAAATCCTATCTTGTGTACAAAGTATCTGTCCAAATCATTAATCTCTCCCTAAGGTTTTGGTAAATTAAAAACAAAGAAAAAATCTACTTTACTCCACAGCAGTAACCCAAGGACCCTGTAAATGGGATCATCCCATCCCAGTAAAGTACCGCTCTTAAGGGACAAACTCTTTCTTCAATTTACTTTTATAAATAAAAAAGTGCCTATCTCCATATCAGAGCTGCAAAGACCCATTTTCCCATTATTTCTCCACAGTGTTGTAGATAAGAAAGAGCAGATCACCCTAAGAAAAAAATAGTCAACTGAAATAAGCCTAACCAAATCTTTTCAGGTGTCACTCTTGATTTAACCAATGGAAACCTTGTCTAAGAACATTTTCTTCTTTTTGCTCATTAAATGGTATTCACCTTAGAGTACTGGATGCCTCTTTTCATATTTTATTGGGTTAATGCCAGATGATTTTATCCAGCACAGAGACCCCTCATACCCAAGGGGTTGATGGGCATTAGTGATGGCCCTAAAATATACAATGTATAAAACTCCTCAACATTGGCACAATATCCCTAATACCTAGCTAAGCCTCTCAGTGTCTCCTTCAACTCTCAGAGAAATACTGTACCTTTAACTGACAGTAAGACTTCCCTTGAGTGAAAGCTAGAAAATTCTGAAATGTTTGGAAGTAGGAACATGACATAAAGCTTTTAATTCAATAAAGGTCTAACATAGAACCTTCTTTAAGTCCCATCTTGTATGCTAAATGATGGTAACCTTTAACCCGTTTTAGTACATGGAAATGTCTTCCCTACAACTACTCAGCCATGAAAGATGCATTATGTGTACGTACTACTGTACTTAACATTCTAGACACATAATCCCACATCTCTAAATTCTTCTCATTAAAGGCCAGGCTATCAGGAGGCTTTCTTCCACCTTAACCCACACCCGCATGAAACCTTGAAATGTCCAAGTCCTTTAAAATCAATCATTCTACCACACCACTCACTTTAAGATTCTCATCTTCTGTTGTCAAATTCCACCCTGTTCCCTGCCCCTTTTCTCCTTAAGGATAACTAGATAAAGGACCAAGTTTAATTTTAAATGAAATCTGCACAATAGCAGATGACTATATGACAAGCCACTTTCACTCTCAGCCACAAGTACCTGCAGTAAGTAAAAGTACCCTGTCGTTTTCAGTCAGTGTTGTAGGTTGGTCCTGAGACTCATTAATATACAAAGCTCAACATGGGATGAACCCTTAGTCCTTGCAGAGGCATTCACACACCTAACATAATTCTTCCTTCTTGTTGTGAGTAGTGTGGACATTCAGAGTTAAGCATGTTGTGAAATATATTTAAACCCAATATGGTGATTTAATTCTTGTTATCAATTAAAGCATCCACCCCTCAGATCCCCCATAAGGAGTGTAGCTACATATTGCCTCATTGTGGTGCCGACAGGTAAATCAGGCTTATGTGAAATGAATCACAATGAAAATTATTAAACTACTCCCCAATGAATAAATAATCTAGTTCCAGAGAGTTGGCTTCTAAATGCCCAGAAGAATTTTAACATGCTCACCACCAAACACAAAGGAGCATGCAAAAACCCCAAAAGTACATATTACTGTACTGTATAGGCAAATCTGATGACTCCTAAGATAGTATATGAAGTGTAAATTTTCAGAGTAAAGCTTTCCTTACATTCCACACCAGATATTCCTCCCAGGGTACTTGAAATATCTTCTTATTTTCCTCAGGCCAGACCTCCTACAGCTGACATACAATTCTACTGTGAAAGATTAGCTGATCTATGCACTGAAAAAGAATATGGCCACAGCACCAAGATAAGCTGGTACTGTATGCCACACTGATTCACTAATTTGGGCCATCATGCAAAGTAAACTTTTTTGCAATACAATACAATAGAAGCATTGTACTGTATATACAAAACTAACGCCATAGATTGCATGGCGTCAGACAACAGTACTGTATGTAAACGCGTGAAAACAAACACAGTTATATGTATAGTCAGAGGTGGTGGTGAGCAGCTCCAGTTTGTGTGGCAGTGTGACTGGATCTAAAGTGGTGATCACAGTAACATCCCTTTGCAGCCAATGTCGATTACAAAACTGGATCAGGACAATGTTTGTGCTCGACAGCACAACTCTCCTGTTTTCTGCCTTTTTAGGATACCTTCATACCTTTTCAAATCTATTAAATTTTTATATCCCAATCACAAAAGTTAGGGCCCTAGGGATGGAGGATTCATAGCCCTAAACTTGCTGGCTATAGTCAGTTGCTTTTTCCAAAGATGGGTTATAAAAAAAACCCTCTATAATACCTGCAACAGTTCCCCTATACAGTATCATAAAGACAAGCACTCAGAATCCCATACGAAATTAATATACCATACCATAGTTGCAATATTTCCTAACACAGTACTGGTTAACACAATACAACACAATAATTTCGCCACTCATAGAGCACAGTACTTACCTTCGACTTGGTGACATGGTCAGCTGGCAAGGCCTCAGGCACCGTTTGAAGAGTGGTGCGCACGCTTGCCGACATGGCGCAATTTTGGTGCGTGCTGAGGGTGGCACTAGAGTGTGGCGGGTCGGCTCAGTCTGCGCCAGAGGAACTGTGGGGTCTAAAGGCTTGGGCTACCATCCAGGGGCCATGACACTTGGATGCACCACAGATACTTTGAGGATGGTTCACACACTACTTGATACACCATCCATAATCTGTCAAAAGGGAAACAAAATTAGTCAACCAAAACAAGGTTTTTCATGAATTACTAAAAACAAAATAGTCACAAAATTATTAAAATGATCAACATTTTTAGCCATTTTTATACCAACACAACACAGGATTTATTTTCCTGATTTGATGACCTTGAGCCAAAAATGTTGCCTTAAAAAAAAAGTACAACACCTTATTTATCAAGGAGATCAACACCTGAACCAAACTTTAATATTATCCATAATTAGTTCATTACAATTTATAAAAAATACACATATTGAATACTAATCAAGCACCAAACATTAAATCCACCACACTCTTAAATACTGGCTCCAAACACATATAATACATCTAACTTGGATGACTAAGTGCTGGGTGAAGTTTTCTAATCAGTGTTTATGAATGGAAAGCAGAGGAGTACCCATCACATAAGTCATCTCCAGTCGCAACACAACAATGGCCCTCTGTACATCAAGTTAGTGGTAATAAAACTGATAATTAAGTACCGTACAGTGCATACCGGTATTGTACATTACACTGCTAAGGTTATTAGAGCAGGATATCAGGTACATATCTCTTTAATGATAATGCCTGTGCAGTTTATCAATTATATGAGAAGTGAGACCACAGGCAATGAAACCCCACTAACCAATCTTTCAGGTCATATCACAACCATTTAATTACAACAGTAGCTACAATACCACAATCCTGACCTCTATCCATCAATTGCAACCTTGTATGTTTAAGAGATGTAAATTGAGTGTTCTGCCCTTTCATGACTGCTGGCACCCATCTTGGCTTAAATTTGCTGACACCTTGAACTGTTTATTAGCGAGACAAAATTTGAAGACTTTGACCATTCTGCATTCAATTGGTTGATATTTTCTACATGATAATTTCATAGTGACCATTCCAGTCTGATACTTGATCTTCCTGTGTGAAAATGTGACAGAAACTGATTCCATTTCCCTCAATGTTTTTCAGGGCGACTGTTTGTATGTATAATGGGTGTGATAATTGACCCACTGCTTAAACATGCAATGATGTTACTACATTTTAATTAGTAACCACTGCAACTTTGCAAAACACAAATCTACAAAATACTTTACATTCATCAATTCAATTTAACAGACAAAATCAAGTACAGTACATACATCGGATTCATTCATTTTAGGGTTTGATATTCATTACTTTTATTTATTTTTTTGTTAACTTCTTAGTCTGGTCTGGTTTTGATCGGCCACAAAATGAAAGTCACTGTGATGAGGCTTAACCCCTTCACTATCAGGATGTCACTTTTAATATTCTATTTAGTTAATGTTAGACAATTTTATTCAGTTCAGTGTGTACACAAGGGATTAAGCTTATCTTGGTCCAGTGATATAAACAGTACTTCTACAGTATATGCATGTGTACAGTAATTACCATAATGTTTCCTCACAGAGATGTTCAAGCCCTGCTACACACAGACCAGTAGTCCACTTGTATGAAAATGACCTGCAGGGACCTTTAGTTCATTTTCTAGTACAAATCATTGCTTATCAGTAAAAATTGGGGAAGCTTTATAAATGTTCCAAAATATTTTCGCCTAATATTTTTGTAATACTGTACTGTAGTGCAATAAGCAACACATCAACCCATCCATCCACATACTATCAACACTCATTATCCTGGTCACTTAGTACCTCATCACCCTCACAATCACATTCCTTATTAACACGACACAAAATATTGTATACAGTATTGTACTGTACCCCACATACCGTATATCACCCAGTTATACAGGACATATGACTCTTTCCACTGCTGTTCATCCAATACAAAAATAAAATAAATAAAAATATACAGCTTAATGATAATAAAAGATATAAAATTCCATTCACTGAAACACAAAAGTCATCGAGATACTCAGAATACTGTACAGTACATACAGTCATACACAGTAGGGTACTGGTAAACAATATTGTATGTACCCTACTGCATACTGTACATACAGTATACGGTACAGAAGTATACTGTACTATATACTGTATATATAAACCTAAAGCTCCTAAATAATGGAAAACATTTCTTCAAAAGACAACCAGTTGTGTCTACATCATTACTAGGAAACTGCCAAGGTGTAATCAGTCTACATGTGTTGCTGGGGCTCAGAAACAGTTCCCCTGAGAAAGACTCCTTCGCAAGAAGTCACAAATTCCTATCTGGCTGAGAAGGGTCTCAAGTTATATACTGTAATATATAAAAAAATAAAAAAATAAATGGGTTCCTACCTCCACTAGGCTGATTTGAGAAGCTGATTCTGTTCCCAAGAGCATTCACTTGGAGAACAAACAAGACACCCTTCAAATAAAATCCAGAAAGACAGAACACTGACCTCTCAAATAAAATTACTCTCCAAGATCCACAAGCTGCAGATAACTTGAGATCAAAGCAGCCTAAGAGCAGCAAAGATCAAACACAGGACACTCGTCATGAATGTCTCTAATGGTGAAGAATCTTTCACAAACCAACACTGCACACACCTTAAGAAACCCAAATCAATATACAGGTACGTTTTCTTGCTATCAATTTAGGCAGACAGTATCATAGATACAGTATTAATTATTTATCTGAAAGGTAAGAGAATTTACGTTTGAGGTGCAACAAGCAAACAACTCATTTTTCATCAATGAGAGATACCATACATAAAAACAATTCCTACTCATTGAGCACACACTATGGAGGGTCATAATTCTGGTTTGGGAAATAGGCCAAAAGATCAAATTAATCAAGTAGAACACCCTTATCTGATAACAAGACTAACAGAACTGAATGGTCGGTTGGTCTAACAGAACCCCCTGAATGGTCGGTTGGTCTAACAGAACCCCCTGAATGGTTGGTTGGTCTAAGTTCTTATGTGGAACACCAAGCATCTATTACTGCCTCATAAGAAACTATTATATATTCCAGTATTAAGGTCCATTAAACCCAGAAGTGGCTAGCACCTCAGGGAGATCTCCAGGCGGCAAAAAATGACGTACAGTACTGTCATAATACAGACTGGAATTCTAACTGTGAAATATGCTGATTCAGTCAGTACCTTGACAGTAGGTATTGCCAGTTGGCTTGTCAGGTGCACTCAAACTGTATTATTAACCATAACCAACACTTGTAATATAAAATAAGAACTACAGTATCTGGCTTAGTTAAAAAAAACCTTGAATAGCACTAAATAATATAGACAAAGCATGTACTGTATCTCCAATGTATAGCTACACACATAGTAAACCGTGAGATGTGGGGACAGGCATGAAAGGAAACTGAAGCCTGTGAGATCAATATGGTCCACCACCCAGAAGAAACGTGAGGTGTGCGGTAGTTTCTGTGACAAGTGCACTTCTAACCTCTGACCTCCACTAACGGCGAGTAAAAAAGTTTTCGCTTCCAAACACTTAATTCTCGGACTATCCTTACAAACGACTGACTGACTGTCTGTATGGTACTGTTCCTGGATACCACTGTATGTATTCCAATAATTACCAGTACAATAAATAATCAACACCAGCACCCACAGCTAAAACATGATCTACACCAGCACCCACAGCTAAGACATAATTTACACCAACACCCACAGCTAAAACATAATCTACACCAACACCCACAGCTAAAACATGATCTACACCAGCACCCACAGCTAAAACCTGATCTACACCAGCACCCACAGCTAAGACATAATTTACACCAACACCCACAGCTAAAACAATCTACACCAGCACCCACAGCTAAAACATGATCTACACCAGCATCCACAGCTAAAACATGATGTACACCAACATCCACAGCTAAAACATGATGTACACCAACACCCACAACTAAAACTTGGTCTACACCAAAATCCACAGTTAAAACTTGATCTACACCAAGACCAACAGCTAAAACATGATCTACATCAGCACCCACAGCTAAAACATGATGTACACCAAGACCCACCGCTAAAACATGATGTACACCAACACCCACAACTAAAACTTGGTCTACACCAACATCCACAGCTAAAACTTGATCTACACCAAGACCCACAGCTAAAACATGATCTACACCAGCACCCACAGCTAAAACATTATCTACACCAACACCCACAGCTAAAACATGATGTACACCAACACCCACAGCTAAAACATGATGTACACCAACATCCACAGCTAAAACATGATGTACACCAACACCCACAGCTAAAACATGATGTACACCAACATTCACAGCTAAAACATGATGTACACCAACATTCACATCTAAAACATGATGTACACCAACACCCACAGCTAAAACATGATGTACACCAACATCCACAGCTACTTGATCTACATCAACACCCACAGCTAAAACTTGATCTACACCAAGACCTGCAGCTAAAACATGATGTACACCAACACCCACAGCTAATACTTGATCTACATCAACACCTACAGCTAAAAACTTGATCTACACCAAGACCCACAGCTAAAACTTGATCTACACCAAGACTCACAGCTAAAGCATGATCTACACCAGCAACCACAGCTAAATCTTGATGTACACCAGCATCCACAACTAAAATTTAATGTACACCAGCACCCACAGCTAAAACATGATCTACAGTACACCAGCACCCACAGCTAAATCTTGATCTACACCAGCACCCACAGGTAGTCCATGTAGCAAGCATATCAAAACTACAATTCTTCCAAAAGGTGTTTAATAATGATAATAATGATGATAATAATAATAATAATAATAATAATAATAATAATTTAAACCTTGAATGTTCACAATGAATTTTTCGGTGTTTAAGGAGCCATCTTAAAGCCCGAGTTTCTGGGATGGCTGAAACTTAGGCTTTCACCTGGCAGTATGATACTGTAATTAATGCAACCCACTGGGTTATTAACACTGCATTGTAAGATTGCCCAATCTGAAGCACTACATAATAATGTAAAGGCTTAATTACTATCCATAGACTACCGGGTAGTTATCAACCTTCCGTGTGATGTGGCTGTCTAGTTCAAGCTTAAATTTTGATAGTTCAGGTTACGTCCTTTGACTCTTAATGTACAGTCAGCCACAAGAATAAGTTTACACCTACGGTTCATGTTTGAGACAAAATATCTGGTAACACTGTCCCGAACAGAACAGACAAAATTATAAAATGACCTGTAATTTATGTTTTATTCCTACATACATGTTATAAATACATTTGTTGTGAATGTTTTACTATTGCCTTATGTTTTTATTGCAAGTAATATATTGTATCCAATGGTAGTAAACTTGTTGCCAAATGGGATTGTAGTTATCGTACAGCTCCCCCCTCCTCCCCCACTTTTTCTCTTACCCTACTTTCTTTTAACTGATGTTTTGATTAGTAAAGGAAGGAGGAGGAGTAAATAGAAGCATAAAGAATGGGAAATAGAAAATAGTTAAGAGATAACAGGTGGGGGGAGCTGAGTTTCATCATGCATCTGGTTGCGCAGTTTCAACGCTACCAGACCATTTTCGGACCTTACAGCTACAGTGTGTATACTTATTCCTGTAGCTGACTGTACCTACTACTTCATATACTGTAGTAATACTCATTTAATACTGTGTAAGTCTTCATATACCAGGGTGGTATAGTATAAAAACAGGACATTTAGCGTGTCTGACCACGTAAGCCAACATCTGCTGGTGATACACAGGGTGTCATCAAGACTAAAAAAAATATCCATTTAAGCAGTAATATTTTTTACATAAAAAAATAAATTTACACACAATGTTGTTAAAAACTAATAAATAAAAAAGAGAGCAGTTTTAAGCTAAATTATTAAGTTTATTTTAACCAATGTCTAGTACTGTAATCAGAGATACTTTAATCTTAAGTTCATTCACTGTCCATTTGAACTTAGGAAAATTTTTCCCATGAACATATGAACCACCATAACATAACCAAAAATACCATAGGATTGCCGGGTTACAAGGTAGGTTAAGTTTGGTTCTTGCAAATCCATTTAAAAATTAAATACCAATTAATGTATCATTTGACCACACACACACACACATACTAACATGATTTATCCATGATTCTGAGTGGTCACTTTAGTTCACAGTCTACCAATCAGTGCATTACCTTCAGATACATCAATTGTAAACAGCAATACCAATCACATGGGAAAGCTTCACTATGGTACATACACAGCGATACCAGCAGTATGAGAAAGCATCACCATGAAGTAGTCTTGTCAAAATTTACAAATTCAGATGGTAAAGAGGCTATTACTGTACAGGGTACCATACTTAGATTATGAAACTGTTGAGATGATGGTCATCACAACAGCATAAACATTTATTTTACTTGGACATTATTTTGATGATTGTTTTGATGGTGCACATCACTAGACCCTTCACATGTTGAGGAGATTTCTGTCTGTAAACCATTCTTAATAGAAATTCACATACTGTACTAACAGGATATGAGCACCCATAAATGATCTATAAACCACTTTTAGCCTTGTTCAGCCTCTACATCTATCTACTACATATTACATAAAACATTAAGGTGAAGACTTCATCAAAAATAATCAAGAACTAGCTAATGTGGCAGAGCTAGAGAGAACATTTATCCATTTTGCAACTTAGGCATAATACCTGTACAGTACTTAAGACCTGTGTTGGTTGTCTTACAATTTCAGACCAAAATACTGTACTGTAACTCCAATACAATATAGTGTGCTGATTATGCGGGAGTCATAGTCTGATTGATAATTTAGGTCCTTAAGATCGAGAATACTGTAATTAATATACTGTACAGTATGCAGGGAACCAAAAATAGGCTCTAAATCAAAACATACTCGGTGTGTTATCAGACGATCGGGTCATGTCCACCAAACACACAGTAAACATACCAATATATAGGCTGTTCTATTCAATAAGTGTACCACAAACAAACCTAACTTTCCACATCCAGCTGCATCTGTCAACTGTTACTTTTGGTTAGTTCCCCCCCGCCCAGAAGCACTAGTCAGATGTGAGAAGGGCGGTATCCAGTGAGATCCTAGCAAGCATCAAAGGTCTTCTCTGGGCATTTCAGATCCTCCTGTACTAACACTGGTTTTAATGAAGAACAGACTGACCACCCAAACAGTTTGTGAGCTCAAAAATGGTGGAAATTATAAAGACAGTGGCGAATCTTAGCTGGCATAAAATTGAAAAGAAAAGAAAATCTAAAGTTTCACCCGTAAAACTATTATACAGTACATATGCCAGGTTCGAACCAAGGCCACCAAGGATCACACCCATCATCCAGAGGTATAAATTGTTTACAAAATCCACCACTGATCTCTCTGACTTTTATGAGAGAATCAACTCGGTATACAACAAATGAGCATAGTACCTGAACTACAATATATTGCTTACTGGTTAATGTATGCTATACTGTATTCAGATGGAACTTGGTGGTAGTTTCAGTCAATTTGCCAAAGTTCTGAAGTCCATGGTATTACTTGTCATTTTTAGTTATATTTGCCTTCCTTCCCATCAAGTTTGGACTCTATGCATTAAAACAAGTATAATTGGTAATCTTGAGGAAAGCAAAACACCATTAAATCCAGAGTTACCGTAAATACTTACTGAATTCTTTGATGCAGAATTTAACATCGCATACACAAAATATGGTATTATTTAGTTTCGGTTATCTGGGGAATCTTAAAAATTTAGGTTAGGTTAGATGTAGTCCCTGGGTTCTGTGATTAGGTGAGGTCACTCAAAACGCGTCAAAAACCGTCGAAAAAACACAGAAATGACCGAAACTAAAATTTTACACGAATATATATCTGTTAAGGTTACGTACCAGTACTGTAAGGTTTGTTTTCAGTCGATATACCTACAGTACAGTGCTCAGTATGACCAGACAGTTCCAAGTCTAAAACAATCTCAGACATTAACACACAATACCTTTGAAGAGTTAGATCTGCCATAAACAAAAAATATACCATTGACAAACAAAAATATAACATACAGATATCCCATAAAATCATCACATTGGTTCAGCATCTACATAAGACAGTGCAGGAAACTACACAAACAATGGCCATGGACTATATAGGTAAATATATACTGTATATGTGTTATATCAATTTATTCCTAAGATAACACAAAAAAAGCCTTTAGAAGTTTATTTCTACTGGGTCCTTTTCTTAATCAGGAATAAGATATGGTAAAATTTTAGTTTCGGTCATCTGGGGAATCTTAGAAATTAGGTTAGGTTGGATATCCAAACTATGGTTTTGAGTGTGTTTTGAACGATTTGGACCTTAATATCTGTCGGAAATTACATAGTTTGGATATCTTAATACAGGTATGACCATAACTAAAAAATTTACCATATAGAGTATTATCATCCCTATATTCCCTTTACTTAACCCTAATCAAACCTAACAACAAGAACACTTAAAATTCAATATACAACAGAAAAAAATACTAAAATAATTAAGATTGTTACTGAACACAATAACAAATTGGTAGAGGCCGGTTTCTTTAATGATACAGCAATTAGGGAAATTTTTCAATTCCAAACACTGAAGTATGATACGATTTTTTCAGGCTTCATTCTATTTTTCTTATCTTGTTGATATTTCAGTCAGATCAGTGTCAAACAGCCAGACAAGTGTTTTATTGCCTTGCAGTTTAGCTTGCTTAAAATCCCTAATAGACATCAATTAATCATAACAGTCATTAAAGGGACAAAATTCTCATTAACTCATTAAAACAATATTGTTCTCATTTGCCAGTGAGTTAACGAAACTTAATAATTCATAACTGAGTCAGCTAGTGAACTGAAAGTAAAGTGGAGGTGATCCCGTCAACTGTCTGCTACACACCACCCTCCTCCATATATCGTATATCCATGCCTATAATACAACCTATCTACTACCGGCAATTATTCACTCTGTATTTGTAGGAATTTCTTATACTAAAACACCTTACATAACACAAACAGTGGTCACAATACAATTAAAATATACAGTTAAACTCTCAGCTCAGCTCCTTGGCTGGCAGTCAATGCCAGAGGATCTCGTCTTAAATTAAAATATTTCAGAGAATGTACACCATATCTTAACCGTTACGTAAGCTATTAAGTATGAAAATTGCAACAATACATACGTGATGGAGATAAATGAATCACCTTGATCCTTGCTGTCGAAATTCTTGCAGAAAACACCCAAAATCCACACGCCTAACCCCTCCTTCTCATGGAGACACACCTGATTTTCCCTCAGATTAAATATTCATATAACTCTTATTCTAGCCACTTCAAACTGCATACGAGGGAGAACGCGTCTTTACCCTTCACACAGATGTCATACTGACCAAAATGATCTTGTTCTCTCGAAGGAAATGAACGAAAATGCGAGAGTACGAGGGCAACACATATCAAGATGGCCGACTCATTTCGATTCGTGAACGGTGACCTCAGTGCGCGGGCGCTGATTGGTCCACACCGCCGCCACACACTCTTGTGAAAACCTCCACTACCACTCTACTGCTCTTACTATCCCATTTATCGTATTGGCTATTATGTATACTAAAACTCTCTGTGACCTATAACTGTGTGTCATAACGGGTTATTCACCTATGCTTGACTAAACATTCTTTTTTTTTAATAAATATCATTGGAACTTGGTTGGTCTCAGGTAGGCTCTCGGTCGTGGATGATCTGGTCTGCTTGCTGCACTATCTCATTCGGAATAACCGGTGTCTCTACGAGAATATAGCAGCTAAATTGTCCCTGATTTAGCTTTTTTGTTACCTGTCATGTTTCTGTAACGTGCATAAGATTAAACTTGGTGTGGAAAGGAAGAGACGAGCCATAGAAGATGGTGCACCTGTCATATGACGTCACGAGCAAGAGGCGCCGGACTCTGCCTCACCTGATGCACCGTTATTCTCATGCAGTTGTATTGACTGTGACAATTGACCTGTCAAACACATATAAGAACAATAAGTAAACCCTTCCCATATAAACGGAACTTTAATTTCTTTGCCTGATTCTTAGGGACGGAATAAGGCGTAGTCTAAAGGGTGATGCCCAAACATGGGAAGGCGAGATACCCTCAGGCAAAATTCACCTATAGTGGCCTCTTTAATAGTATTCACATGGAAACGCTTTTAATATTTTCTGTTGGTCTGTACTGCATAACATCACGTACTCCGAGTCGGTAACTAAGGTTTAATTTTTTGACAATTAGACTTTTAGATAAAAGGATCTGAACATAATCATTATAAGTGATACCAAAAGTGCATTGTTTGTCACATTTGTAGGAACTGTTTCCTGTATAATGACAAAGACGGTAATTGATGTATCAATAGCAATCATATGAAAAGATGAAGTGAATCAACTTGGAGTTGAACGGACCCTCTCCGAAAGTGATAGTGTTGAGGTGCCAATTATCCGCTTTTCGTCGTAATAGTTTGAAATTAGCAAGTGTTTATATACCTTAAGTCATGCTAAATATATTGAATTGGTAAACTATATGACTGGAAGTACCTCTGATGTATGGAATATGTATTTCATATCGTCGCTGCTGAAATTAAACATATTAGAATTAAGCAGCTTGGCAGCTCACCGTACCTGCTTCATTCACATTATGTCAGAGATATCTTCGTGGTGTTTTTATTTCACATGGTTTAATACAAGCATCAATAGTCTCAATATAGTAACATTATCTATATCTAGCATCTTTTTATGTTGGTGATATACGCCACTGTTGCTGTGAAATCGTCTGGTAAACGTAGAAAATTAAGATAAAATATATTCAATATTCAGAGATGTCAACTAATTGTATTCGGTGCCAGTGTTGACCCTGGCATGTGAGGGAGGGGTAACCCTTGACCCAGCGTTGACCCAAGGCATGTGAGGTTAGTTGGTAATCCCTCGTATTATCTAAAGGTTTAAATCAAAGAACAGTTTCCCTTACGGTACTTTATTCAAAATTATATCTAGCTGGAAATAAGCATCAGATGGTTTGATGATTACCCTTGCCCGAACTGAGTAATCGTTTAACATTGTTTGTATGCCTACATTGTTTAGGTCTCCTTGTTGTATACCTGCAGTCTATGAACAGTGTAACCCTGGATTGTCTATATACATGCTCAGTCAATGTAAATTTGTAATGATTTTACTTTATAAATATCCATCAATCTACAGGGGGCACAAGTGGATGGCTTGTGTAGAATACCTCGCTATTGAATTGGGCGGGAGAACTCAAGGTTTCCTGAGACTGGACTTCGAGTGGACTTCCTCACACGTCTTGTATAGTCAGAGTCTGCAAACACTGTAGTCAGGGCTCCACACTATCCTTGAGGTATCACAGGGTTTGATAAGAGTATTAGTGCCCAAAGGCCTTATGAGCAGGCCAGAAAAAAACTGAGGGATGGAAAATATGAACCTGGGATATTTTTTCGTGATGCCACGCACCACTAACACGTGGGAACACAATTTTAAGCTCGTCAAGATGTTATGCAGTACTAATATAAGGAAATGCTTCTTCACACAGAAGGTGGTAGACCTATGGAACAGTCTACTACCTCAAATTATGGAATCGAAAATAGTACTGGGCTTCAGAATAGGCCTAGACAAGACCAATTTGAGTGGCCATTAGGTAAAATGAAACTAAATCTAATGGCCTTTGGGCATAGTTTATGGGCCAAGTTATTGTTAACAAATGGAGGATTTACTTACAGCCAGTCAATAATTTACATTTTTTTCCACCCCCTCCGAGATCTGGGAAACAAGTGACAGGGAAGTGACTTGATATCAAGCAGAAAAAAATATCCGTCTTGCACGTCGCACACATTCACTACAAGACGTGGATTTTTTTTTGCGGGGATTAGCCCAACCGGGTACACGTCAACGACCCACAACGGGGCGAAAAAATAAGAATAAAATAAATTACAAATAAAAAAGGAAAAGGTTATATTAATTGCCAATGAAAGCCTTATATACATACACAAAACTGCGTAATTCATCGATGACAACAGTGAAGTGTATTGTCACTGGTGTTTGTCTGGCCCTAAAAGAACACTTAACAAGAGACTATCATCTTCGTTACTTACATGGGTAAATTACTATACTTGTCCAGTGCCCACACCCCACAGTGATAGATCCCTACCAAAACAAGAGTGGAGTTTAGAGTAAACAACCTTGAAGCTTTAATTAGTTACCAACGGTACTCTGCATGTTGGTGAAACGTGAACAGGAGCGAGTGATGCGTGGGTGGAGGTGAAGGACAAATTAATAACAAAATATTTACTCAAGCCTCGAAGAAATAAGTAAAATACTGATTCACTGTCACATCACCTGAAGAATCGCCCCACCCCCTTCATTTTTTTATACCTGAAGATTAACCACCCTAACCATACCCTCCCTAACATACTCTAACGCTAACCATACCCTAACCTATTCTAACTTATTTTGCCCTAATCTAACTTGGACTTAACCTACAGTACTCTGAAACTAAGCTAACCAACTCTAACCTAAACTACCTTGATGCTAATCCTAACGTGGGTAGGATTATAAAGAGTGACTGTAGGGTGATCGTATACCTGGTTATGGCATCTTGTGGTTTGGACAATTCTCGTTTTAAGTGTCTGATGTTAGGTAATTCTGACCCTCCACAGTCGTTTTAATTTGGCCAACATACGTGTAATGATAATCGACAGAATGTATTATGATGAATTACTTACTCTAGTTGCAAGGGATTGTTTCTTTCAGTTTAACCATAAAACTCAAGACAAGTTGATGGTGTAGCAATAGAGTTCACTTGGACCAACCTTTGCTAATGCCTTTCTCTGTTATTGAAGAAATAAAACGGCTCTTTGTACCTAATCACTTATATTTACAAGTGAAATGTTTTACCTTTACGTTGTCATCCCTGAGTATTTCTCTTATTGCTCTCGCATTCACCTGTATCCACCAAGCATTCTTTAGTAAGCGTGACCTAGATAACTTATCCGTGGTACGTCAAACTATAAATTTCAGGGTGGTATAAGTCACGATAACATACTCGATAATAACTGATACAGCAATTAAGCCTGGCTCAGGCACACGCGGGAACTGCTACAACCTCCTACACAGGGCGAAATACCACTCATGACCGCGGGAACATAAACGATTAGTATTTTCTATACTGTATTTATATTGTGCCATTATATTCGTACAGAATATATATATATATATATATATATATATATATATATATATATATATATATATATATATATAATTTTTTTTTATTAGAGTGTGTTGATGGAGGTAATATTAATAGCATTTCTTATGAATTAGAATGTTTTTAAGTAAAAAATATAAACAAGGAGATGAATGACCATGTAAGTGGAAGTTACCAAAGTTTTTACACACACTACTGGAAGTGTAGGTATAGGCTTGCAGTTAGCCTAGCTTATCTATACAGAAACCAGCAAGTCATACTATCTGGCTAGATCTACAAAATCCAGTATCTGGCCAGATAATCCAATTCACTATCAAGTGCATCCCTATTTTGGGTTCCCAGATTGTTTTTGAAGGCTTGTCCTTGGTTACTTTACATACTTTCCGATCACCTGAAGTTTTGACACCCCAGGTTATCTAACTTAAATAGTAAAGATCTTAACATACCTGGGAGGAAGGAGTAAGTGTAGATGTAGGTACAGCCATACAGGTGTAGCTGTATATGCAAAAGGTGTAGGTATAGGCACAGGTGTGGGAGTGGGTGCAGATACATATGTAAGATTAGGTGTAGGTACATATGTAAGATTAGGTGTAGGTACAGATGTAGTTATAGGTGCTGAAATAAGTGGCGGTACAGTATTGTTGGAAGGCATAAGTTAGGTAATTGTTGTAGAGGTACATTGGGAAGTGTCAAGATGGACTTTGCAATAATTCAAGTTTATACACAAACAAATTATAACGTGAATGTCTAAGAAAAGTTTTGTGAAGGTTTATGCAAGTCAAAAGCAGCAGTAGAAATAATTACTTGTATACAACTTCACTATTTTCATGATACAGTATCATAACTTTAAAAGTTACATGATAGTTAAAACATGAAATCATGCAGTTAGTGAAAGTATGACATCATTCAAAGCCCATCATGTAAATATTAAAAATGCATTTATGAAAATTTTCATTGTTGTTGACATTTACAAGTGATTGACACCTTCCCAACAATTTTGATGTTCCCATAATTAAACGGAATAAATATTTACCAAATTTCATTGAAAATTACCCTTATTGACATTTATTTATTTGTCAATAACGGTTAATTATGTACTGTACCTTATTTTGTGGATGAAGGTTCCCTTATTATACAGCACCTGAATGTCTACTTCTTCCTTAATTTATTTTATGGGACAGCTCCTCAGGTTGTTGAGTACAATTTAAACAGATTTATACATTTTCTGTTGTCAACATTGTTTGTTTATGATCTTTGGATCCCAAAGTGCTTTTACTTTTATCCTCTTCGTCACTGATCAGCTCGTTAGCTGCTTGGGCAGTCGGTTACATTTCTGTTACGCACTGTTGGCAGGTACTGGTCATGCACTGGCTCCTGAATATGTCTGTACCTGGTCCAGTGGTGGTCAAGTCTGGTCTTGAAAGAGCTCACACTCAGTGCCGTCACAACACTCTCTGGCAGGTTGTTTCAAGAGTTTACAATTCTCACTCCAAAAAGTTTGCCCTCACAGTTGGCTGGACTTGTGGCTTCATCAACCTTGAGCTGTGACCCCTGGTATTGTAGGTTCATAGTCCCAAAACCCATTGCACCTATGTGAAACTTACTCTTTAGTTTGTAAAATTCACATGTTTGCCAAACAGTTGGTCTCAAAGGTGTGCAAACAAGAGAGGTTTTACTGCCTAGACGTATGTACTGTATGTGTATGTTTACACAATGACAGTCATCAATTTCTGACAATGAAGTGTTGGGTAATGTTGACATAATATGTCCCTGTGTTGGCATCAGCAGCCAACTGATAAACCTGAGACTTTAATCTTAACTAAGAGGTCAGCAAGGGTGTGGCAGCTGAATAGTTAGTGTGTTCACTTACTGTCCTTTGGAGTGCTGGGTGCTGCCTCCAAGTACCAGAGGCTTATTTTACATTGTCTTGTATTTAAACTCTCTCAAACAGGGTGTCAGGCATTTTAAATTTGTATTCATTTTCAAGGGGGGGTAGCTCTTTATGGAGTTCCAGCACTGTATGATCACCTCAGGGAAATTTGAAAATAGGGAAAAATTCAGGTAAAATTGGGTGCCATGCTTGCAAAGATTAACCATGATTTCAAATTAATAATTGCAACTCCCAGGTCTAGGCAATCAACTTTTCCTCTATTGCCAACAGTTACATGAGTGTGACATTACCCACACTTTGCGTAGCCTTCACGATCTGTCCCATTTAAAGACATTGCCAGGGTCACTTCAGAACTTTCTGAATGCATCACAGATTGTGACTGGTTTATCACTTTTAACATGGTACATTCGGGAAGGGGTGACACATATGTCATGTAATCAACAACACACAAAGCCCTCTACATCTCTTCACCATTTTCCATAAATATGTCTGGTGAGGAACCAGTAATAATGTTGACTACTTTTAATACCCTGATTTAAAGGAGTGTCAATGCATCCAGACTTTTCATTTATCCAAATTCAACCTTAGGCTAAGTGGTCCCCATTTGTGGGGTTTTATTGTACTGAACAAATATTCCCCAAATTGCTCATGATTTTCAAAATCAATACTTATTCAAATAAACCATGACCAGTGTCTCAGAGGCACACCCTCTATTATACATGCAAGATATGGCATATACAATACACAGTATATATGTAAAATTAGAAATGTTTAATATTTTATTGAGAATCAGTAATTCCTCAAGTACATTGAAATAACACACCAAAGTGTTAATTGAGCAAAGCAAAATTAATGATCAAAATAATTTGAAAATAAATGTATATTCATTTGATATAATTACAAAATAATTATATTTTCTCAAATAAACCTGTCTTTTTATGCTTCTTTCCAATACTTTATCCTCTTTGCTACTGATTGTCCCGTTTGTTGCTTTGGCAGTTGGTCACATCTCTATTACACACTCTTAGCAAGTATTGGGCATGTACTGGTTCCAGAATGTATCTTTACCTGCACCAGTTTTGGTCAAGTCTGGTCTTGAATGAGCTCACACTCAGTGCTGTCACAATGCTTTCTGGGAGGTTGTTCCAAGACTTCACAACTCTTAACTCTGAAAAAGTGTCTTGGCAATTTTCTGAACTGTGGCTTCTTACACCTTAAGTTGTGACCTCTAGTGAGGCGGGCATCTGCCAACTCCAGGTATGAACACTCGATTGAATAATGTCCTCTGAGGTGTTTATAAGCTAATATTAAGTCACCCCTTGCCTGCTTGTCATAGTGCAGGCACCAGTCTGGTGCCCCTCCTTTGGATGTTTTCAATCACCAGACAATCTTTTAGCACATCTTGGGGACCAAACAGGGAAGAACCTCACTTTTGAAAAGTGTTACGAGGGATAGATCGTCTACTGTAGTATCTGAACACCTTTTTACAAGACCCACTAGCCTAGTTGCTTGATTCACTTTCTTACACTGGTCTGATAACTTCAGTTCATTAGAATCATACAAACCCAGGTACTTTACACATTGGGTCTACATTAATGCTGTTTCTTAGTCCCGTTGGGATGTGATACGCCTCCTTACTGTTGGTGTAACCTAGGTGCATCCTTCTGCATTTTGTGACATTGAATCTTAAGAGCCATTCCTTTGACCATTCGTGAAGTTGAAAGATCTTTCTGTAGCTCTTCACAGTAGATTTGGTTCTTAATTTTCCTGAATAACTTGGCATTGTCTACAAACATTTGCATGGAAGAGTGTATAGTTTCTGGCATGTGATTTATGAAACAAACATACAACAACGGGTCCAGTATTGTACACTGCTCCCTGTGTACCCCATTTGTCCCGGTAACACATGGCAATATTATGCCATTAATCACCACACACAGTTTGCTGACACAAAGAAAGTCTCTGATCCATGCATGGACACTCCCATGAATCCCATATCCTTCCAGTTTAATTTTCAGTCTTTCGTGGGGGTACACTGTCAAAAGCCTTGGCATAGTCCAGATATATATTGTCGCTATTACCACAAAGCTCCAGGACCTGGGTCCAAATATCCAGCACCTTAAGTAATTGCATCAAGCAGGAGAGTCCCAGTATAAAACCATGTTGGTATTCCTTTATTAGGTTGTTATGTAGTAGATATTCCATCATGGCAGCTTGTATAATGCTCTCTAGTACTTTATATACATTGCTAGTCAAGCTTACTGGGTGTCTTTAATTTCGACTCTGCATAATGGTAGAAAGCCTTTGGGTTTGATTCGATCTCGCTTGCAATCCACCTCAGAAACTCTTTTTTCAGCACTTCTACACTCTTGACCTAGCTTGATTCCTGGACCTGGCATACATACTTCTGTCCTGCTTATCATTTGTCGCGACTCATCTCTTGAATTTCTGATATTTCTTCTTAACTTTATCATCTGCCGCATGGTTCATGTGTAACAGACTTTTCATATTTAAGGAGCCAGTAGGTTTGGTCTTGGGAAAATATTTATCAATCAAATACAGTACTGTAGTTCACTTTATTGACTATGATGTTCAGGCCAGTGAATACCCTTCATCTCTTCCCTCATCCTGTCATAATTGCTTCTATAATATTTGAACCTTGGTCTGTTTTAATCATTAACCAAGTACACTAACCGTTAAATCTGAAGGACAATTTCACATGATGACTGGTGCCGACATGGGCTAGATGTTCCAACTTGCACACTATACCCTCCTTGTTAGTTATGGTGAGGTCCAGCAGTTTGAGTGTTTGTTCCCTTCTATAGTGAGTCAAACCTTTCACATGTTGGAATAGAAAATTTTCTCTCAGAGTTTCTATGAAAAGAGTAGCAGAATTATTAAGGTGATTTGGTGTTATTTCATTCCTCCAGCCGATGTCGCCACAGTTGAAGTCCCTCATCACAAGGAGGTGGCTAGAGATGAGCACCATTATGTTGCCTATTAAGGCTCTCAAAATTTCCTTGGTTTAATAAGCTGCAATTTGGGAATCTATAGATACTGTACATACAACGAAGGTTATGTCTCTCTCTTTCAGTTATATTTTACATCACTTCAATTATTCACAATCCTCCAGTTCTTACACATCATTTCAATAACACCTTCAAGATCAGGTTGGTGGGTCTTAAGTGAAGTTTCAAATTCCACTCCCTTGTCAAGGAAAGTGTCACTGCTGTATTTGCGTTCAGGACTCTCAAGCCGGAAACAGTCCTTAGTAGCGATTCTGGCCTCCTTACATTCTCAAAAACTTCCTTCTTTACTATCTCACCATATTTTTGGGGGTGTGGCCAGAGATGACACTGTTAACACGATATCTCCTCCTCCTGGGTGGGAGGTCGAGGGCGTGTGGGGTGTCTTACTGTCCCCTGGTTCTGTACTGACACACTTGCCTCCACTACTTTCCCCTTGTGCTGTATGCAACCCACCCAAGTCTATCCCTGTTTTTTTGCCAAATCCTCCCTCTTCTGCTTCAAGCACATCAGGAGTTCTTTGTGCTATTCCCTCTGCACTATTGTGCAATTTGGACTTATGAATCTAATGAATTGGGAAGACTTTAGCATAAAGGTTTCACTAGCATTCAACAAAAATATACCTGTATACTATTCACCATGTTTCATGTGAGAAGTGATCTTTAATTTTTCTTAGGTCAAAGTACAGGGTATACATATGGGAACTAACCCTTACTCCTTGTTACTAGATAGCCACATCAATTACCTGGTATTTTTCACATTTGTTGTTAAGTTATAGTAACACTGCTTCTTTGAGCCTCAGAGGCCATGAACTCACATAAAAGATAAAAAAACCAAAAACATTGTTCATTGTGGATAGATGGTAGTGTGGTAGTGAAGGAAACACGACTAAGAGATGGAGCTTCATTTCTGACGTCCGGAATAAAGCTCCATCTCTTAGTCATGTTTCCTTCATTACCACACTACCATAAACAAAACATTAAAAATTCTATGAGGTTCAGCTTGGAAATGCTCTGATTACTTGGTCATCAAAGATACAGAGGAAGATGCTACTTTGCTTACTGTGTCTAATGACATACATTTACATTTACAAGAGGTGACAGGACACTCTGTATGTTCCCTGAAAGAGGAAGAACAAAAAGGTGATTAGTGTGTTGTTATTAGTGAAAATAGAAATACTTTGATCACTGACAAGTTGGTGAAGTGGTATCCTTTGTCCTAGTATATACTTATATCTATTATGAAATACCGACAATATTATGATGTGCCTTAAACATAAGGGTCAAAAATTAAAAACACAGTTGGAAATAAATGTAACCACCAAACCTTTTAGTTATACTTTACAGTATATGTAAGTACAGAGAAGCTATAAGACTGAAACTAATTACATTTCTCAGTGACCTAAAGTAGGCCTTAAGTATTAGTTAAGTGACCCCAAATATTAGCAACACAAGTATTGTACCAACATTATAAAATATATACAATATAATTATGCCACCTGCAAAGCTCATTTTCATTTCAACTAATTTCCAGCTCTCCAAAGTAAGAGATGCATTTTCTCAACTGAATATGATTTATCAACCAGCAGACAAAATACAAAACAGATGGTGGGTGAAACTCTCCCATGTACTTACTTAAACCATTCCATTAAGTGGTGTGCATGTCCTCCATGTCTACAAGTTTGGCACCAGGTAAACCAAGAGGTGAAATTACTCAGTTTCCTTTTGCTTACAGTTGTGTTAGATGTGGGAGTATTGGGAGCACCATCAACACCCTCTTCTCCACTTGAATTTTTAGGTACTGAGCTTCCCCATCCAGATGGAGTCCCCATATGCACCAGGCAGAGAGAACATCGAGGGAGGGGTTTCCTGCAGTTTGGACATGCTTGCATCTGTCAAAAAATATACTTTCTTAACTTAATAGCCTCAAAAATATTATAGACAGAATACACATAGAAGTCTGCTAAGACAAGAGAAAATGTACGAATTGTTTTTTTTAAATTTAGTTTAATAAAAGAGGCATGTTCTATCTATAATGTTAAGTTTTTAAAATGAATCATAATTTATTTCCATCCTGTATATTGATAAAACAAGGATATGGATATTAAAGGTTAAGAAGCATTACCTGCAATGTTCACTGTGATTTTGTGATTCAGGAGGAGATTAATAACCAACAACATAGGATTGAGGAATGAGATAATTTCCCTTTGATTACACCCATCCTGTATTACTGTGAGCAAAAAATTAATGTACACTCTCCCAAAAAAGTATAGCTAAATTTACAGTCATTACAAACTGAAATGCTTAACGAAATGCTTTGGTATGATCCCGAGTGCATCATCATAAGTTGGTCCACCTGCTTGCCATATCAGCAACAGCTAGAGACGGGAGAAGGACTGGGGAGGGAGTCGTCCTTGTATGATATACTAGATACTTTAATATAACAAAAAATTCATTAAGCTATATTAATGTATGTATCATTGAAAAACTTATGTACGCATGCATACTCAAAGGTCGTGGATGTAGAACTACTAACTGTTCAGAACCCATCGAGCAACCTTGCTCGTAAAGCCTCGAATCACATCGACCACGTGGCTAACAATACTCTTTGGGGGGCCTGTACAGTCAGCGTCAAAAGTTCGCTCCTGCCCAAAAGGAAACGGCATCATTCCCATATGAGATACAACAGTCAGGGTAAGTCAGTTCGGAGACTCATTCCCGTGACTCAGTTTCACCACAGGGAGCAAACTTTTGTCCGTGACAGTACATGTAAAAGTTAGTTCCATATGCCAGTTGGGATTAATGTAGATATAGAAAACTGAATACTGTATAAAGGTCACACAGGTAAGTGAAGGATAAGTACAGACATCCTGGAAGCAGCAAGTGTTGAAGAATGAGTGGAATGCATGATAGCAAGTCATCTTTGAGTAAGGACATGGCACGGCAAATATATTACAGTACAATACACGAGTAAGAATAAACAGCAATGAATAAAGGGAAAATTTGTGTGTGTGTATACCGGTATTTGCTCATTTCTAGCCATATTGGACTGAGTGGAAGAGGACTTAATATAAAAAAATTTATATATTACCTTTGATTTATTGGCAGAACCAGTACCAAATCTAGCGTATGGATTTCGTGGTCGTCCGGGAGTTTGGATGTAAGCAGAAATACCCTTCTTACAAAAATTACAAGTTAAATAAATGTGCTGAGGTGGTCTCTCTGCATGTTTGTTGTCGTTCATTATAACATCCAGCTGTGCTCGCTCGTTCCACAGACCCAAACTATCCAACAGGTTTCGGTAACTAAGAGAAGGAACAATAATTTTCAGACATTTAGAACACAAATATAAAAAGTTGGACTAAACCATTTATCCCCCTATCCAGTAAAGCCCTAAAGTCAGGCAGCTGGTAAGTGAAGTATTGAGGTTCTTAGACAACCCCCATATTCCAGCCAGGGGATGATATATTAACCCTGAGTGAGAGTAAATTTACGTTCCCAAGTCTCCCTTACTGTATAGCCGAGGTATTCATTATTCACTAACCCTTCACTAACCACTGCCTTAAAATAACTGACCAGAGGTCCATTTGGACAGATTTCAGGTGAAATCACCTCCAACACATAAAGCATGAACTGTATGTACAATCAAAAGCAGAAGTTCATCCCAACCAACCTGCATGATATGATACAAGTGATCCGGTAACACTGCATAGGTCAAAGTTGACAAGTATGCTTTAAATGGCTAGTTTTAAAGATTTATTGAGTTGATATAAGACCACACTTGCTTGCTTTAAATCAAAATATGAAATGTTACACCGAGGCAAAAACCACGAAAAGATAATAACTTACCAGTGAACCCAATGAGAAAGACGAGAATCTTTGGTAAAAGCGTGCTGAAGGGTGTGTATAGTGACCAGTGCCACAGTCTGCACATCCCCAGTAAGATCCACATAACGTTGCAGTAAATCTATTCCTTCTGAGCAAAGACCTGCATACAAATGAAGATATCACACTTTGATGTACAGTGGTCCCTCGGTTAACGAGCACAATCCGTTCTAGAAAGTTGCTCGTTAACCGAAACCATTGTTTCAATGGGTTTTTGGGTAATTGGTTCCAGCTCACCGAAAATTGCCTTAATTCAACAAAAAAGGTAGAAAAGTACACTTACTTTGAGGTGTGTATGTAGAAGGCTCCTGATGATGATGATGATGGGAATTAGAATGGGGGTGAAGAAGGGAGAAGAGAAGGCATTGGGGTGGAAGAGAAGTCACCCCATGGCACCATTTCACCCATAAAATTTTAGTTCTCTTGGTGCAATTCAAGATTATTTTCTTTAAATCAACACTGCACTGCATTATATATTGTCAATATGTAAAATAAATTTCAAAATGACCAATAATTTGCTTGCAAAAACAGAAAAAAGCATTTAGTTGAAGAGAGTCTCAAGCAAGATGTTACCTCCACTGAAAAGATACAAAGACTGACGCCTGTATGGTGTGTTGAGAGGCTGGATGGCACGCATAAAACTAGTTTCATTACCTTCAATTATGTTCAATAATTGTTAAAATGAGTAAAAAATTTAATATTAAACTTTTAAAATTATTGAATAGTATAAACTTCTTGATATTTGCTAAAATGGTAAGGAATTTAAGCCCTAGAACCGATTACTGTATTGGCGGACTAATACTACAGCTGGTGGACCGCCAAATGCAAGCGAAATCATGTTCAGGTTGGCTCGTAAGAAACTCGTTAATCGAGGGATTGCTCGTTAACCGAAGTTAAGAATCTTATGGAAGGTAACTCGTTAACTGAGGTGTTTAACCGGCGACCACTGTACTGTACTGTATTGCATATAACTTAGTCTGAGAAAACACAGGTACTTTCTTGAATTACCCTTTTTCCTAAATTCCCACCACATGGGTGACAATAGGAAATAGAAAACTCAAAAGGAATGAAATGGCAAGGAATGGTACAGAAAACCTCAAAGGTAAGGTTGTTGAAAAACAATTAAGAACACCTCAGACTTATACAGGTACACCATTTTCTGATCTATAATGCTCCTCTTCCTATGTAGCAACCCTTGAGGAAGAGACTATGATAAAAGGGCAGCCAGACCACATAATCATTATACCCTGTACTATATTCACTCTGCACCTCCGACGTCCCCCATCACATACCCCATCCACCATTGTCTCAGTATATTGTTTCACCATTTCCTCCCCACAATGTGAAATGTCTCCCTAACCAACGATTTGCAGTATTGTTCTCTGTAGACCCTCTGTACCACATTATGTATCCTGGCAGTATTCACACACATCCATACCATCTCATGAGGACCCTTTCACTCACTTTCCACTTTTCAGTTCACATTCTACCCTCTCAGTCATTTCAAACACCCTATACAGTGCATCACTGTGTCCACAACCTTATGTACAAATTGTTACTTACCTAATGATCAGTTTACAAAATTAAATATGAGAAATACTACCCTGAAATGAATTTATATCACTATATATTTAAAAATTATGAAAAGAATATCATAAATGGCAGCAACAGCAAAGTCGGGTTACGCCCCAAAAACGAGACGTTATACAAAAACAACGTTAGTGAATCAATTTTCCCATAAGAAATAGATAAAACACGGGAGTAACGCTCCTGGCCTTCCTTTGCCCCATAAAATACATTACATATACAGAAATTTAATGGAATTTTTATCGAAAATAGTATATTTTTATAAAACTAAATCATTTTATATTTTACTCACTGATGGGGGGGAGGTGGTGGAGCGACTGTGTGGTGGGTAGTGGAGCGGAGGAGGATGGCGGGAGAGGAGGAGGGTGGTGAGTGATTGAGACTCGGCGGGTGCCTCCTCCTCCCGCTCTGACTGGCGTTTCTCCTCCATTTCGTAGCAAGACTAATGGTCTTATGTTGCTTCTTCACAACAAAGGCATCAGTAGCACTTGATGGGTGCTTGGAAGCCATTTTGAATGGTTAGAGTACAGTAGGTTATTTATAGCAGAAACACTTACCGGGTAAGCACACAGGAATAATGTGGAAGCCTAACAGAGATTGGCTTGGCGTCGCTTGGGGGCTCTGTGACGTTCCGCGAGTTAGAGATACTGTAGCACGCCGAGAGAAGGTGATGAGCAGTAAAAAGTAGTCCGTGATGACGCAAAAACGACGTTATATTGAGTCGTCGAGATGTTAAACAAATTTTTGGTATCTAAAGATTAGCGAAATACTGTAGTACCGAAACAACGTTAAGCGTGCCGACGTTATACGAGGACGTACTGTATATGCTTTTAACCTTTAAACAGTACCCATCATTGGTTGAAGTTAGCTGTAGGGATGGTGGCCATAATGTGCGGAAATTTCACGTTCCTTGCATTCCATTTTTGCGCATGTAAGGGGTAAGGGAGTGAGAAGGCAACCATTGGCCACAGGTTAAGGGTTAATAAACATGAAAAGTAAAACACCCTCATTTTCCCATTGCTTTTATATGAGAAAAAGTAATGAAGTTTAATATTATACATTTAATCTGAACATGCTCAAAAAACAGTACTGTACTGTATTAAGTCAGGTACTTTTTAGGCCAAAAATGTGTGTTTGAAAAGTGAAAAGTAACATGTTTAAATGGTTATCAATCTATATAATGATAAATATAAAAAAAAAACATTATCTTGAACTTCCAAGGATTGTGTACAGCAGTTGGTATTTTAAAAGCATATATATATATATATATATATATATATATATATATATATATATATATATATATATATATATATATATATATATATACATATACATATATAGTTACTTCAAGGGATTTTAATTAAAACTAATTCCTCAATTTTTTAATTCTGTAAGAAAATAGTAGCCTTTAAAAGGTTTTATTTATCATTTCAACTAATTTCACTATTAGCAAGAACCCATCTCCACAAGTACCCTGTTATAATGACCTCTTTTAACAGATACTGTATTTCACTTAGCGGACCAGCCTCAAGAATATACCTTGTCTGTTATAAGAGGTATGATAGTAATATATTCTGTATATGTATGTATAACTTATCTAACTATAGTACTGTTTTATACATAAATATATTCTTAACCTGTAAGTAAGATGCCATCCAAGTTGCCCTCCTCTGTGAGTTGTGTATTTAACTTCTCTAGGTATTCCATCAACCGTATATCACTTAGGTATGTACAAGCAAAGGCTACTCTATCTTCAATTGCCATCTCAGTTTCTCCCTGTGTAAAAAAGAGTGAGACATCTGTAAATAATCACCAATAAAAACAATTGACTCATAAATAATCAAAATGCAATACAGTACTGGACATATAGAATCATCTTAAATTTTCATGTCAAGAAATCCTAATGTTCTTATGCAGAAAAAAAGGAAGCATAGAGATAATTGGAATAAAAAAACCTGATGAAAAAGATCCTACATAGGAGAGCAGGAAGGGCCTTGGCAATCCAGGTACAAACACACTCATGATGGGCTGTTGATCTCTGACACAGCTCTGCTAGCTAAAAGTAAGGCTTCCAAAACTATTTCAGAAAGATAATATTTAAATTTTTTGCATATCTTAATCAATACTAAAATAGCTCTACAATCAAGAGCCATGGTAACAAAATAATCTAAAGGATATCTTACCAGCCTCTGTGCACAACTGAGACTCTGTTAAGTAGTAACTATTTACCAGCTGGCCTGCCTGAGGAAGTCTTTGAACTGCATTTTATTATATGTACCATCCAGTCTTATTAAGGTATTAGGTGCATGATCACACGTATAAAAAAAAAAAAAAAAATACCCTATATATATATACTGTACAGTGAACCCTCACTTTATGCGGTCAATTGAACCCACGGCGGCCCGCGTAAAGTGAGAAACGCATAAAGTGAACAACATAACATATGGAATTAATTGAAATAGAGACCGGGGCGACCCCCAAACTCCACTTTTTCAGACACAATACCTACGTTGTAGTAAAAATAACTTCTTAATTTTATGATGGTATGCACACACAATTAATAATTAAGAAAAATATCAATAATATTAGGTTTTTTAACACTTACATTAGTAGAAAAGATGGCTGGGCACACAGGGATGGGGGGTTGGTTCCGAGGCAGAGGGCAGATTATTGGCCCTCACCTGTATCACTTGTATCAATTGTATCACTATCCACCACAGAAGCTTGCAGGGCCTCTTTGGCAAAGTCCCTAAGTCCATATCCTCACTATTATTATCACTATCACTGACTTGGGCCGGTTGTGGTGGGTGGCGGGTGAAGAACTCGGTAATGCTTTGATGACTGGGCGACCTTGTGCGCACCCTGCTCGCGCCGCACTCCGCGTAAAAGGGTATACACACCGCGGAAAGTGAGCATTCCGTGTTCGGCAGGGGACCGCATAAACGTGGAAACGCGTAAAGTGGGACCGCGTAAAGCGAGGGTTGACTGTATATATATGTATATATGTATATATATATATATATATATATATATATATATATATATATATATATATATATATATATATATATATATATATATATATATATATATATATATATATATATATATATATATATATATATATACAGTACAGTATATATAAATAAAATAACAGGAAAAAAAATTATAGTCTTACCAGAACAGGCTCATATGAGTCAGCATCATCAGTGAGAAAGGCAAACATGGCACGAAGGTAAGGATCTGTTAGTTGAGAGCGCAGACTCATGCATGTTTCTCTCCACAGCCCCTTACGTTCTTCTGTGAAACCTAAATAAGAGGATCAATATACAGTACTAACATTACAAAGCCATACCATAAATAATTATCCATTCATCATATCATAGTCTTCATGTTGCATAAATGCCACATTGAAGATCATTATGTAAACAAGTAAACCTACCTAATACTGCCTGTGCCAACCTAACAACACGGAACAGGACCAAATATAACAAACCCTAAATGCTTCATTAGGTTAGGTCTAATGAGCATCACCAAGGTTATCTAGATCTAATACAATTTAAGTTACATACATGTATCTGAAGATATAGTACAGTATAGTGTTCCCTGTTTGGTAATCATTTCATTACTGACAACTATCTACGTGAAATATTAAGACTAAAGATGTAAAGAGAGTTCAGTACTAACAACTAAAAAAATAATGAAATGGCAATAATTTATAAGAATATTGTATGAGACAAGGCTAATGCACAGTACCTGAGAGTGCCATCGCAGTCGAGTTTAAAGCAGGCAGCTTCTTACTAGAGGCTCCCCTTTCTAGGATTAGTATTGCTTGTTTTAAGCGCTGATTAAAAACTGCGACTGCAGCAGCCCGAGTGTGATATCCTGCAGCTTCTAATTGTGATAAGAAGCTATTAAGTACTGTCTCACTTTCAAATCCCCAAGAGCACAACTCAAGGGCACGACTACGTTCTTCACATCTGTGGTAATAAAAATATCAAATCTATAAGTAACACTTGAAAATTACCTGCCTCAAACACATTAATAACTACAATAAATGAGATATATTAAGCATTTAATGTAAATAAGAAAGTTCTTACAAAACATTCCAGAAATAATTTGGTCCAAAAAATTTTCAGACCATTTCATACTAAACATCAGTCAGTGGATAGCATGTTAGGGAAAGATAAGAGAGGATGGGAATAGAGAATATTATCCCTTGTGTGTGTAGGGACAATGGCAGCAGTGTGGGGACAAAGATAATTAATTTGTTCTATGGTTCTATGTCACTGTTTATTAGATTATTTTATAGAATGAGGAATTAAGAGGGACAAAATATTGTTAGACTTAAGAGCAGGCTCCAAGGCAGGAGAACCTGAAGATGTACTGATATTGCTTAAGAAAAAGGCAACCATATGAGGCCCTGCTCCAATCCTGAGATCAGTTTTGTTTTCTCATCATGCAACACTATTGTAGGGGAACCAGTGAGTGAACAAAGGATTTCAATCAATTGTGTACAGGGCTGCCTCCGAACTGAATAAACTCATCTGGCATTAGCTGAATGAAATAATCAAAGCAGCACCCCATAGTGAAGGGGTTAAGAACAATTTTCATGTCTTAGGAAGGTTTTCTTGGTGAAGAATGATAGGTTTGTTTTTTTTAGCTATGAAGCTTCCAAGGTTTATAAATCCTGGTTTATAAGTCCTGGCCACTAATGTCATGTCTCCTAAGTCAACACCGATAGCTCAGTGAGGACATTACATGAGCCAACTAGTTCCAAACTTGGCCATAAGGTGTACAGGTATAAGTATAAATCTTTTATATCTGTTATACTACACACCTGAACTATTTATTCCTAACGCCTGTACTGTGGATATTGTGAGATTTTGTACCTTTATGTACTGCATCATATATTCTATAAGTTTTCTTTTGTATAGTTTAATAAATAACTTACCCTATACACAACACGTCATCTATAACAGCCTCACCTGAACACTTTGGCAAAGTGTGGCTTCTGTCCTTCTAGCCCAACCCATGATTTGTTGATAATGTCTGATGATAAGCTTTCCTCCTTTATGGCCATCAGACTCCTAGAAGATGGAATTAAGTGTGGTGCTATAACTGGGAATCAATAAGAATATGTAATAAACCTTAACAGTAAAAAAAAAAAAAAATTGAAACACTAGAAATTAATATTTTGAATTTGAAAGGAACAGTTAACCAGCTTATGAGATATCCCTTCCCAATCTCCCCCTAGCAGAGCCTTCGATAGGTGATTGTATTTATTCTGGGGGCAGGAACAATTTCCTTCATGGGTCAGAAGGGGTGATTAGTTCAACAATGATCTAGCTTTGCTCTGAAAAGCATACTAGATGAACTGGTCATCAGGATGAATTGCTTGCCATGTCACATTACTTGAATCATCCAATTAAAACTGTGTACAGTATTAAATGAGTCATATAAACAGTGAGATATTCTAGATTCTGATTGTAAACAGTTTAAGACTTACCATACACCTTGGTATCTATAAGGCATTCCTCCAGGTAGCTTGAAATTACCAGCTATGACCAAACTTCTGGCAGCATCCAACCAAGTCCATAAATTACGAAGAGACATGTCATCTGTTACTTCTCCATTAGTGGCTAAATTATTCACCTGAAAATGGATAGAAATAGACAAGAAATTTAAAAACAAATTTGGAACTGTAAATATGAATGAATAAATATTCATTCAAATAAATAAATGATAAGTATCATCAATGAATACAAATGAGAAGGCAAGAACATATAATATGTAAATTTCAAAATCAAGGACTGGTCCTGAAATCCCAATTACAACTAAGCCTTAAACTAGTGATGTGGCCAAAGTACTCAGTTAATGCAAGTACTGTACTGTGTACAGTAAAAGCCCCGGGTACCGGACAAATTAAGTCACAGTGATGTTGTTTATCAGATGGACTCCATTATTCAGATGTCCACATCAATAGGGAGACAACAGTTCAAAACAACAGTCAGCATATTACACTAACACAGACAGGCTTATTTAAGCTCACAATAAATTCGTTCAAGTAAAATTATCATACTTTTGATATAATCTTAGTTAATTCAGTTGTTTTTTTATTAAAGTGTTAACAGATGTGGTTCTTTTCCTTTTTTTATAGTTTTATACAGGTACTCCTCAACTTACGACCTACTCAACTTACGGCCACCAGGACATACGACAAAAAGTCGTATAAAATATTTTTCAAATTACGTATTTTCGAGTCCCGGCGTTAGTGATCGCGCTGTGTCCTGACAAAATTTTCGTTTGTAATTCCCTTTAAAATGGGTGGCAAGCGTAAAAGTGAGAGTTCCCGTGGTGCTGAGAAGAAAAAGCAACACCCATTTTAGATTTTCAATGTATTATTTTCGTATTTTCGACTTACGACCTGGTCATCGGTCCCTTACCCCTTCGTAAGTCGGGGACTGACTGTATTATATTTATTTTATTTCTAAGTCACATAAGAGTACTAATATCATATTCTCTCAACCTTTACAATTTTATTACATGAATCAGTGCCAACATGCGAAGTCATTTCAAGCCCACAACTGCCTGGTGAAGTGTGTTATGTAGCTTATGAAGATCATGCGGGTGTGTATGGGACTCACTTTCACTTGAGATAAAGTGGATTACACCTAGGATTTGCTTTTCAGTAGACAGGGCATATTCAGTTCCAAATTTCTGCATTACCTAAAGAACAGAGCGTTTATTGTCAACCATGGTTAGCACTTGAAGTTTATCCTTCATGGTAAGGCATTTTCTGCTCTTTGTGGTCTTAACCAATGTACTCACAATGTGCTATTTATATATCATGAGAGAACAGGACTGCACTGTGTAGTAGCTACAAGTAGACTCAATATGGCAAAGCTGTGTTGTTGTGATGTGGGTGGGACCACGTGGCCCATGCCGCATCGCTTCACAACAATAACACACGATATTTTTTTGAACTGTTTAATTTTTCCCCAAGATTTGTGTCATTACTCAGGTGGTCCAGTACTCGGGATTTTTACTGAAATATAAAAAGGGAAATATTATGAACTAAAGGTCTAGAAGGACATAGCTGCTGTAAGTAGCTAATGATGGGTAGCTTTTAGCCTATTGTGGTCTAGTGAATTGCTGCCTGACTGCCAACCTTGGTGGTCCAGGTTCATATCCCAGCACACACAGGTGAGAAATGTTTACTCTTAACATGTCCAATAACCACATTACAGTATAATGGAATATTTGACTCTAGCAACCTCTTTACCACTACACCATAAAGTGACAGGTAGAACACCACACTCTCCCTTATTCAGAAGCCTTAAAGGTTTTGGGAAACAGTAAAACCCTCTTTAACATCTTACATGTAAACCATATTTCTTTTGAGCGCGGGTCATGATGGCGGTTGAGATGTCATCAAAGTGAGAATACACAGGGTGCTGACAATCTATCTGCTGAAGAGTCTTCTTTCCATTGGTCCACAACAAGGCACTTGTTGCTGACCAATTGAGGGTAATTCTTTCATGGACATTGTAGTCAACCAGTTTACCTTCAAATAAATAAATAAATAAATATATAAATAAATAAATACATTCTGCTCTCATCTGCACAGGAAGAATTTGTTGGAAAAAGCAAGTACTCTACAGTCTTTCATTATCCAGTAAACTTAACAAACAAACATTCATAAAAATAAACTGAAGTATTAAATTCTATTTTCTTGGTCAAGCCGGAGAAGATGACTTCTGGGGAATATCTGTTTTCTTGAGGTAGGTAAACTGTCCCACTGTAAAATTGATCAATCTGAGGCTCAAGTTTTTCATTCAGTACAAAAAGAAGAAAATCATTAAGATGACCAGAGGTAAGAGCTCATAAAATAGTGGACTGATCCTGACATCCCATCTATAACAAGAATCAAGACTGAAAAACTCAATACAGTACTGTATAATATAACCAAAAAGTCTTGGGTGTTGGATTCCTAAATCCCAGTGCCCAACTTTTGTCACTGGGGATCTAATAGTCAAATGTATTAAAAACTAGATTATCCTCTAACTCTCACAACACCTTCCAAAGACAGATACTTGGCATGAAGGTACCAATATGACAGGGAAAAGGTTGGTGAGTGAAACATAAACAGGCACTCCAATCCAGTTTTGTTTTTGACAACAGGACAAGAGAGAAGATGGTTTTGAAATAGCTGGTTAACTGTGTTCTGTGAAGGACTGAGCCCTGGAATTCATGTTATAGATAAGGAGTTGGGGAATGAGCTACTCTAACTTTCAAAGCAATCACTGTCCAAAGATTCCAATGCCTTGCTTTAGCCTTAGTTTTCAGGATGAAGAGCTGTTTTATAACACTTACATTGATCTGAGCAGACAGTGTAACAAGCTACTGGAGTATATCACATATGGCAAGGGCAGACTGGTAAGGGGGGACTCCAATTGAGATATTGCAGGTCACTTGTCAATTAATGAAATGTTAAAAAATACACCTGTATAAGATGCAGTAATGATGCGGTTCTCATGTGTGGGGTGCCATGAGAATGCAGATATGTAAGTGCTGGAGTCAGTGTTGATAGAGCGGGTAATTACAGCTGGTTCTTGATCCTCTCCACCATGAGTGTAGTGAAGGATGTCATATATCCGTACTGATGAACTGTCTCGACACAGAGATGCCAACAAACCAACTCTGAAATAATTAACAGAAGCTGCATGAAAAGTTAAGAATTATAGTAGCAACAAAAATATGAAGATAACATGGTATGAAAGCCTTTGATGAATGTATCAACTGACAAGGCCACACAGATTTACCTAAGGAGAAAAATACAACATAATATAGTATAGTATTTATGTTGTATTATTATTTTTATTATTATTATTATTATGATGATGATGATGATGATGATGATGATGATGATGATGATGATGATGATGATGATGATGATGATGATGATGATGATAGTGAAACAATTCTTCTTACCTAGAGGGACACCAGGCCAATTTGGTAATGGTTTTGGTTGCATCAAGATACAGCACTGGTCGCTCTAGGCTTCGTAAATCCCATATGGAAACCTGTAATTTCAGAGAATTTGATAGCTAGTTATTAGCCTTAACATACTTTACTGATATGAAACAAATGACTGTAGCTCAATAAAAATTCGTTCCCTTTCCCATCACCTGGTCAAACTACAAAATTACATTCATCTTTTATTCTGACAAGCTGGAGTAATGTATACTCCACAATATTCTACTTGGAGCTCTGGAACCAGATAAATCATACCCAAGAGAGATGATTAGGGATATCTAAGTCAATGTGGCATGTCTGATAGATTAAAGGCAGTTCCATCAGTTTAATTATTTTTGGACTTATTTCAAACCCTTTGATGCATAGAGTTCTGTTGCCTATATTACATGTGTCAGCCAAATGAGTTTAGACTGTATTTCCAATGAACTTTAGGGGTTTCTCAATATTAAGATCAAATAAACTCTAAACAGAACAGCCCTTTGAAGACTCCCATTAAAAATCATGGACATTTGTCACTGAGGCTTCATCTACAACATGGCAAACAGTAGTCATGATACCCAAAATGTTTAAATGATAATTATAACATGCTAAAAAATTATACCAATCGGGTGTGGTGACTGTAGTATATGGTAACTAGTGTAGAATCGGAATTACCTTAAAAAAAACTACACTGTACAGTTGGCTCCACTCCTGCATTTACCAGTTAGTGTTGCCATTGCTCTCTTTCCCTGAGGTGTGAACCCTGAACTCTGAAGTGTGAATTTGAAGCATTCACTAGTGAGCAGGAGGAAGAGGGGAGGGTTGTGTGGGGTAAGTGTCTTTCTGTGGGGGTGGGGGGAGACGGAATACTAGGGGTGAGAAGGGAAAGTGTAATCAGTTGGGAGAAATTACAATGCAGAAAACACTTTGACAATACAGACGGGGCTTCTGCGGTTGAGTATAATCTTCTGGATTAGCCAGATGAAAATATAGTACTGAACTTACAATAGGATGAGAGGGGATGAATTCATATTCTAAGTAAGGTGTTTCTTTGCAAAAGCGGACATTTATGAGCAAATGTGCTACAGCTGTACCACCAATACTTCAATTAGTTATCTAACCACGATCTTGCAACATCGTCAACAAATTAAACTTTCCTTGACTACCCGGTATGTATCTATATTAAGTGTTTCATGTATTACAGGTAGTGGTGACAGTGGAGAAAGTCAACTTACTTGATTCTCCACAAATGAAGCCAAGCGGTGTTCATTGTGGACATCAGTACAGATTCCATACACAGCTTTGGTGTTTGCTGTTGCACATAATTTACCTTCTGCAAAAAAAAAAAGAAGCATTGAAGCATGATACTGTAATCTACATAAACATCCAATAATAATATACATTGTCTATATGTCCACCAACAGTCAACATGATGTACAGTCACTCAAAAAAACTATCTTTACAATAATTATTATGTTGGACAATATGACAATGGACGAAGGATTTTGAAAACCCTACCAAGACAACAGGAGTCACAGTGTTCATTCTGAAATTCATCAATCACCCCAAGTACAGATAGTTTTTTGACGGAATTTCTTACAAAATAAATTTTCAATATAATAAGTTTTGAACATCTCACATTTTCTCATCATGATACATCTCGTACAGAAATTCTTCATTCACTCTTGTATTTTAATAACCTGACAGCTTTCACTGAAGTGATTTCTTGAAAAAATGTTACTTATCCACTGAAGTTATTCAATATAAATTTGCTGAGTATTTAGGTCAAAAGTCCTAACATTTTTTCTTCATATTCAAGCCTTTGTACACACTAACAACTCTGGAGGAGAGGATCAGAGGCTCACCACCACCACTTATTCATTAATGTAAGGTGGGAGTGACTGGCACAGATGCCCACTCCCTTGTGTACTGTCCTCAACACATGTGTGTATACAGTACAGGTATACAGTACTGTATTTTACATATACTGTACTATATAAACTTAAATATAATCATCATTGAATACATAATGTACAAAATAAAATAACACTTACATAACTTATTGACACAAATTTAACCAAAGAATTAGGATCATATAAGGTATAGAAAACTTTCACTTACCTCTTAAATCAAAAACTTTGATGTGTTTGTTGTTCATCCCAGTGATAAGTGTACGATTGGCATGAAGGGAGAACGCAACACTGTGTGTTGTCTCAGCCAATCCAAACTCAATCATAGGCTTCATGACATCCCTAAAACATAAAAAAAAGGCTATAGTTTCATTAAATTCTGGAGGTATTTAAATGTGTTTATAAAAATGGAAAACATGCATGGGAAATCCCTTTTTATTGCTAATGATGTAACAGAGTAACCTGAGAGATACACTGGCAAGCATCCTCATGGTAAGAACCAGAAAGTGTCCAAAAGGAAGCAATGATATTTACTGTACTATAGTATTTATCCTGAAGTACTCTTGAACTAGTTTTCTCCGAGACCAATATTATACATATGTGTGTGTTTATGTGTGCATAGTCATTCATACCAAGTTTGCATACTCTTTCATGATGTGATTAACTCTGGTAAGGTAATTGTCAGGTTATAACATAAGTTAAATGGACCTTGGGACCCTTAACCACACTTACATATGGACCCAGGGACCATAAATCTTAGGTCCTAGGTGCTCACATAAAACTTAATTTAAAGATTAGGGCATAAAATAAAATGGAGAGTAGTATATATAATTTTTGATGAAATAAGACTAAACATTGCCCTTTTGCTCTTGTTACTGGTATGTATTGGTTCATTTAAATCTGACCCAAACACACACACTTACTGTACTAATAAACACTAAAAGACTGAGAAAGTGGCTGTAGGACATGAAAACCAAAGATGCAAGGATAAGTCAGTACTGTTTACTGCCTACTACAAGTACAGTCAGTAGTTGGAGCCACGACAAGTAAAGGCCAGGCAATTGGACAAACCTTTCTCCTTCCCCTTTCCCCTGTCTAAACATGGCTGGGTAGTTTTGGAACTATCACGATTGGCGATGTTGCATTGTATCAAAACAACTGATGATTACACTATGAAGCTAAATAAAATCCCTAAGTCAACTGAACATGACATACTCCAAACTTTTACATCTCCAGCAACAGTGATAAAGACTGTGTGGTGAACTCCAGATAAAAAAATGTACTGTCAATTAAACAGAGAGTATTCTTCACACATCCTCCAGTTCATCAACACTGACTCAAATAGAGACTAACAGGGGGATGAATATGTTTTTAAATTTGTGAAGTGACAATGACAGCTGAATTTGTCATGAGTGAAACAGGAATTATTAAATTCTGAATCAAGCGGGTAAATAACACATCTCATAATTAAAAATGATCTTGGTCATTGGAGATAAAATACCTGCCATAAATCTCTAAGCTATTTTTGAAGGGCACAGAGAAGGTATTTCACGGTCATGTCATCTCACAGGTCACTCACTGAAGACCAAAGTCATCAAGAAATCTAAATACTGTACAGAAGAGGGAGGAAGATGATATAGGGTTTAAAGTTATGAAGAAAATAATACCACGTATAAAAAAAAAAAAATTTATAGTTTCTACAGCTCACAATGAGAATGGATTGTCTGGTTGATGTCCATTGAGACAATGTTCACTGTACCGATATCCATGCAATAATGACACGTGTTTGTTAAGTGGTATAGACTTTATGCCATACAGTACTAACCCAGCACTGGAATTTCTTTGATCAAATGCATATGTAGGCGGCTGACTAGTGCGAGTTACATCACAAACAATAACCGAGTGATCTGTGCGAACTTTGTCCAATCCTGCCGCAAGCAGCTGGGGCTCTTGGGTACTCCATGCTAGAGAGTTGACAGGACGGGAGTGCTTGGGAACTGAGTGGCAAAAACAATTAGATTTTAGTATTATGGAAGACAATTAAAAAAATATTCATCAACCTTAAATACATCTGAAAATTCACTATCAAAACTCATTAGCTAACGATGATATGAATATAGTGGAGTCTAGATAATTTGGTACCAGAAGATAACGTGAATTTTAGTTTAATCGATTTATATGGAATTACAGTAATTAGTTTGATTCCAGATGCCAAATACTACCCATAAGCTGTTCCAAAACTGCTTTACTAACACTACAGTATATACAGTACAGTACATACATAATACAATACATAAAAAATGCAGTAATAAACAGGTCATAAAAAAATATAGTTGTACATTATATAAACAGCTCCTTTCCTTTTCATAATCATCCAGTAGGTTATACCAATACAACACAGAGACAGGCAGGTGCTGGGCTGGTTGTGACCTGCACTGTGTAAATAAAACAGCGGACATTTATTACCACAAAATAACTCATCTGGAGTTGTGTGTTGAATTTTTTCCTGAAAATTGATTACTATAGTACTTTATGATAATGTTTTATAAACCCTGTAACAAACTGAACCTAAATAATATGGGGGTTATGGTAAAATGGCATACTGTTGTATTAAAGTAGTTGGGGGCGGACATCCACTATACCAAGCTGTCAATAGTGAACTATAAACTTAAAATAATAATAAAAACAGGACAGACAGACACAGGTAAGAACACCAACAACATATGAATACGGTTTTCTAAAAGTAGTTATGTATACAGTATACAGTAATTAAGAAAATAAATGCAGTACTATGGTATTATTTACTTACTGAACTCTCTTCCCTTTATTCCACGTGCATCAGGAACTTTGCTGAAAGTTGTGAGAGCAACTTTTCCATTGGCCTGGCCCACTGCTAAAAGCTGATTGGTTGGGTCAGTTTCTTGCCCAGGGCACCAGGACACACACTTGATGAACTGCAGGTCATTATTTGTGGAGAGAAGTGATGCAGCAGTTTTTGGACCTAGACGCAAACCTGGTAAATATAGAAGCAATTATATTAACTAAATAAGACGAAACCCTTTGGAATAATCATTCTTACAGAGCACATTTGTCTATATAATACAGTACTGTGCAGTACTCAGTATTGTAATTCCAGTGTACAGGAAGTGTATAAAGTTGAAATACTGTAAGTGACGGATAATATCCTGTACCATAAATAGCATCATCATCAAATATCTCTTCACACACACATGCACACAGAAGCACACATACATACATACACACACTATATTTAGTTTAAATTATAATTATACACCCTTCATCATATACAAATCTCCAATAAAAATGCAATTGTGTACTCTGCTAATACACAAGTTAATTAGTTATAAGCCAAATCTTTGTTAAATAATTTGCTACCTTCCATCAACACACTAATCTTTATCTATGTACATCATTTACAAACAGAACATTCAATTTGTTCTCGAAGTTTTTGCTGATCATCTGTACCAAACAGTACAGTAAACTCTTGTTATTCGCAGGGGTTTGGTTCCAAGGAATGGCGTGAATAGGCAAAATCACGAATAGCAACTTAAACTACCTTAGTGCACTACTATATATCTATACCAAACAACAGATCAGCTGCGGCAGCACTCATCCCCTCCTTTAACTTGTCTAATAATTCAGCTTTCTTTGTCAGGGTCATCACTGAATTCTGCCTTTTACATTTCACTCCACTAGCACTGACACTAGGCAGTTTTTAAGGGGTCATTTCACAGAGAAACACTAAAGTTTTGAGAGTACAACATGAGATGCTGCGTGGGGTGACTCGTTGCGCTGCAGGAAAAGGCTCACAAGCTAGCCACCATAGCCATGAGCTGCTTATCGTGAATCGCAAACCCGCGAATGGCAAGGGTCAAATGTAATGTATTCTTTTCACATTTCATGACCATGACACTCAATACTACTCTCTTACACTCTGCATACTGTAAACTCTTCCTCTACTACCACCACCTCTCTCTTCCTCTCCCACATCAATTGGCTCACTAAAATATTTTTCTTAATGGCCATACAATTAAATAAAGTAATCTTATTTTCACATTATAAAAACACTAAAATTAGCAATATGGCTACTGTATTCAAATAAAAATCTATCAACTTTATCAGGCAAAGAAAAAAAAAGAAAGAAAAAAGTCAAATTATTGAACATTGGCGCTCTTAACTGCTGCAACTTACGAGGCAATTGGACTATTTCTGTTGGCGTAACATCCTGAACTTGGTAGAGCTGTAAATCAGATCCCCAAGTAAGGAACTGGTCAGCCGCGACTGGCGACCACTGCACATCCACCCTCACACTACTCATAGTAAGTCTTCAGTGGTGATATGTACATTCTAACTGAAAAGAAGAATTTAACATTAACAAGTGAAGTACTGTACTGTATTGTGCTGTATGTCTCTTATTAAATCTAAAAACATTAGGAAGGTATGACAAGTATAATTTAATAAAATAGACAAAATTATTAAACTATAAACTTAATCTCATATACCAAATACACAATAAAGTTTAAAAAAAATCTAAAGAAAAAAAAACACGAAGATTAAATATCCCATATTACTGTATGATTAACCACCCTAATGCTAACCTAGCCCAGGTAGCATTAGGGTGATTAAATTTCATGTAAAAAAAAAAGTGGTGATGTACAGTACAGTATTACCCCGCTTTACGCGGTTTCACTTTCCGCGATTTCTCATTTACGCGGTGCCTTGCCAGAACCGAACTTTCACTTTCCGCGGTGCATCTACTCATATACGCGGGAAGTGGTGCAGGCAGGATGCGCACAAGGTCGCCCAGTCATCAAAACATTACCGAGTTCTTCACCCGCCACCCACCACAGCCGGCCTAAGTCAGTGATAGTGAGGATATGGACTTACATGGACTTTGAGGGGTTTGACAAAGAGGCCCTGCAAGCCTATGTGGTGGATAGTGATACAATTGATACAAGTGATACAGGTGAGGGCCAATAACCTGCCCTCTGCCTCGGAACCAACCCCCCATCCCTATGCGCCCAGCCATCTTTTCTACTAATGTAAGTGTGAAAAAAACTAATATTATTGATATTTCTCTTAATTATTAATTGTGTGTGCATACCATCATAAAATTAAGATGTAATTTTTACTACAACGTAGGTATTGTGTCTGAAAAAGTGGAGTTTGGGGGTCGGGCCAGTCTCTATTGGAATTAATCCCATATGTTCTGTTGTTCACTTTCCGCGGTACCCCATGGGTTCAATTGACCGCGTAAATCGGGGTACTACTGTACTGTATTAATTTAATGTTTGAATCATTTTGTTGATAAAAGTTGAAGCTCCTATATGCAGCATTCTAATACAGTACACATCAACTCCCAAAAACCCTCTGCTTTCAGAAATTCCTTTACCCAGCAAACTTCCAAAAGAATGGTGTGGTTGGATGGTAACGTGAACAAACATCCTACTGCCCAGAAAACCTCCCATCGAGTGGCGGCGTTTTGTCGCTTTGCCAACTGGCTGCTAATATTTTGTTGGTGCACCAATCGCTCCCTTCATTCAGTTCATCTATTTTAATTCACCCTTACAAAACTGCACCATGGCTCCCAAATGTATGTTTATATACAAGTCCAGGTACGCCATGTATCGGTAACCTGTTACAAATACATAAGAAATACAACCTTCTAAATAACGGCAATTCCCTATATCTGGCAAGGAGCTGGTCCCATGGCTGCCAGATACAGTAGCTTCAATCTGTATTCTGAACATGACTCACTGTTAACAGGAGGTAAATACAGTATAGTACTGTACTTTAAATCCCATGAACAAGTGATATTTTAAAATAGCATTTGTTATTATGAGCCACTTTAGGATAAAATTCTAAAAAGAAAACTTGTTTCTTTCTTTTCAAAAGTTTGCTCCCTCCCAAAATAAAACAGTATTGACTCCAAATGAAATAAAACAGCACACCTGCACCAGATGACAGTCAGGGTAAGTATGGAGACTCATTCCTGTGTCTCAGTTTCACTGTGGGGTGTAAACTTTTGTTTGCAACTGTACATGCAAAAAAAAAAGCTGCAACCTTTGAACAGTTTTGTAGAAACGATTATAAATTGTTTTTTGATTTCATAAATATCAACAAATAACGAGGTTTTATGGTAACTTTCATATTATCATCACTAGATGATTTATTGTGAATAAGACGAATGAACACACCAAACCTGACCTAACCCAACATAACTATCCTAGGATGGAAGTACATTATTTTAGGTTAGGTTAAGTAGGCTGGTTAACATGTTATTGTATTATTAACAGTTCATATCTGATAATTAAGATAAGGTAAGATATCGGTTAGTTTGGGTAGGTAATTTTTGTGTCTGTTTTACCCCATAATTTCCCTCTACTTCAAAGCCCTGTCCACTTTGTGCAATCAAAATTTTTTGTTGGTGAGGGGAGTGGAAGAATAGCTCCATAATGGCACATTCTCGGAAATGAAAGTCAGATTCGACTGAAACACTACAAAAACATATATTTAGTAGTTTCTAAGGTTGACCTTTCCTTCTAAATCTTTACTAAAAGACAGGCATGGGTAACTTTTCCTGTCATGGGCCACATTACGATTTAGGTATGTTTCTGCGGGCCAACCCAACGAAATTTATATCCTATCTAACCCAAAACAGGGGCGGATCAAGGAATCTAAAAAAGGATAGGTCCAAATAGTTGTGGAGAGATCTAACCAGACAAGAATAAATGGTTAGAACAAACAGCCAGGCATGAAGGAAGAAGTACTATGGAGTGACAGTCTGTCAACAAAAGACCTTTACCTTCGACCCGTGTGACCACCTTCCGTGACCCAACTTGGACTTGCCCAACAATAGTTAATTCCCAAGTGACCCACTGCCACATAGCAGTTAATCCATCGAACAGACTGCACCAAACTTGGCCCGTAAACTCACACAAGTTAAAATGTTTACTGTATATTGTTGATGAAATAGTGATGAATAGAGTGTGAAGATTATTCTTTTAATAAATATTGCTTTACCCACCATAAACTGGCTGCATCTATCTGAACCTTGGGCCACATTAAATAGAATTTCTCAATCAACTCCCGGGCCGCACAGAGACATGGTTCAGGCTGCGGGTTGCCCATGCCTGCCATAAGATGTACCAGAGAAATTAAAGTAAGAAACACACAATTCCCCAACTTTCATTGATATATTTAAAAGGTGAGAAATAAGTTTTCTTCAAAAGGATTTTTTCCAAAAGTAGCTCATAAGGTAATGAAGCAGTTTACAGCAAATACAGATTTCCTGAAATTCACTACAATCAATCAACAGAGCTATTTTTCTCTGATAATTTTCTTATATTACACTTCCGTCGCAAATTTATAATAAGGAAGTTATTGAATTTAAAAAAAAAATAAAATCAGAACACCTGTTGCTCCTACAGTACACTGTTGCTCAAATTGTGTGTTCATACGTCCGCTTACCTCTCACACATGTGACTGGGGGCGGCCACCAATAAAATCTAGGGCGGGGAGGCAGCCAATCAAATCCAATAAAACATCTCAACTTTTGATTCAACCAATTAGCGTTCAATATTTGGCGTGGATGTGGGACATTTTTAATCAGTTGCAACATGGAGCCATAACATGCTGGGTGTGATTTCGATTACCGGAAGTTTATCACATTATTTCATTCTAATCACAAGAAATACTGTAACGGCTATTTATATTCTCGTGGAGGCTGACCGCGCGACTCTAGGGTTATTACATAGCATTTGGGGGTCACTGGGGGTCCGGGGCTCCGGTTAGGTAAGGTTTAGTTTGATTATATGGTATAAGTTTACAAGCATTGAGTACTGGGAATTCAGAATATGCAATCGATAGAACTAATAAGAGCGGGGAACTAAATCACAAACTAGTGGATTTCCGACAAAAACGAAGATCAGATTTGAACTAATCGCATCATAACCCATCAGAAAACCACGTTTTTTCCTTCAAATTCCATGGTTGCTGTAATATGCACATTTACCGCTCATAATAACAAGCACTGTGTAGACTATTACATCAAGTAAACTGTACACCTGCACTGTCTATGTACAGCACTGTAAAATGCTGAACCAAAGCGACCTTGTACAACAATTTCACATAACAACTCCTAAACTATTGAATATCTGAACAAAATTTACATATTAATCGTTCAGCTGATAACGAGTCTATATACAACCAACACATTTTAAAACACAAACTACTTACTTCATCAACAGGATCGTCCTTTTATCAGGATAATAACTACAAACTTTGAGTTGTCTAGTACTGATATCTAATGTATAATTCAGCTAGCACTAATACTTAATGTATAATTCAGTATAAATACCTATAACAAGGAGGTGAGAGCAGGCTTGTGTGAGGACTCTCTGCACTTGTTTACATCCATCAGCTGATAACACTCAACCTAAAACTTTTATAACATTTTTTTTAGTCAAATACAGAATAAACATGATATTGGTCAAACATTATCTGTTAATATATATTTTAAGAAACAATATGAGTAGTAGTTTGAACGTTTGAACCATACATACAGGTATATATATATTTTTTAAGTGTTGGTGCTCGCATTTTTATTTTATTTATAATTTCACGAGGTTCTTTATAACTTTAAATAACTGGAATAATTCACCTAACCACATTAAGTCTGGTTTAGTCACAAGCAATTAAAATCATTATCAACCCTAGAATCTGTGCACGTGTGTCATCTGCTGGTTGTCAACTATAGTTCATGAGCTTCCGGGTGCCATTTTTACAAAGTCTCTTTTAGACTTTTCCATATAATCATATAAGGGCCAGTGACGTCACGTTTTTTACATTATGCCACTACTGGTTTGCTAGCCACTACCATAAGTTACTCTCCTTCACCTAATGTGCCCTTTTACAATACAAATATGCACCAGTGACCAAATATTTTTGTTCTATACAATTCATAATACCCCCAAAAAATTATGGAATCCTTATAGGTAATACTGTACATGGGAAAAAAGTGGCAAGGAAGTTGTTTCAAGTGGAAAACTTGAACTTGGCACATACAAGTGCTAAAAGGAAAACCGCAAGACTATCTTTCATGGTTTAATGTGTTCTTGATTATATAAAAAAAAAGAGTATGAGGTAACTTGTTACCATTAGCATCAGACATACATACGAGAGGTCACCCTTGTCTTAAAATATACCTTAACTACTTGAATAAAGCATTTGATGCTGCTATGATAGGTTCCTACACCTAACTATATTAACATTAATCACATTATGCATGGCTAATGACCCGTGTCAAGACCTCTTCTGCAGCAGATATACATTACTGCACTTTACTTTTATCCTCTTTGCCACTGATCGCCTCGTTAGCTGCTTGGGCAGTTGGTCATGTCTCTGTTATGCAATGTTTGCAAGTACAAGTACTGGGCGTGAACTAGCTCCAGTGTTGGTCAAGACTGGTTTTGAAAGAGCTCTCATTCAGTTCCGTCACAACACTTCATTCTTCATCACCAATTTTTTTTGCCGTTTTTGTAACTCCCGCCTACAGATACAGTTCATGCTGTCAGGATGTCCTTTTTCCAGGTTTATTAGTCTTGGAGCTGCAGCCTCCTGATTTTTTTTTCAAGTGTAATTTTCAAAGTTTCATACAAATGCCAAGGATAAAAATTTATTTTCATATTAAAAAAAAATTATATGTTCAATAGGTTATGGAAGGTTTATTATGTACGTATATACACCAATGCTTGTAAATACTGTACAGTATATTAGTTCAAACTAACCCCCCCCACCACAACTGGGTCACTCTGACTCAGGGTATTGCCCATGTACTGCACGTTTGTTATAGGACAGTAACTCTCCATGATAAAGACCTAAAGACAATGATGCAGCGAGTGGTGCACCTACTATAATAATAAATAAAGCCACAGAGGTGCAACTAAGGGAGCACCACTACTAAATAGACTCAGACGTGTCAATATTGCTGATGTTGCTCTCTTTGTATAGATATTTTTCCGGCTACATAAACTGCTTCAACTTCAACCAAATCTTCTAATAATAAGTTATGAACCCAACACAATAATTTAATGAATGGATGGATGCAAGCTCAGTGAGACACATAAATGTGGATGTTTTCTCCCTTGACTTTCCAACAGAGAGCAGTACAGTGGTCCCTTGGTTAACGAACGGTTCGATTAACGAATTAGCTCCCATAAGGATTTTCAGTTCGATTAACGAACAAAACTTTGACAAACGAAATCCTTATGACAAACACGTTCGGCTGTGCACATCAGCTGATCGGCTAGTCAGCCAAAACAGTAATCGGTTCTATGTTTACATTCGTTTCCAGTAGAGTAAATATCAAGAAGGTTGTGCTCTTTAATATTTTTGCATTTTTTATATTAAAATTATTATTAATTTTAAAATTTGGTTAACATATTGATAATATATGCTGTACGGGAACTAGTTTTTTGTGTGCCCATCAGCCGCTTGACTCACCCGCCAAAACGTCTCTGTTCAAATTTGCTTACACTGGAGGAAACATTGTTTATTGTTGGTCTCTTCAATACAGAGTATTTTACATTTTTACATTAAAATTATTGGTCATTCTGAAATTTAGTTAGCATATGATAATATATAGGGCAGTGCAGTGTTGATTTAAATAAAATAATTTTAATTACAGCTAGTGAACTTAAAATTTTATTAGTGAAATTACTGCATCAAGCATGGGTGAGAAAGATGATTTCCCTCAGTGTTCCTCTCCAAAAAGGAGAGAGCATTTTCATGTTCGGTTAACTGTCAGTCCAGAGGTTCCTGACATTATTATGGAAGGTGACTCGCCTTCCAAGAAGCATTAAAATGCTTCTCTTCTCCCTTCTCCACCCCACACTTCTAATTCCCCCCCATCATCATCATCATCCAGCAACATTCTACATACACACCTCAAAGTAAGTGTACTGTACTGCATTTTGTTTATACTTTGTATGTACTTTTCTGTGAGTTGGAACCAATTACCCAATATCCCATTGAAATAATATTCGATTAATGAACGACTCTGTGGAACGAATTGTGTTCATTAACCGAGGGACCACTGTTTCGTATAATAAATCACTATCAGAACTGAGAATTGATGCAAAGATACTTGAAGAAGCAATCATAATTTAATGACCATACAAATATACAAAATGCTGAATACCGATCTTATACTCGTCAAAAGATTTTCTTCTTCCAAGATGGATTGTGTTAAGTTTATTTTTACTGTCACAAACAAATACAGTGGATTACATTACAATGTGTTTAAATCAATAGCCTCTGAAGTAGGGAATTTCAGCACCTGTAAAGTATCTAAATATGATCTTAATGCCAATAACAGCTGACATCACAACCTCACATTACCTGACTCCATCAATGGGAAAAATTATATCACGTACCCTTCATCCCAAACCAAATCCCATACACCATGGAAAAAAAATAGAAAGAGAAAGAGAAATTTAAGTACAGCACTGTATATTCTACTTCAATGGCTCTCCTCAGACAATTTTGTTGTAACAAGAAACATAAACAGGATCACTCCACTTAATTCAGTTGACAAATTATTACTATTCTTCACTGAACATAGAACATGACCCACTGTAACGCACATAAAATATGCAACACACATTCTTTTGAATAAAAAAAAAAGGCAGAGCAGAACCAAAGTATCGGGAGCTGACTGATCATCCTCTTGAAAGCTTATAGACTTGCTCTGTGCACTCACCTCATTTACAAGCCTCTGTTTGTATCTGCTTCCCCCTACATTTCACTAGTTTGTGGTGTTTGCTGCTTTGAATCTAACTATTACAGGTATTTCAGCCTCAACATTATTGTAACCTGAAAGATGGCTGGTAAAAATGAATCAAGTAACAAGGACTTGCAATACTCCATAAGTGAGGTGAACATCATTAGTTTGGATGTGAAAATAAATATTTTAATACATTACAATGCTGGTGATAAATTGGTCATCAGTGCAGGTACAACATTTAAGACAATATCATCCATGTTGAATTGTATTTTTTTCTTAATTAACAGAGCCAAAATCATGAACAGCAACACATCTTCCACAATGACCTCCAGAGTAAAATATTTTTTGTGTAGCATAGTTTTGCATAACATTGTTTTACAGGCACCCATATATTTCCATACATTAAGTGCAGTGTGCATGAACTGTACTTTGCCCTGGCAATTGTTTAAAAAAGGCAGGTAAACCTATACAGTACCTAAAATTTTGGTAAAAAGAGGAGAGTCGGAGATGTGTTTAGCTGGAGTAGGAATATTGTACCAAATTATTAAATTATTTCTTATAATCACAAACCATTATCTATTACTAATTGAATATTGTACAAAAATATTTTAGAGAAAAATTCAGACAAACACTATAACTCTTGTTACACATGATCATCTGCAAAGGTGTTTACTGTACATTATATCAAAAGTCTTATCATTTACTGTAATTGTCACATTAATATTCATACAAAGCATTACAATACAGTGTAGTTCAAAGAAACTAAGTGCATTAGCCTACTCATTTATCACAAGTGTCTAAAACAGCCTTCTTTCTCTACTGCATAACAATAAAATTACCATCTGTTTAAATACATTATATCACCTTTTCTGACATTCAGTGCAAGTTAGAACATGCAAATTAACCTGCAATTTTTACCAGATAAAAAAATATTAAATAGTCAAATAACATTTAATTTGAAGGACTGTAACAAAATATTTCTGAGAACATGAAATCACATCAGGTCTGTTTTAACTGATATTCTCCAAGAAGCGAATAGCTACATCATTATCCCACACACTATTATAACAGACATCAACACACCAGGAAATTCACGATTAAGTTCCTAAAAAAATATCCATAAAAATACTTCTAGGATCTAAAGCTTTGCTGCTAATGAACACATATCAAAATAAATTGTTCCTTGAAAAAATATCAGATAGAATATATGAAGGCACATTTATTGACAATTATCATGTAAATACAATACAGATATCAGTATCATTTCTATTAACTGACAGACGTGCATTACTTAGTGTGCAACCATCTTAAAACATTGCACACCCACTCGCTTATAAATATAGGAATTGGAAGGAGTTTAAGATGACTTAGTAAGTCCATTGAACAAACAAAATAAATCTTTGCTTAACCTTCAAAATCTACAGGGTGTCCATAAATGATTACCCTAAAAACAGTATGCTAGCATGCTTTAATCAGGGTAATCATTTGTGGACCCCTGTACTTGAAGATTGTAAAATAAAAAAATAAACAAAAAAGCACCTTGACTGCCACTTACCAGCCAAGACAGGTAGGTGACTATTTATGCATAAGCAGATACACTTTTATTCGCAATAAGCATGACAGAATAGTTTTTGCGTGCAAGACGGCAGTTTCCTTCACATCCAACAATGAAGATACTGTAGTACATGTAATCACCAGGCCATTGAAGATGGTAATTTGTCATGTGAAACTTACAAAAAACACCACTTATGATAAGAAGGTAATACAGTACAGTACTATACTGTACTGTACACTCTTAATGACAACCAACTCTGGCTGCCACTCTGCTTGACATCCAATCTTTAAGTGGCTGCTTGACTGTTATGCACACGAACTGAAACTCTGACTCAATTCTCAACCAAAGTCCCTAAACATACTAAGGGTCTGTGCTATCCACCAATCCTATGACCTTTTTTTAACAGAAAAACATAAAAGGTGACTGCGATGACTGTTCATATCATCAGCTTATAATCAACAGGAAATGTTGAAGATGAGTTTTATGAATAATGTTTATACTGCATTACACTAAACTTTTACTTACAAGCATCACAAGATGTATCTAGTTTTGATGATAAATAAAGCTATAATATTGTCTTAAGTCATAAGAGTGTTTTCTAGCAAAGGTGATACAAAGAGTGTTACAACTTCTCAATTAATTGTTTCTTAAACTTAGTACGTACAATAATTTAATAATTCACCGAGTTGTGTAAAAACCATATTCATCCCAAAACTTAAAGCATAAATCAAAGAGTACAACTATCCTCTCATTAAGGCACAGACACAGGTATCTTCAAATGAAAAAATCACACGTATTAACCATAACCCTAAAGTAATATATAATTTATTATTCAAAATATTGTTTCCATATAAGAAACTTTACATGTACATGAAAACTTTAATTGTTCAAATTCAAGAAGGCTGAATCCGCAGGCTCAAGAGCTTAACTTTTGGGTGCAGATCTAAAATAATGAATTATAAAATAGCATCCTTCACCTTTATGCTAGATGCCATAAGAATACCCATTAGCATGAAAATATCCTGAAAAAGGGAGGCAGCTGAAGAGCTTCTGTTGCTAAACATCAACATGTACAGTCAGGGACAAAGTTCACTCCCACGGTGAGACTGAGTCACAAGAATGAGTCTCCACACTTACTTACAAATACCCCGCTGTTATATTTCATTTGGGGCCGATGCTGCTTCATTTTTGGAAGGAGCAAGCTTTTGACCCCAGCTGTACTCTCCAATCAGCTTAAGTTTGACAATGGCTACCTGATCTTGTCACAAGGATCCTCACTTCATATCCAGCTTACCTCAGTGTCCACCATCTGACCAACTTCCTAGGTTCTAGCCTCTAATCACAAGACATTCTCTTTTACACCAACTTTCCCAGCAATTTGTGGGCAGCTGAAACTTAAATCACATTTAAGAAAGAATGCAGATGACCTTTATCAATAAATAAGATACAGCACTCCTTCCTCAATGCTGATTACCCATGTATTGTATTGGGAATACCAATCAGAATGATAATTTTGTCAATTAGTATAAAAACTCATCCTGGGAGGAGCCCATGATAACCCTTTTTAAGGTACAATACCTTTATGTCAATGGGTATCCTATGAGCTCTGGTATAAAGGCAAAGGAAAATATTAATTTTATATTTATTAGATTTTTAGATCCCAGGCACATCAGCTGGCCCTTGGAGATTGAGATCCAACTGTCAAGACTTGCTAGATATAAAGAGTTTCTTTGTTCTGATGTTTAGTTATACAGTAACTGAAGTGACCGATCCTGAAATCCTATTTTATATCTGAGCCTGTAATAAGCTTGGGGCTTAGGAGCTAATGAGAGACCTAACCTACAATGCCTGGAACATTAATCTGAACATCAGCCTTCTCTCCTACAAACAACTCTTGTTTTATATCATTCAACTAAGGTTTAACCCTCTTGCACATTATGATGCGAATTGCTTCAAATCATTAGGTAGCACTATTTACATCGGTGAGGCGAATTGCATCATTAGACTTTTAAAACTTTGCGCCCCAAAAACTTTTCAAGGAAATTGTGTAAAATTTTTCGTGTGTCACAGATGATGGCATGATCTTGTGAAGGAAGCTTCCAGAAAGTACCAAAGTGTGGGCGGAGGTCAGTTGTTTGTCAGTTTCCTCCCGTCAGTCGTGCTGGTAGGTCGTATTTGTCCCTTCTCCTCTCCCACCCTCCCCACAATTAGTCATTCAAAATTCCAAAGCCACTGTTAGAAAGCTTATAAATTCTGCTTCTTTAACTCTGATAATAACTTGGTAAGTTTTGAGAAAATATCTGAGATATGATGCTGGAAATACAAATAATTTTTTTTTTATTCAGAGTGAAAAATAGTCTTATTCTCATCTTATTTTTTCTGCTTATGTTAAAAGACAAAAGAATAATGAAGTCAGTGATGTATAAATCACGGAGAGAAAAAAAAACCTTGTGGGATAAATTGACCACAGAATGAAGATGCCCAGACCACACATGACTGGTTCCATATTACTTGTGTCGTGGTCACAGAAGCTTAAAAACTTATTGCATGCATGGGAGGGTTAATCGTAATTTAGGGTGTACAACCCCAGAACTTCCTGCTTACCACAACTAAGTGAACATCTGAGAGAGGAGGGAGGGAACTTAAGTTTTCTTTTCAGGCTCAGTTATAAACTGATATTTCAAGATCAATCCCTCATTCATAACCTCCTGGTAAGCCTATCTAGAACAACTCATACTTTTAAATACAAAAATTCAGCTAAAATAAAAAAGGTGAGACATATTGTTATAAATTCTATGCCTGAAGCACACACTCTTGTGTCTGACCTTACCTCAGATCAGTCTAGATGACACATTATTCCATTTCACAGCATGGGGTAAGTCCCCTAAAACTTGAGATACAAAGTATCAAAAAATATATGCATCATGGTTCATACAAATAATCTGCAGAGTGCCTGGGTAAGATGATGACTTCCACATACCACACCCATTTATTCTTCATTAGGTTGGAAATGCACGTAAATGCTTGTAAATTGTAAGGTACAAAACCACTCTTATGTTAAGGGCATAAAAGAAACATCAAGAATTGTATATCCCAACTTAAAAGAAGTCCAAAGTACTGTACATCATAATGCCAGCACTTATCTTTCTGATGAAGAAGCACACAGAAGACTGACTCCTTCAGCTGGGGAAGTGGGCAGCTATGTGTCTTGGTTTATGACTGAGCCTGAGATGAATGTGTTGTGTGACAGGCAACTCTTTAGTTCTTAATCTTAGGCAACTACAGCTTCTTTCTTACTTCAGGTTACTGTACTGTTGCCCAACTAGCATAACTTAGGAATTCCCTGGGATTCTAAGCTCGGCACCTATAGTGGGCATACTCATGAGTTGTTCCAGGCTGGCTTAGAATTGTAAAGTATATCATTCAACTAGCACATTATTCTTCTATTAAGTGTTAACAAACAATATAGAAATCTGATTAATCCTGATCTTCAAGCATCAGCTAATGTCCCATTAACAGCATGTTTATCAATTCTATTCGTATCTATTCCAATAAACTTTGTTGTTTCCTGCATTATGAATTGACTGAAAATTGGCTGAAGTTATCCAGCAAACATTAAATACAATAATATCTGGTGTGCTACAGATTGAATACAGTATATATTAATATAAAATTAAATTCACAAAAGCATATTGCAATGCACAAAAAAGGACTAGATTTTATATTACCTAAAATTATCAATACAGTATACAGTATTGTATTTGGTAGATAAAAGTAATTTGATTATTTGATCCAATCAACACAGATCTTTCGGAGATATTCAACTCAAATTTTCAAATTTTCTGAGGATGAATTTGTTTCTATAATACAGTATATGATAGTGATGTCCTAGTTTCAAACGTTTTCCAGAATCCTGATATACTGTAATACACTGTATTACAAAACAAGGTATTCATATATTAGTTTTGTAATGCTCAATACTGCTGTACTTTCAATACAATGCCTTACAAAAGTTTTTGGCATAAAAACCTCTCAATCACTCTTCTTGTTTATGACTAAATATTTCCTATGGGTTGAGAAGTGATGAGTCACGATCAGTGTCCTGAAGATCCTGGGCCAGACGCTCATCAATGGGAGAGTAGCCACCATAGCTGCTGGGAGCACTTCCTGTTCCCCTGGCACCACAGTAGCGGTCACAACGAAACACAGCGCCACATCCATCCTAATAAATAAAAATAAACATTCACAGTTAATTTACACCAATGTAACCAGTATAGTACTAACAAATGGGCAATCAGAAAATTATGCCATACATGGCCACCTGTAAAAGAAAATAAGAATCATAACATACTACAGTATATAAATTTACGATAGAAATGAAGCAACTGAGTCTACTGGGCTCTGATATCACCCCGAGTTGTTGCACCAGTCCTATATTCTTGACACACTATTCTCTTTTGCATTTCAGTACATAAAATGTAAATCAGAATCATTTTTTTTTCTGAAAACTTGTTAAGACACACACCAAGAACAGACTTTTGAATGCTACCATTTCCAGATTTTTGCATCACTACTACGAATATGTTGGCATTTTTTTTAACCAGTCAACTAATAACACTTACAGCCAGCATGTTGCCAATCTTGAACCAAAACTCCCGATTTGGTATCTGCTCCACACCTTTAGCCCCCTTCACCAGGCGCAGGTAGAAGAAACCAAAGGTGAAATAAGAGCCAAAGATCACAAGGAGTCTGAAACAATAAATACATATAATAATAATCTAATAAATAATGGTGTCTCAATTTTACATTATCTTTACATCAAACCTTATGAATATAAATAAAACCTTACTAATCTAATATGAAGTTCATTCAACATCTTAGTCAAAAGGATGGAAACCAAAGGTAAAGTAAATCTAATTCTGTAGCATAGATCAGATTTATCAAAAACATGTACTGTACTGTATATCATTTTAGTAGCAATTATTATTCCAGTATTTTCAGTTAATTCCAAGTCATACAAGCTTACATTGATTCAGCATTTACTGTATATAGACAATGCAAGTACTGTATACAATTCCACATGTACAGTACAGTATAGAGACAATGCAGGTAGAGTACACAAAATGTCAGTACTGTACAAAATAATGAATACTGTACAATATCCGAAGGCCTCCATAACATATAACTCACATGATGAAGAAAATGGCACCACCGCTGAGACCTTGATTCGATAGTGAACAAACACAGCTATGGCGCACAACAAACATCATGGAGCATGTAAGGGAGCCATGAAAATCCTCCAGTATTTCAAGTTGTACCTTCAATGAGAACAGAATATGTTGTACGTATTAGAACTTGGTAAAGAACTGTTAAGGTTTTGTAGGTGGTATAGTGAGTTAAGTAAGTGAATTGGGGTGAATGTTTTCTACTGGACACATCTATTGTCTACTGACTAGTTTCTTTAGGCATTACAGTAGTTTATAAAAGTATTGAATTTAATAGGAAAGTTGATAAAAACATCAGAAAGTGGTTTTACTGTATATGGCTGACACTGCATATTTTAAATGGCATTTGAAGTACAGTACAGCAGTTAATGTTTTTGTTTTACAATTATCAATGAGCCTACAAAGTGCACAATCATAGGGTCATCAATTTGATTAGGTGGAATGGGTAGTATGCTGGTAAGTGGTGTGGGAGAGAAAAGTTTTGTCTGGCATACATGTATACTGTAGTTGTATCCTAGTTCCCTGGCATATTTTCCAAAATATACAGTACAGTATATATAAAATAGATAATTTTTTTTAATAGTAAGAGAATGAATGGATTAAAGATATATATTCAATCTTGATTATCAGAAACTAATCACAGTATCATCCTACAGTACTGTACAGTATATGTAACAAAAAAATATAAAGAACATCTAACCTTGTGTTGCTGATGGTCACATAAAAACAAGATGTGAGATGCTCCTGCGGTCCCATTACATTTTTTGTACTTTCCCTCCAAGCCTTTTGCACCCAGAAAGGTCAGCATCAATGAATTTCCTATGGCAGAAACATAAGTTAAATAAACATTATTAAACACAAATAAACTACTATGACATAGAACCATTAAAGTAAAAACAGTCAATATAACGTAATCATACTGTATGTGGAATTTTGTTTTATCATTCTGTTCATATTATTAGTGCAGGGTGGTAGAAATTAGAGAAACATAGATTAACTCTCCAGTCACTCTTATTACTGTACTGGAACAAATAGGCTCTGCTATGGTGTTCCACTCCTACAGGATCACCAAAACCTTTTAAAATTTTACCAATCTATTTCACCGACCCTATACATGGTTGGTTTATACAGCCAGTGTCCGCTTGACAAACGCGATGAGTTCCTGAACACCTGTACGTTAACCAGATGTATGTTACATGTGTACTTGCTCCAGTTATCAGCCATTAGCACATCCATCCCCATAAACCCGCTATGTAACCGTCTCCAGTCAGTCATTCATGCACACTGCTATTTCCTGGATATCAATTCCCTTCTCTTCTATAACTCCTTCAACTTTATCCTTCCATTTCCTTCTTGGCTTCTACCTGTCCTTCCCACCATGTGCCTTTTATTTACACACTCATTAAATAAAGTTAAAGGGCCTGAGAGTGAATGTGGCAAAAATAAAAGTAGTGATTAGTGGCATGAGTGAGGGACCCACAGTGTTAAGTGGAAAATGGCCAAGTGCTGTCTGTAAGAAAGGTGGCGGTAACAACTTAATTCAATAATGTGGAACGTGTATGGAAGGTGGGTACAAAAGAGGTGCAATAGAGTATATGGTAGACTGCAGGATTTTGCACAGGTGACCATTAATCTATTGCAAGGCTGTAGAAATTCAACATTGTGGATATGTCTCTGGAATGCATCGATTGAATTCTTTTACCTGGGTGACATGATCAGTGCCAGTGAGGGTGCTAAAGCCTGCTCAGTTGCAAGAGTCAGAAAGTGTCTTGAGGAAATTTAGGGAGTTGTTGTCTTTACTGAGGGCAAGAGGACCTTCCCTTCACGTGAAAGGAAGAATTTATGCAGTTGGCATGAGAAGTGTAAAGTTGAATGGTAGTGAAACATGGGAAGTTAAAGATGACAAAAGCAAAATAGAGTGGGTTGAAATGAGAACGGTGAGGTGGATATGCAATGTGACACTGAATGAGAAGAGGCTCTGTTCAAAGTTAAGAGAGTGGCTGGGTAAGTTCTGCATAGAGATAGGCTGAGATAGTCTGGGTCAAGAGCTCCATGAACCTAAATATGAAGGGGAGGAGAGACTGGGGGAAATAAAAAATTACATGGGGAGAGGTTGTAAGAAATGACATTAAACTTAAGAACCTGACAAGAGAGACTGCAAGAGACCATGCAGCATGGGGAGCTGCCATCACATAATTGTGGCTAACCCACACCAGCATGGGATATGGCTGTAAAATGATGATGATTTTGATGACTAATATTATCCATCTCACAATTATTCATGAGTGTTGTGGTCAATGTGGTCATCATTACTGTACTCTGATAATCATGGTCAATAAAGCCATTCACTAATACAAGTATTCATGAATGTAATACTGTACAGGAAGTCCCCGACTTACGAATGCCCATCAATAAGAATGAGGTTAAACTTAAAATTTACAGTATATACACTGTACAGTATTTTATTTACCTGATGACTTTTTTTTTACTTTCATTTACTGTATTTTGTCATTCTATTTCTCCTTTTATCTGAAATTAAACAATTTTAGTTGTAAATAAGGACTTAAGCTATGATATACCTGTAGTGGGATTTTAACCATTGTTTTGTAAGTACGAAACGCATATAGCGTGTGTTCTGACTTAAGTACAAATCCAACTTACGAACATCCTCAGGAACGGAACCCGTTTGTAACCTGGGGACCCCCTGTAGTCAATATTGGCAATCCTTCATCACCATTTTACAGACATTATTCATACATATTATTCACAAACACAATGATGGACACTGGCCAATATTTTTCTTGTCATTCTTCTTGAAAGTGATGGTCAGAATTGGGAACACAATATTGTACTGTATTACCCTTATGAGTAATCATGAATGTGATCAGATCTGATTAAAATAACATCCAGAAAACCCAAATTATGACGATATTTACATCTCAATTTTATTTTCAATGGATGAATAACTCAGGCATGAAAAATAATTTTCAATATCTTTGCATTTTATTTCTAAGAGAATGAAGATTTTATTCACACCTTTGATAAAGTTCAAATAAGGGTTTAGTTACAAACAGGACATGAGGACATAAGCTATAAACAATATTATAGCTTACAAAACATTCTCCAAAGTATTTTCAAAACTACAGGACTATGATGTTTATGTTACAAAATTTAATATAGGTTGAATACTGATCAATATCTAGAAAATTTTAGTTGTTGATCTACATTTTTCAACTCACTATAAAAGAAGTTCGAGTACTGTACCCAGCTCTCAGAATTTAGCAGTCAAATAACATACCCATTAATTCTACATGGTACTTACTAGCTTTTGTGACAAGAGTTCTGTTGTTGAAGCCGAGTAAACTGTCTGTATCACCTAGGTTCCAGATGAAGCTCACATTCTTAAAGGCTGGATCAGCGTCATCACACACCACAAAGGTATAGGTGTCTTTTGCACTCAATTTTAGCTCTGATCTGTAAAAAAAAAAAGTTTCCTATTTTAACTTAATAATCTTAAGGTGAAATCTAATCTAATTTAAGCTAATCAGGTGAAAGAAGCTGGGGTGCTAATCTTCAGGTAATCCCATACCTCCCCTCCCACAAGCATAGACTTTGAAGCATCAAAAATATCTAATCGCTTCCAAGTGAACAACACAACCCCAAAAAGGCTTTCCTATGCTCAACTGTGAAACAATGAAAGTGTCATACAAAATACTGTACTGTAAACATATATTGTAAAGCAAGAGAACGGCAAATATAACATGTAGAAACACCTGTACAGTACAGTGCTCCACATACACTTGGTGAAAGAGGACTTTGCATTCAGTTAATTGTGGAATTTGGCAATGTTTAAATGAAGCTTGAGAAAATATTTGTAACAGACAGGAGACATTAATTAAGGCATTTTTTTCCCAGTATTATCCTACATCATCAATACTGTACTGTACTGAACTTAATCCTATCAACAATGAATAGTACCTGTATTATGATTTTCTGAGAATTTTATATCATCAACATTTTACCAAAAGTTACATAAAATTAGTATATTAATACTGTACATAGAACCATTCATGAAGCAGAAGATACTATGCAGAAAGAAGGTTTAAGAGTCCTGTACTGTACTGTACTGTCCTGTCCTGTTCTGTTCTGTTCTGTTCTGTTCTGTTCTGTACTGTACTGTTCTGTTCTGTACGGTACTGTACTGTCCTGTTCTACAAAGAATATGATAATAAAACTAGAACAGTCCGAGTGATTATGTTTGGTCACCTAACGAAATATATTGTTAATGTTTTCAAATACTGTATATACTAACACATAAAAATCACAAATTTCAGTGTAAAAAATATATTTATAATCACAAAGTAATGTAGTCTTATCAATTTGCCTAACCACATAACAGATGTGGTACGTATATCATTGTATGTTGACAGTACTGTACAGTACAGTAGTCACCTGATATGAGGAGTCTCTTTTTATATATTTTTTTTATTACTGTATATTCAAAACACTAATTATTTAAAAAACAATTTACAGTAGGAAGATGAGACGAGATGTTTAATGTTCATATGTATGAATTTGAATCACCCCCAATCAGACACAATGAGATTAGATAAGATACAGAGCCATGTACCAGCTAAACCCCTCTAGTTACCTCATCACCATTCTCTATGTGATAGTGACTAGCCTTCCTCATGGACACAAAATAAGTATTTAAGCTTCATAGACAAATATACCAGAAAATTCAGTGCCAAATGGGGTAATGTGACTGTATAAATGCTTTACACTAGTGTTCATAAGACTAAGCAGTGACTCACAACCCAACCTCCCAGCCCAAGTGAAATAAAAAGAGAGAAAAAAATAAAATATTGAATTTCCGAGTTACTTTTGCACTTTAATCACGAGGAAGAATAATTACCAACAATGAGCAACAATAGTGGTCATATTCAACACTTATGGAACAAGAAAACTGTCAGCCATTCATATAAGACTTCTTGTGCATTTTAGTTTGTGAGATAAAGTACTACGGTATAAGACAACACCAAGATGGAGCACACTGAGCTCCTGCTGGAAATGCAGCAGCTTGATAAAATACCGCTGACTGAGCGAGTAAAGCTGGCACAAAAGAGAAGGAAGCAGCAGTTAGCAAATTATGCAAAATGGACAAAAACAGACACAAATAGTAACAAATCAAAACCTAAGAACAGAATTCATGTAAAATTTACTCCTGATATACAAATTATGGATATTGCAGCGAGGGGATCATTTGAAGAACTGCGCACATTTCTCAAAACAGGTAAGGTGAAAATTCATCATCATATAAATCATACACAGCTACAGTTTCCTACCCTGATTACAGAATGAACCCGATACATATTTTATTTCATTTGCCCAATAAAGCACGCGGACTTCTACATATAATCAACACCTCACCCTGCCAGGATTCGAACCCACGGCCAACGACTGTGACCGGGGAACGCTACCTCTAGACCATCAGGATATTGTACTTTATATGATAATAAATACTGTATTTACACAGGTAGTTGGATAATCTTTGATTACCTCAGGGAGTTGCAACCCTACCTTGCCAACTAAGTAAGAAATTGTAAATCCAACACCATTTACCGTTGTGTGATGGCAAAGATCAGTTTTATGATAGTTGCTACCCGAATGCTTTTCCTGCACTGTCACTACCATGAAAAAGTGAGAAGCAATAGTTTGCAATATTCTGAGATGTGATGATTGATTGATTGATCGTAGTAACAACATCCCTGGGGAAGCAACAGCTTCCAAGATATTATGACTCAATCTCATAATGGTATAAGATGTAAGATTGTGTGTAAGTGACAGTATAAATAAAAATGTATATCTACCCGAAATTACGAGTTGAAAAATAACCGCTCTGAGTGACAATTCTGGCTCCTCTGGATCTCAGGAGGAGAACCTATTTCCCCCATAAGTTATTAATACACTGTATATCGATATACCCGTACTGTACGATCAATCACCTTACAATGGCTTTTTGAGGTCCCTAACGCCATCATATAATGGTCAACACCTGTAAAGTGAAATTATTTTGCTGTAAACATTTTTGGCAATGAGCAATGAAGTTTCCCCTCTTCCTCACCCCCATGACTACACCTAAGACTTGTTCACCCCAACATTATCACCACTACATCTATATCCTGATATATTAATAAACAGTAGGAATAACATATCTATCAAAAAAATTATCACAAGCATTACAAGTGCTAACCCCCGGGTCAAACGCACGCACGCACGCACGCACGCGCGCACACACACACACACACACACACACTTCTAACAACTTTAGATACACTATTTCTAGTTTTTTAAGTATTTTGGCTATTTATTTAGGATTTATTTACTCACTGCCATTTTGTCTGGTCCTAAACAAAAAGTTTGTTTATGATTCCCTTTAAATAATAGATTATAAAGGGCATAGGAGTTTGGTGTGTGATCAAGGAATTACTCAGTCATTAAAACCCAGATTCATTCACAGAATTTTACAACTATTTGTAGTAAATATAACACTAAATGCCAGGTGTCACTATCTGCACACTCATGTTATGGTAACTCATCATCAAACTGTTAAGAGGTAGACGACAAACAATGCCATACCATATCATTTTAAGCTCCACTTTATGTGGGCATGTAATGAATCCCATAATAAAATTAAAAACAATATTAAATCATATGAACAGCAATACTGATGGAAATACCTGTACTGTACTTAACTTTAAGATATCTTTGTTAATAGCTTAATGCTTTTTCTTTTTAGGGGCTGACCCCAACATGATGAATCATGATGGCCTTACAGCTCTACATCAGTGTTGCATTGATGGCTCACTGGATATGGTATCACTGTTATTAAAACATGGAGCTGATGTAAACATTACTGACCGAGATCTGTGGACGCCTCTTCATGCAGCTGCTACCTGCGGACACTTCAAGATCGTCACTACTCTTATTAAAGCTGGTGCAAATATAACAGCCATAAATGGCGATGGTGACATGCCCCATGAAATTACGGAAGAAGAAGTAACTCTACAATATTTAGAAAATGAAATGCTTAAGAGAGGAATGTCACAAAATACTATTGAGGAGATTCATCTTGGGCCTCACAAGGCCATGCTTAGAGATATTAACAGCCTTTTAAAAACTGGAGGGGACCTTGACCAGCCACAAGACCAAGGCAGCACTTTTCTCCATGTGGCTATTGCTAATGGATATAATGATATAGTACAATTACTACAAGATAATGGAGCATCTCTAACAGCACGTGATGAAGATGGTTGGGAACCTATACATGCAGCAGCCTACTGGAACAATGAAGAAGCCATGGACATACTCCTGTCAGATATGAGGGTAAATTTACGAACTTGTACAAGCAACAGGGAAACCCCATATGAACTCTGTGATGAACCTGAATTAAAACTAAAGATTCTCCACAAACTCAGTGAGACACCAGATGTGTATGAAGTACCTGACAATTTCGACCCTGAAAGTTTAAGCCAAATATATGAAGAAATTAATTTGGAGGAATGCAATGAAAAACAAATTATTGATAGCTCTGAGCACTCAATAGCTGACAACAAATCTTTTACACTCCAAGATGAACAAAACTTTGCAGAAGTCGAAAGTGAAGAAGAATTTCAAGATTCACGGCACTCAAGCATTGACGATACACCTGCTACTCCGCTGATGAATATACAAACAATAGAACATCCTTCAGATCGTAGAAATTCGATCAAAGAAGCTAAGAACAAGGCTCTACTGAAGAGGATCAGCAGTGAGAGGCTTAACAGCATGGAGAAACATAATATTGTGAGTAACATTAACAAGAGATTAACCGACTGTTCAAATGGCATCAAGGAGACTGTACCTCCTCCCGATCTACCTCAATTCACTCACAATAATAATGTAGAGGATGAAAATCATAACTATAACTCTCTGTTTACTAATAATGTAGAACCTCTAGATATTCACCCTCCTTCAAGCCCCTCACCTGCAGCTCAAGCAACCAATAAGACAGAGGAAGATTCACGATTACAAGAGTTTTTCTACAGACCAAGGAAGAAGACGGCAGCTCCACCTCCTCCTAAAGGCTCACTGTTGGATCTTAAGAGACAACGCCAAGAAAATCGTCAACTGCAAAATCAATATCTGGAGGAAAAGCACAGGAGTACAGAACCAACGTCCACTTTTTATGAACCAGCTACACTATATAACCCACCTCCTAGTCCAACCTTATATCATTACCAGTATAAGATGGTTCTTATTGATGATGATGCTGGGAATAAATTCATTAAGGAGAAAAAGTGCACCATAATGTAAAAATTAAAAACTTTCACTCTTCACACAAAAAAAAAATCAGAAATGTCATTTTCTTAGTGATGCACATGTAACCAACATACTGTACTGTATAATCACTAAATTGGTAAGTTATGATTTTTTTTGACGAGGACCTGGCAAAACAGTGTGATTATTGGATGGCAGGTCATGTAAGCACAATATCCCCTTGTTATATGCAGGGTCCATTTCTGCAGATTAAACCCAATTCAACACATATTTTTAGACTTTAAAAAATTGAAGCAGGTGACCTCTGCTCTATATAACCTGAGTCATGTTATACTATATATATATATATATATATATATATATATATATATATATATATATATATATATATATATATATATATATATATATATATATATATATATATATATATATATATATATATATATATATATATATATATATATATATATATATATATATATATATATATATATATATATATATATATATATATATATATACACTACAGTATCTGAGATATGATAACAGTAAAGGAGTCAAATGATGACTATCAACAACAACACCAGTAATGTAAATGTTGGTGTTACCTTAAGGTACATACAGTACAATACAAACACATTAAAATCACTTTAGCATACAGTACATATAATCTTTGCAGTTAATAATTATTATTCAGGGTTGAGTTATGTAATATCCATTATTCAGAAGATTTTGTTATCTGAAACATGCACAAACTTGTTCATTTTGGATAAAATGGTGCTACTAATGTACTGTAGTTTACTTTAAAATATACAGTATCAATAATTGCATTCAAATAACTAATCCACTGTGTACCGTAGTGTAATAAAAAGCTATAGATATGTTGACCATTGGTGAGTCACCCAATTTATTGCATAAATTATAAAATAATAATATACAGTCCAGAACTATATTTAATACTATGTTCTGCACTCACCAACCATGGGGTAAATATACTGTACTGAGACCAGATAAACGCGCCCACGCAACTAATGGTTACTCATTATAATACCTTATACAAAAATGGGAAGTCACTGATAAACCAAACAAATATTTTTTTTAATGACAACTAATAACTAATTTTTACTCAGTGGTAACATAGATTTTTGAAATCCAAGAACACAAATTAATTTCCCATAAGAAGTTACAATTGATTTCTGCAGCTTCGACATGCACAAACTTTTAATAACTTTAATCCCTGTGTAAATTAAGTTTTTACTACAGTATATTAACTTAATTTTGTCAGAAAAACCATTGATAAACAAACACCATACACGCTTAAATTCTCTCATTTTCTTTGTTACATACAGGGACACTGAATTTACTGTTATGCATCAAATCACCAATTACACAAAGATTAGTGCAGTGTACAGGTACAGCAATATTCACTAACTTGCCATACCAAGGTATTACTATAATTCATCTCCTACAGATATTTTTTCTTGAGGTATTTTCACTTAATCATTATTATTATTTTTATTCAAAGTACAGTACAGTAATAATTATACTGCATTCAACTACCTTGTGATTCTACCTGGACACATTAACTCTTGGTGTTATACGAATTCACCATTAATATCTGATACCTGGTGAGTCATGACTCTTGTGTAACTTTATATAATAGCTATATTGTATTAATGATAGTGCTGTACCAATATTTCATTGTAACTTAGTACAGTACATACAGTACTGTACATTTCATGAGCAATAATTCCCCAAACCTGACTTAGTTACAGGTAGTTATTTTTACTTTATATTATATGAACAATATTACCAATGATTCATAACATATTTATTGATATTAGTTTTATAAGTATATTGTATTATAATGTATCAACATAGGAATCACACCTGCTTCTAATCACAATTAATAACTATATATTCTATGTAGTAATGAAGAGACCTTTCAGTGTTTACAGGTTTTCCAAAGATACTGATTTATTAAACAAACAATATAGTATACATTATATCAATATTTCATATGAACGAGACAAGTCCTACTGTACTGTACAGGGGTGTCCCAATCTTATGAGATTTTAATTTTTGTTGCTGTAATTAAGTACATTACACAAAGTATTACATGTACCCTACAGTTATCTATGTGTGTAATGTTCTTCACCTCACAGGAGACTTGGTGTATGTGACAATGCTGTAGATTCAAAGTACCCCAACTGGGGGGATTTTACAGTTAATAGTCCTTTTGGTATTGTATGTACTGTACTGTATGTGATATATTATGTTATTGGACCGTTGTCTCCGTCCCCTCCACAACCCCCCTTGACTATCACAGAGGCATTGCCATATGTACCGAGCTGCCTGTGAGGCAATGAACATTAAATATGCAGGTTACTGTACATGTAAGTACTCTACAAAATGGGTACAGTATTGTACAGTACTTAATACAGTATAACTAAAATATTGTTTGGATAAATCTTTTTCTGACAAATAAGTAAGTGTACTGTACAACTTTTATATTAGGTTGATCAGCAGGGGTAACTATGAGGTCAAGCTGGCAAAAGCAGTCAGTCCCCTAAAAGTCCAATCTGACATAAGAAAACTATTATCTATTATTATCTCTTACACTGGCATATGTATATAAAATTTTTACTTATGGGAAATTCAAATGTAAACATCAATAAATAATGAGATGAGAGATTATAGAACAGTAGATTATGAATTAAATTACACAAAACATTTACGGTAATACGAATACACAGCAATTCTACCCTCTTTTATGGGGTTATACCAATATTGTCAAGCAATAATTTCTGTAAATATTATTATAACTTATAAATTTGTCAATTAATAGTTCACTTTTGTGTACAGTACAGTACAGTATGTCAAAGTATAAAATATATATTTTCCAGTAATATGTAGTGGACTGTCCTTATGTGACTGAATAATAAAATGCTTGATAAAAATACAATAATACAGTATTTTTTATTATCATTTAGCCAGAAAACCCACCAGAAATTTTTATCAGTAACTCAAACAATGATGATATGTACAATGGGTCCCTGGATGATAACAAGGGATTGCTCCTGAACTCCTATATACAGTCCCACTAGGTAGATGACTTGCTGCAGACGGTAGAATATCAGAGGTTGCCCAAAAAACCCTCAGTGCCGCCAGTGGATCCAAACTTCGGGCACGCTAAACTAAGGTAAATGGAGCTAATACCTGTATATCAATTTTGAAATAAAGTAAATAACCTGTCATTCTGTATTGCTAATGTTACAGTATGTTGCAACATTAGAAGAAACTGATGGAGGAACAAACCACTAAAATAAACAAAACACACTCAAACTCAAACTAATCTAACATACCTAACTTAAATGCATTCTTAGATTGTTGAATTAAGTTAGGTTAAACCGTTTAAATAAATGGCTTAACATTAAGTCTGATATCAGCAGTTTAAAATCAGCTTGCAGAGAACTTAAGATGAAGCTTTTTTTAATTTGAATTATATATCTGGGTATTTCTGGAGTGCCCAAAGAATCAACTATGTGTTCTTCATCATAAACAACTAACCAACTATGTGTTCTTTATCATAAACAACTAGGAACTGGACCCATGGTTGCAGGTACATTCACTTTGATATCAGGCACTAAACTGATCAGATGCTAACCGAGCATCGCCGTTAAAATGTAGACACAACACTGGCAACAGCATTGCACTGCGGAGATGCCCATTAGGAAAAGCCAACGGTAATGAGTGGCAGTATGTAAGGGATTTTACACATTTGTATGTACGTGCTACACCAATGCGGCAGTGCCAGTTCCTAAAGAGACTGTAGACTAAAGAAAATCATGGACAATCAGCCATGGCAACAGCACTTATACTATTAAATTAAATTTAATGATATGAAAGACTGCAACCATTGGCAACTATATAATTCTTACAATAATGGAACAAAATCACTGGCGATGCTTAATAAGTGTTCGCCAACTTCATTTCAAAATTGATGTACGTATTGCATTTTGAAATACTGTATTCGTTTTTCAAATCTTGCCATACAATTCATAACAGAGTAATGGGAAGGTACCTAGTAATTTTTATAATACTGTCAGACCCGTGTGTAGATCTTCAAATAAAGTTGTTACAGTGCAAATGGAAGATAAACTGGATCATATGAAGAATTCTCCCCCCCCCTGCACCTTGTTCTAACTGATGAATTGCTTTCCCTCACTAGTTTTAGTGCTTAAGTCAACTCATGAATGTATTCAGGACACAAAATTACAACATATAAACAAATACTTTATTAAAAATAAAATAAAACATAATTTAATGTGGTCAGTTAGGTTAGGTTAAGTTAGGGACTAACCAAACTGACCACATTACCTGTTGCGGTTACCTAGCCCACAGGCTGTGTGGCCATGATATTGCATACTCAATGAATAGAATCCATTTCATTCAGGATTTTGGATTATAACAACATTTGTCTGGTGGGTGAAATTTTCTCTAACCTAACCCGATAGCCTAATATTACGGCCACTCAGACTGTGAGACAGGTAGTAGGGTAAATATTCCGTAGATTCCATGCACGTAAATTACTATGGAAAATAGCTTTTTAGGCTTTTTAACGTGTTATATGAATGTGACTTTGGAGATACGACCCAAAATTGTGGCTTAAATTTCTATTATTATTATTATTGCTTTGGTCATCCGGGGAATCTTAGGAATTTAGGTTAGGTTAGATATAGTTCCTGGGTTCTGTGGTTAGGTGAGATCAAAATTATTCAAAACGTCAAAAAAATTTTGGGAAACATAAGGATGACAGAAACGATAATTTTATCCTAAATTTATGCAACTCATGATTGTTATAGAGGTTTATTAACAATTTTCTTTAACTTCACCTTTTACCGATGATTGGATCCAGAGTCTTAAGATATTCATATTGAGTTTTCTTTTCCTGGTCTGGTACAGAACTATCAATGACACACTTATTAGCATTGACCAGCTCCAACACACACACCATCACCGTCACCACCACCTTCACCATCATCATTATAAGCTTGTGAGTGTGACAGGTGATGACTCCAGGTGTTAATCTTCTCACTTGTAGTTTGTTATGCGTCACAGTCCTGCTCGCTCGTGAACCACATAAGCTTCATCAAGGTTCTTTTAGTTCTTTTCATTTATTACTTTGATCCGGATACTAATACGGTTCTTTCCTCCTGCACGAAATATACAAATAAACCCTTAAATTCACCTTAATTAATAATCAAAGGTGTTCAATTGTATCAGTAAAATAACTGTAATAATGGTGTCTAAATTGAATAATATAGTTAAATTAGATGTGGTCTGCGGTTGGGCTTTTAACCCCAGTTTAAAATACAAAGTTTAAAGTTCCGGTGATAATTGTTGTATGACATATTGACGTCTTGAAGATGTTTTTATTAATGTTCACTTTATACCCTTCGCCAATGATATCGGAGCTTCATAAATGTATATAAAGTTTATATAGTACAGTATTCATTAATTTGACTAGTGCAAGGGTTAGTGTACAATGAATAATGCATAGAAACACAGAAAGACCCACAAGCAACAGAAATTGCTCTCAAAAAAAGTAACAGAAATGGCCTCAATTAACATAAAGTCCCCTCATAAGTAACGGAAATGGTCTCAAGCAATAGAAAGTACCCTCAAAACCAACAGGAATGGCCCAACCAGGCCCATAAGCAATAGAAAGTACCCCAAAAGCAAGAGAGAGCACTAGTAAAAGCAACAAAAAAAAGGCTTCAAGTAACATATAGTAGCCTCAAAGGCAACGAAAATGGCTTCAAGTAACATAAAATACAGTACCCCCAAAAGCAACGGAAATGGTCTCAAATAACAGAAATACCGTCAAAAGCAACAGAAAGTACCATCCAAAGCAACAGAAATTGCCCACAAGCAACAAAAAGTATCCTTAAATGCCACAGAAATTACCATAAATAACTAGCAATACTTTTACTTTTATCCTCCTCACCATTGATCAGTATGTTAGCCGCTTGGTTGATGAGCCACTTCTCTTACACACTTTTACTTACTTTTATCCTTTACACCACTGATTGGCTCGTTAGCCGCTTGGGCGATCGGTCATGTCTGTTACGCACTGTTGGCAAGTACTGGCTGCTGAATATATCTGTACCTGCCACAGTGTCAAGTCTGGTCTCAAAAGAGTACACATGCAGTGCCATCACAATACTCTCTGATAGATAATTCCAAGAGTTTACATTTCTCACCCCAAAAAGTTTGACCTTGAGCTGTGACCCCTTGTGGGGCAGATGTCTGCCAACTCCAGTATGAACATTCACTCATCTAAGTAGTGTCCTCTGTTATGTTTTTTAACTTAAGTTAGCTCACCCCTTTCCCGTCTATAGCATAAGCTAGGCAGTTGCAGGCATTCTAATCTCCTTGAGTAGCTAAGTCTGTCCAATCAGCAGTGCCAGAAAAAAAAAAATCTTTAAAATGCTGTTACAGTACAAGAGTGCTTCAAATTGTGAAACCCCCAATTTAAAAAAATTTGCTTCCAAAAAAATAAACAAATTCCAGTGTTTCGGTACACAATCGAAAAAATTTACGGTATTTTTTGTAGCATTGGAAGATGCCGAGTTGCTGACACAGGCATCCGAGAGCATCCCATGCTGGACTTGGACAGTAAGCAGTGTACAGTAATGTATTGCAGCCTAGTGTGTGGCAACGTTTCTGTGCTTATATATATACACATACAGTAAACCAAAGAAGATGCAGAAATTTATAACTCATAATTTCATTTATCTGGAATGACAAAAGAAATTGATGAATCTATAGCTCTGTCACATACATACCAACAATGAGTACAGTACACTTCACTTATTAGGAAATTTGACTTTTTTACAATCTTAAACACCTAAAGTCTTAGTAATCAGGACACGGGAGAGTTTTGCATTGTCTAATTAATTACTGTATCAGGTAATTGGTCAAATATCTCTCACCACTATGGTCGCTGGTTCATATTTCCAGGTTAGATGCGAGAAGGGTGTAGAGTGTAACCCTACCAGACATCACAGGTTTTCTTGAGGTACTTTGGTTTCTTCCTGTACTAACACTGGACAATGAAGGTAATAACAAATTAACAAAAGAGACTACCAGTAACTGCCCAAATGACTTATAAGCTGGAAAGTACCATAGTAGAAATGATAAAGTGATTATCTTCAGGCAACTCATTAAAAAACTGATTATTACTGACTTTGAAAGTACTGTGACCAGGTGAGAGAAGTGAGCAGACTGACATGCTGTTGGCACCGGGAATGTCAGTTACTGTCTGGAAGCTCAGGTCAATTGAGGTTGTGCAGTAATTGGGAGTGCAGGTACACTAAATCAGAATCAAGTAAGTAGTATGTGTATGACTGGATGTATATAAGCCTTTATTTCTAAATGTTTTCTTACTTGCATAAAATAAAACAAAATTCTGACAAGTCAACACAACACTATACGTAGTTCCACGAGTGTCCTGATTACCAAGGTTCCACTGTAATGGTTAGGAAATGAGTAAAAACAACAAATAACAGATCTACAGACTATATTTATGTACAAATCTTATAATAGCAACAACTGATTTTTTTAATTCTTGAGGTGTGCCGGGACTGAATATCAGTCCACTTGACAGAGTATGAATACTGTACATCACCGTGACCAAAGTTTGGAAAATATAATGAAATAAGGTATGATATTTTCTCTAAAAATGTATTTCAAAAAGAGTACAAATATTTAAATTCAAATTATTCAATTAACAGCAAGACCCCCCCCCCTAACCATTTTTTTAGATAACACTGCCAATGAGTACACTCCAAACCAAAGCTATTTGTCATCTTTAGAATTCAGGACCAAACTGTGACTCATAATTCAGTTTGTTGGCAATCTGAGCTACCTGTTTACACACACTGCTGGCACAAAATACATCCTAGAGCCAAGTGATCTTATATTATTAATCAAAAGCCACTTGCACTACAATGATCAGACAAACGAGCACCTTTAGTTGCATCACCTTTGTATTATTACTATGTACAGTTGCTTCATAATTTTCAGTGCTTGGAGTTAAGTTCAGTACAGTACTGTATAGTGAATTTGGAGGCATACTGACAGTAATTCCCCATCTGTCAGCCATTACAATTACAGTAGTCTAAAACTTTATGTATTTACAGTATATACAGATGTACATAATAAAAATAATCCTTAATAGATGTTCAGTATAATATTGCACTAATATATTGCAGACCAGGTGAATTGTAAAGTTAAGTTCCTGTAACTACTGTAATATACCAAAGAGTGACTGACTTTCTTAACATATACAGTACTGTACTTGTATTCATCATCATAACTGTTTAACGATATTTTTCAAGGAATAAATTCTGAATGATTATTGATCCTGAATCCTAGAAATGGCAGACATAACCTTGGATTAGACTATGTTAATAAAACAGGCCCAGCTTACAGAAGATCAAACCCCAAGAGGGCAACCATTGCACTTAATGGTACAGACAATGAGAGAGAATGGGGACTGGTATACTCAAATGAATTGACAAATCACTCCTGGGTTACAATAAATGGGATAAAAAGTAGATTCTGGTCCCCTCTGACACAGCCTGTATTACAAGAGCCATTTGGCTAAAGGGCGCTTAATAACAAATGAGATCATTGCATGAACTTTATTGGTAATTGTACCAATATTACCCAATAGTCAAACATACTGGTCATTCAACATTGTCTGCATGAAGTCGGAATACTCATTTACTCCATAGAAGATTCTTTGGCGTCAAATTATAATTCAAATCATCACAGGTCAGAAAGGAGGAAAAGTACTGTACATATAAGGTTCTACAAAACTGAGGTTACTGGCCTTAATCTGTTGAATCATATCCAATGGTAAGTACATTTGTGCCAAGGGACTTAATTTTAACACGTGACAAGACATGAAAATAATGGAAGACTGAAGTATGAACTCCTACTTTAAATGCAAGTGCAAGAGAAGAGTAACCCCATTAGATTCTGCTACATAAAACATCCTCTTGTTAGGCTTACCATTGTCAGGGGCTGGACTGTAGTGGTAGGTTACACCAACCATACGAAACAAGAGCAGCTCCTTACCCAGTGAACCTAGGTTGAATTAATCAATGATTCAAACTCCCAATCCAATGGTTGCTTCCAAAGTTAATTCCTACTTGGTTGTATTGCTTTCATGATCCATACTTGGTTGATTCACTTCCATCTCAGACCCCCATTGGCCACAAATAAGGATCATATGCTGCAACCCACATACTTTCCATCTGCAGTAATTACAGTACAATTCCCATCAAAAGAGAGATGGAAGTTAGTTAACTTGTCTCTTCTCCATGACTATAAAAGGGTATTTAAAATGTTAAATCATCCATGCATTGGTCACTCACTTCCTCTCCTCCACTATAAAGTTACATTTCTTACATCAATCTTCCATTTAAAGTCTATAAGTCACAAACAAGTGATCTGTGAGACTCCAAACAAGCAAGAAACAGGGCAGAGAAAGTCTTATGTCCAGTAATCCAATGCATAACACCCAGCTAAGGCCACACCTCAAAAAGAGAATGAACCTCTAATTACTAAGCAGTGCTACACATCTGAGGAATTCTCGTTTACATACAATACGGTGTAATAAAAACCTTTGTAGAAAACCAAAGCTCATCATGCCACAATAGATCTGATGTATGCAAAGGACCTTACTGGAAATAAACATCTGATGGCTTTGTTGGTCATCCTTGATCGAATTGTCTTACTGTTTGTATACCTGAACTGTAAAGGTACATTTTTTTGTATATCTGCTCTGTGTATGTATATGTACAGTGTTGCATAAAGTATTGTACCTGCATTATCTATGCACACAGTGAATTGCACCTAATTTACCTTAAAATGGTCACAGAATAAACCAACCTTCTTAAGAACACATGCCTGAGCAGTAAAATATTGTCTTAATCTTCCCTCGTTCAATGATTACACAGAAGAATTAAAACCTGTTTACCATCTATAAACATGAATTAAAAAAAAAAAAAAAAAAAAATCTTTTTGGGAAGAAAACAATGAAGGCTGTTTAAGTATGGAATAATATGGAGCACCAAATGACAATGAAATCCTCCTTATGTGAAACAGCAAACTGGCTACTGTATATAATGTACCAAAGCTAAGTGCTAAAGAAAGTACTAAGGTAAATTTATTAACCCCTCAGCAGGGATACTGGTAAACCTTTATTCTTATATTTTTTCATCTCTTCCACCACTTATCAGTTTACTGTACTAGCTGTTTGAGCAGTCGGCCTGTTCTTTGTCATGACCTTCATAATCCAGTGTTCTCTTTTGTGCAGAATAGATGTGCACATTGGTGTACAGCATATTCTAGATATTTGGAAAATGGGAAACTTCCACTTGCTCTCATTGACAACAACTTAAAACAATGGAACAGTTAGTAGGTCACCTGAAGGACCGTTTAACATTTATTGTACAAATATGGTAAGCATAAAATAATACTTACAAGAAAATTTGTAGTCAGCAAAAAAATGTTCTGCACCCCTTGGTCAGATGGCCTCTACAACGATCACTGACTGAGGCCATATTAATTTGGTAAGGTTGGTATTCTGGTTGTGTGATGCATTGTATAACCAGTATGATGTATTTTTTATCTCACATATAGTTAAAACAGAGAAATTAACAGGAATCACCCGCATAAAAGAGTGTTGCTCAGAATTCTTGGTCCGGTGTGTCATATTTATAACACCATAAAGGTGCAGAAATTTTTGTTGTTGACTGTACATGTACTGACGTGATCAATCCCATGATGTGAATTATCCTGTGACTCGTCATAAAAAAATTGCGATACAGTAATTCTAACACCACTCAAAAATAAAGATATTGGAATAACACTTATCCTACATAGCTACCCCAGATCCCACCCAATTCACAATTTTGAAGCCTCAACAGTGGGCTGACAGAGGTATTAAAGGGTTATACACTGAATAATTTAACTAATACAATCCATTAATTCTTTCTTCATTGCTTAATTTATTTTTAATTCTTGGGCAGTAATGGCACAACCTCCAGGTGAGTATCCCAGTGTGTGTATGACCCTTGACACTGAATTGGCCGAGTTATTGAACTGTGGGCGAGAAAAATATTCTCCCGAGACTTAAGCATCTACAGTAAGTGGAGTATTCAAATTCACAAATTGGGTAGGATACATAGACTGAATATCTATACGAATACCATCTAATCTTCTGTGACATACACAACATAATGGTCTACTCACCAAATTGGGAAAGGGTCAAGATGTCAGTTTGGATTTCAGGGAGGATATTTCTGTCATTCATAAACTACAGTTAAATATGTTTGATTATAAGAGACATCATCAGAAAAGTTCCTCATGTGGATTTGTCAAGTTTCATTCATTGTAAAAAAGACAGAATACATTTTCCCAAATAAATGAACATTGGTAGCCAATCTTGTACACAGATCTTAACTTATTCCTCTGACTCTACATTAATGCAAGTTAGGATTATATAAACCAAATCAGTATTTCCTTCACTTCGGAGGTGACTGAGTATTTTTTGTCATAATAATTCTAATATAATTATTGAGAGACTGAGTTGAGGTGCTTGGTGTCATCTGGACCTTTGTAATTGGGAAGTCACGATCACTCTAGTTATTTACGGTCATTTTCATTTATCTTTTTTACTTGTCAGCTTCCTAGTCTATCGGGTTGTCGGCCTGTTCTCTGCTACACAGTTGGCAGGTACTGAGCATAAACGCATTTAATACTTGCACAGTGAACAACATATAAATGGCAGACTCAACACCCATTACTTTCCTCAACACCCATTACTTTCCTAACATATACACTGCACTGGTAAGAAAAGACTGTGGGTAACAATAATACCATGAACATAATGTCATACAATATAGACTTTTAACTGGAGCTGTCCGTAGGAGGTCCATATATTGTAGTTAGAATGTGTTAAGTTATATATGAGGGTCAAAGCACGGGATCACTGTTTGGGATCCGTGATGGCAGCAAGCTGACAAAGTAGGGCTCATCTGGGCAAACCTGAAGCTTAGGTGGCTTTATAAGCAATCACTGGGCTGAGAGTTGAAACCACTGATATGACTCTAGATTGAAGAATGAGTAGCTGCAGTGCAGTATTTACACTGATCTGTAAAGGCAGTGTAACCTACCACTAGACAATGGAGGCTCAGCTATGTTTTGTATTAGTTGGCAAAATCTCACAGATCACCCATAGACCCGTAGGATTTTAAATGAAGTTACAAAAATATATTGCCATTGCTGTAATTGTAAATAATAACCCAAACCCAAAAGACAAAATCCTTGAAAAAACTATTTTCAATATTGAAATGACTATGACTTAACAACACCCAAGATTCATCACCAATAGTACTGCTCAAACCCTATTTCACATCACAAATGAAAACTAGTCAGGTGTGCCTTTATGTCTCTACAGTAATGAAAACTAAATTATCATCCTGCCCTCTCTTTCCAATACAGTATATCATCTCTGCAGCAGAGTAGAGCTAATGCACACAGATTATATCTGCATGTTTTTGTTCACCAATAAAGATCAAGCAGGTATCGATCTAGATTGGAGGCAGTGGTCTATTTGAATTTGTAACAAATAGCGGTTATTTATGACGGTAAATTTTCCCGTGGATGAAAACAATAACTCTCACAAATGTATGGTAATTCGGCCTCTATGTTATGCTGATGAAGGGGCAAACATTTTTGGTGTCATTATATTTTCTAAACAACAATTATGTGTCAAGTGTCTCACTAGTTTTCATTCATGGCAGGAAATATAGCACAGCCTTGATGGTAGATTGAACATGGTCTTGGGGTGACTATTCTTCACAAAGAAAATTATTTCTCAGAGGAATAAAAAATACAAAGAAGTTTTAAAGCAAGGGTAAGAAAGAGTCTCTTTCTTCTTTTCATAACGAAGTATCGGATTGTATGTGTAAAAACATTTTATGCCACATCTACATTACATTAGGTATAGAATTATCAGAAACCTTTAAAAATAAATATATTCACAATATAAATCCATAAAAAATAAATCTAGAATCCATTAGCTAAGAGTTCAGTGAACTTTACAGTTACACCACGATTCCACAACCTTTCTTGTAAGTATCTCCACCTCTTTAGTCTTCTAGGCACGTATATAAATCGCAATTTAGGGCAGTGCTTGAGGATCAAACATATGTGGTCATCAATATCAATGTCAGATACCTTATCAAGCACAGGTAATATCAGCACCACTATATTGTCAGCCTTATACTCATTAATAATTGCACACAGATTTTCAAAGGCAAATATACTTATACACAAATTTTCTACAAAACAGCAAGCAGACAAAAACATCTGCATTAAGTCGACATTCTCAAGATATGCTGCATTAAGCATGAATTGTAGGGTCTTCACTTTTGGCCACTTATATTTCATGTGACCTCCTGATAATCTGCCTCCATAAGATTCATTTCCTGTAATTGTAATGTTTTCTAGGTTTGCACACAGGGAGACGATCGATACAATATGCTGCTGTGTCGTCGTTGCTGTAGAGTGCAGCCTCAGACCTAACGATTTCAGTCGGTGTCCATGTACACTTAAAACAGGCTGCAATATAGACTCCAAATGTACGATGTCACCAACAGCAGTGAGAGACTCTATCTTACTGCATTCTGAAAGTACATTACTTAGAGTCTCTATTATTTGAGTGGCTCTTGTCTTACATGGACTCCTGAGTTCACAGCGGGAGCACTGGCAGTCTGTGCCTCTTGCAAAAACTAAAGATACATCTTGGAGACCAGGAAATAACTGAGGTAAGAACCCAACATGTACACTGCAAATTAATCTGTCAGTTGCTGAATTTCTATGAGAGTCTGAGAGATCCACAGTTGTTAGCAATAAACTTTCTAAATTATATTGTTTACCACTTAACCCGGGTATTTTAGTAAGAGCATAATTATGATTAAAGTCATTGACACGCCAATTTAACGTTTTGAGGTTAGGATAGTATGTCAAAATTGCTGTCTTTATTAAGCTATCATTCCAATTTTGATGAGAATTTTGCCTTTGGTACCATAAATGCTTCAAGGCAGGAAACTGAGGTTCTAGACAACTATTTCTACCATCATGACTAGATATATATTCTATCCACGGTCTACCTAACAAAGATACACAGAACACATCTTTGGTCAAAGATCCAAATGAATCTATTAATACTAGTTCTTCCAGCTGCTTTGAAAAACACTTAAGTTTACTTAGTGCAACAAGATGAACACTTTTTCCTGCAAGGTGAATACTCCTGATCTTGGTACAACTGTGAAATAGAGCTTGCAGGACTGACTTCATATCATCAGTATCTTGAAAATCAAATGAAATTACAACTTTCTCAACAGGAAAGGGTCCAAATGTCTGCAGAACTCTAATAAAGGCATTGAGGTACGCTACATCAGACGTGGAATATTCAAATACAAAGTCTTCATTTTCTTCCCATGTCATATTTCTACCTTCCCACTCAACTCCAGTGCTTAACACAAACTCCTCAAGTAATAAAAGCTTCAGAATGGATGCTTTCAAGAAGTTAACTTGGGATTGACATGATATATATTCAGCTACAGAAGCAATCCTTTGTTTCAGGAGCCGGGATGCAGGATTACTTATACTTGCAGATGCTGTGCACTCAAGGCTTGACAAATGCAGCTTGAGGTCCTTCTGAAAATACCAAGTAAAGATATTAACCCCTTCACAGCTGGACGTCACTTACAATGTTCTATGTGGTTAATGACAGATTTTATTCAGCAGAGAGATACCCCTTGTACACTCACCAAAAACTTCTTGAATGCCATAAGCACTATGCAATCTGAAAAATGAACAAAGAATGTGAAACCAATCCGAGATGACAAGCCCCATTCTGCCCATTCTCACATCCACCATGCCCAGGTGTTCAAGAAGCTTTTGTTGAGTGTACCTAACCCCTTCATTACTGGATGTCAATTATAATATTCAGAAGAGAGACACCTCACACCGAAGAAGTTTACACTGATTAATATTCTTTTTGTCCCTATTCTTGGTTGAAAATAATTGAATCTAAATGATGATATCACCACTTTCAAAAAGCTTTTCTGATTAATACTAATATTCTAATAATTTTGTGTGCAGTAAGCCCTTGAGTTTTTCAGGGGTTATCTTCTTGAAATACTTTGTGTATTACAGTATAGACATGAGCAATGTCAAATCTAACTTGTTATGGGAAAAACAGTTTGTATTCTAAAACTTGAAGACATATTACTAAACTACTAAAATTTCTCAGTCTGCAAATAAATACCCCGGTACACAATGTTAAAGGTCTTAAATCTGAGATGAACATTAATCAACCCCAAACACTACAGCTAGACACACACTACTAAACACAATTGCAAGTCAGTAATGTACTCACTCAAATTTGTCATCTGTCACTGGTCGTACAAAACCTAGCTAACCCTTAAATATGATAGATATAGCAACATTTTGGCAAATGGTTTAAACAGCTTGCTTTCTCTTGGCCCCATAAGTATAAGCAATAGTCATCTGGAGAGGAAAACTCGTGCTTCAAATCTCCCTTTCAGGATAACTATTACAATAAGGAAGGACAGACAAATCAAGAAATTACTCCTGGTCACTACTGTCGGGTTTTCTGGGTCCAGACCAGTGGCATGGTGAAAACATTACACAGGCCACCACCACCTAGTGAAAGACAACAGGCTATACAATCTGCCAGATTTCTCTTACCAGTGTCCGTGCAATGATTTCTTTTTGACTGGATCCAATCTGACCTCTGAATGCAGATGTTGCCAGCTGTGTGACACACATACTGTGCAGAAGATGCTGTGCAATGCAATCAGCAGCCCACTCTTGTAGACTTTTCATTGGAGTCATAATGAACTGATCCTTATCTGAAAGTACAGTACAGGATAGACAAATGGTACCGATTTTATGCACAGTATATGTGATTAACAGAAACCGAATCATGTGAATGAATGTGGTCCACTACCCATTCTTGGTACCGTAGAGTCGGGATATATCACGAGATAGAGTCCAAGGATGTTCACTATATGCTAAATCGCGATATATACAGTGGTCCCTCGGTTAACGAGCACAATTCGTTCCAGAATGTTGCTCGCTAACCGAAACCATTGCTTCAATGGGTTTTTGGGTAATTGGTTCCAGCTCACCGAAAATTACATACAAACTAAAAATAAATGCAGTAAAGTACACTTACTTTGAGGTGTGCATGTAGAAGGCTCCTGGTTGATAATGATGATGGGAATTAGAATGGGGGTGGAAGAGAAGGGAGAAGAGAAGGCATTGGGGTGGAAGAGAAGTCACCCCACGCCGCGATCTCACCCATAAAATCTTAGTACACTTGGTGTAATTCAAGATTATTTTCTTTAAATCAACACTGCACTGCGCTATACATTATCAATATGTAAAATATATTTCAAAATGACCAATAATTTGACTGGAAACACAAAAAAAGCATTTATGTTGAAGAGTCTCAAACAAGATGTTCCTTCCTCTGAAGTGGTAAACAAACTGACGCCAAGCTTGGTGTGTTGAGTGGCTGTTTGGCGCACAAAAACTAGTTTCCTGTACTTCAATTATGTTCAATTATTGTTAAAATGACTAAAAAATCTAATATAAAACTTTTAAAATTATTGAATAGTACAACCCTCCTGATATTTACTAAAATGGTAAGGAATTTAAGCCCTAAAACCGATTACTGTAATGGCGGACTAATACTACAGCTGGTGAGCAGGCAAATGCAGGCGAAAACATGTTGGGAAAAATTCGTAAGGAATTCGTTAACCGAAGGTAATTCGTTAATCGAGGCGCTCGTTAACCGAGGGATCTAATTACATGTAATCAATGGGGAAAATAGGGTTAGGTTCTGGAGGCCAATAAAAGTGACTAAACTTGACTTAACGAGTATATTTTCTTACTAACTAAAGCACCAATGAACACTAGACTCGGGAACACCAGACTCAGGAACATCCCACGCGCAATCCTGGGAACACCAGACTAGGCAGCAGACGCCACACTGCCACCCTCACTTGACAATCCCACACCTCCATAAACAAATAAAAAATATTAGTTAGAGTATTAAACCTTTTCCATTAAGCTTCCCATTCTCTTCACTTCACTTTTCACATCACTAGCAACCCATTTACACTCACCTTAGAAGTCAAAATCTGCAGCAGTCGGCTGCTGACTCGTCACTCGCGCCGCTCGACTCTCAGCTAACTTCGTTCAGAATCTTCACCTTATCACCAATGTTGAAGGTTTTCCTCTTCTTTTTCTCACTTGAACTAGGAGTGATACTAGTATGCTTAGGCACCTTGGTAGACAGTAGAAAAGCACGTGGTGACCTTGACTGGAGAGCGCAGTGTCCACACGCGGTAAGAGCTGAATCAGAAAGACTGAGCGGGCGAGCGTGAATGAGTGAGTGAGAAGCCACGGTGGCGCCTCTGGTGAGTAAATAACGCATTTGCTTGCCATGGCACATTTAAAATATTTCCTGCCCGATTTCCCTTGCGAAATAAATAGATTTATCGCTATGCACAGCCTCTCCTCAACTTACGACAATTTCGACTTGCGACAACCCGGACATATGACGGCCATGGTCGTATAAAATATTTTTCACATTACGTATTTTCGAGTCCCTATGTTAGTGGTCGCGCTGTGTACTGACAAAATTTTCGTTTGTAATTCCCTTTAAAATGGCTGGCAAGTGTAAAAGTGAGAGTTCTCATGGTGCTGAGAAGAAAAAGAGACCCATTTTAGAATTTCTATGTAATATTTTTGCCTTTTTGACTTACGACTTGGTTGTTGGGATGGAACCCTGTCGTAAGTCGAGGAGAGACTGTATTGGAAAATGTCGATAATTTTGGTAGTCGCGATATAATTTTTCATATACAGTGGTCCCTTGGTTAACGAGCACAATTCGTTCTAGAAGGTTGCTCGTTAACCGAAACCATTGTTTCAATGGGTTTTTGGGTAATTGGTTCCAGCTCTCCGAAAATTGCCTAAAGTCAACAAAAAAGGTAGTAAAGTACACTTACTTTGAGGTGTGTATGTAGAAGGCTCCTTGATGATGATGATGATGATGATGATGATGATGATGATGATGGATATTAGAATGGGGGTGGAGGAGAAGGGAAATGAGAAGGTATTGGGGTGGAAGAGAAGTCACCCCATGGCGCCATTTCACCCATAAAATTTTAGTTCACTTGGTGTAATTCAAGATTATTTTCTTTAAATCAACACTGCACTGCATTATATATTGTCAATATGTAAAATAAATTTCAAAATGACCAAAAATTTGACTGGAAACACAGAAAAAAGCGTTTATGTTGAAGAGAGTCTCAAGCAAGATGTTACCTTCACTGAAAAGACAGAGACTGACGCCTGTATGGTGTGTTGACAGGCTGTTAGGGGTGCTAAAAACTAGTTTCCCTGTACTTAAATTATGTTAAATAATTGTTAAAATTACTAAAAATTTTAATACAAGACTTTTAAAATTAATGAATAGTACAAACTTCTTGATATTTACTGAAATACAGTAGTAAGGAATTTAAGCCCTAGAACCGATTACTGTATTGGCGGACTAATATGACAGCTAGTGTGCAAGCGAAAACATGTTGAGGGGCGCTCGTAAGGATTTCGTTAATCGAGGGAATGCTCGTTAACCGAAGTTAAGAATCTTATGGAAGGTACTTCGTTAACCGAGGCGCTTGTTAACTGAGGGATCACTGTATAAAAAATCGCTATACATCCCGACCCTACTGTACTTTTCAGATCATGGGTTACCTGTAGCCCCCCATCCCCAGTTGGTGCTCAGTCCATGTGTTGACATCACTTTCATGTTTCGAGTGTTGTGTTTCATGACTCCGTTTTAACAATGTAAAAAAAAAAAAAAAAAAAAAATATTAGTAGACAAGAAGGTGGAGCTATTACTTAAACAGTGGTGATGTGTTTGTCAAAGCATCCAGCGAAGGGAAAGAATCTGAGATGACTGGTGATACATACAGTAGTACTGTTTTATAATGTAATGGGTTGTAAATCAGCTTAACATCAACAGTACAGTATCATAAATATTTTAATTGTAATTTTTGAACAATGATCTGTTCGGTGCATTAAATATATGGAGTTACGTGGTTGATATTTTCCGAATCTTAACCTCAGTTATGATAAAAAAAAAATCGACAGCCTCGTTTATTATAAGACAGAAACATACTGTACTCTAAAAATTTTCAGAACTGTGCACTTCATCAACATTATCAGTGGTAACACACTTGAACTAAAACAATTCTGAACCAATTAGACAAGTTGGTCCAGGATGTCTTTCAAAATTTTAACGGAAAGTGTTATGGCTCTTAATAAGTTCCTGTAAGTGTCCTAACATAAGAACTGGCAAATCATATGGAAATTTAAAGTGATTTTTTAAATATAAATATAAATATATATATATATATATATATATATATATATATATATATATATATATATATATATATATATATATATATATATATATATATATATATATATATATATATATATATATATATTGGTAATTATATAGGACTAATCTGCGAGCGAAATTGATTGAAAACAATTATAAAAATGCCGGATTTTCATTGTTACATAATAGTGGACACTGTTGTAGTTTGTGGAAATATGTTAAAAAATGGATATTTAAAAAAACACTACTTAACATTTGTGGGTATGAAGAACAGACCTAACCAACCAAAACAAACAAACCTACCCAATCTTACCTAACTTTCCCGGTATATTAAACAGAAAGAACTTACTCTGATATGGTGAAATTTGGCGCATTTTCTGGACATGAGATGATACGGCTGCATTGGCGCTATGCAGCCCTTGCGAGTTTGTCCTATAAATTAACCATATATTTTTGCTCCCCTCATGGTATTTACAGCAGAGATCCCATTTAAAATTCCAAGAAACAATAAAAAACACGTATCATTATCCCCCCCAAGTCTTCACAAGTTCAGAATGGTTTCCCTTGATTCTATGTATTCAAACATATAGGAGAAGATCCTATCAAAATATATAAATTATAAAGTGGCAACCATTTATGTGAACTTCATCCAATATTTTTTTCAAGGTCGCAGATGCTACCAAAATAATCTGCCTGCACATTCCTCTGACAAGCAGTGATGGCCCCGAGACAGAGACCTATTTTAGTAGCCAAGCATATAATTAACACTTAAGAATAGCCTTACTCAAGACCATATAACATGACACCAGAGACAAGTTAACTCATGTATCCAAAAATTCACGTCTCATATAAGTCTTATACATGAAAATATATCATCTGCAAATCAGAAATAAAGTGTAATTTAATAAGTGATAAATCGCACACACGTACACAGACACAGCAATTATATTATAAACTTACCTATTAATACAGTTTTCACCTCTACACCTCCAACAAACAGATATTAGTCCGTGTAAACATTTTCCTGACATTAGATGTGAACCAAGTCACATCCTGGCAGTCAGCTGTTGGTGTATGCCATGACAAAACTACTCCTTATATATCGTACATAAACAATTGTTATAATAGAAAAATAAATATTCTTCATTAACCGATAACATATATAATCATTATAAAACACAATGAGTAATTAAATAGTATATATAGATTCAGAAGACTATAGAATAATGGCCTTGAGGCCCTCGACCACCCACGCCATATCAAGTTTACTAATCGCCATATTGCAGAAGAGTTGATTGTCATGAATTAGGCTTGACTATCGATTTACTTCCTTAAGATCATATATATCGGTGAGTGGAATTCATTTTTAACAATCTATAAGGTAAGTCAATAAGGTAAGACTAATAAGAGTGTGTTGTGTTAGTAGAGGTGGACGGGAAACGCCCATCAGTAGGCAGCCTGGGAGGTGAACTGTCAGACAAGGGCCCAATCAAAACAAAAGTTGGATTCTTCACTAATTTTCTATATTTCTGGTGGGTTTCTACGCTAGATCGAATTTCTGTAGTGATTTATGAATACATAATTATATAAAAGAAACAGTTCATATAATACTTATATATTTTGGCAGATAAAACGGTATTTAAACCCTCGTGTAGAAATACTTGTATACATTGACTGATATAACGTAGAAGGCTTAACCTTTGCTATCATTGATATCAGTAGGGAAATTCTCTTAATAGTATGGCTTGAGATTTTATTATAGCAGTAATGGATCACTTAGTGTACTGTACTGAATGTATTGAACCTTTCGGAATTATGAGATGTGTGTGTCCACTGTTTTGGAAAGGTAACCTTGTTGTTATTTCAGCAGTTACATTAAAATATCTATTGAACCCCGTGTGTGAGCTAAAGCCATTTCACTTATGGTGGCAGCTTACTAGATCACATGATCTTCTAGGAATGGTGTGAAAAAAGTCTTTAAAAGGTAAAACGTAAATGGCTGGTTCACAGGTTGGTATTTAATACGATGTTTATATACCACACGAACTATCTCAATGAGAACTTGAGTTATGTGATGTTCTTTTGGTGCCATAAAACCAACTTTTGTGGCTAAACTACTGGTGTCCCATGCTGAGATTGTACCACACTGAAAATGTTCAGGGCATGGACAGTTCAATCAAAAGCTAACCAAACCTAACCTAATCTCTTATTCCAAGAGGTAATCTCAACACACCTCAAGCTTTCAATGATGTTTGATCGAACTGCGCATCCCCAGAACAGTTTCAGCGAGGTATAATCTCAGCACACCAAATCAGCACACAATTTTCATTACCTAGGGGTTTGAGCCCAAAAAATCGTAAGGATGTAGGAAAGTAATTTATGTGGCCACCTGCTGTATTCACTCGTTGGCCCAAGTTTATGACCTCACTAAGCATTTGGTGTAGAGGCCTTGGAGACCTTGGTAACAGTGGTTGAGAATAATATAAATGATAAATAAATTTTCCCTAAATTACTGCATAGCCCTAAAAAGTGATACAGTAGTTGGAAAGTAGAGGGATCATTGTAAGATACGTCACCTCAGCTTATTTCAACTGTAACTTACCTTACCCAAACTAAACCAACCAAACTTAACCTTCCTATGTAATATTAAGGAGGTTAGATGAAAGAAGTTGGGAGGTTAATATTCAGGTGATCCCAGTTATGGAAGGAGGTTGCGTGAGTAATGATGTCGCAGATACAGCCACTTGTCCTAACTGTCATCTATTTCGGCTATACAGTACCCTCAGGCTCTGTCCCCATTCACTACTTGTCACACCACACATTGATTATTGAAGGATGACATACTATATACAGCACATAGTGTTTTGGTGTAAGGTACCAAGTACATGAACTGACCAGTGTTTGCCTTTGAAGACTTTGGTTGTTAAAACATGGAAATACAATGTGAGTAACGACCCTTTTAAGGTCTAGTTATGTACTGGTATGCTTTACACAGTAGAATAGTACATAAATTTTTTTTTGAAGGGTTGCTTGTTTATGACTGGGGGACCTGTACACATAATTAACCCTGAGGTGTACTGTACATCATAGTGTGTCGTGGTTTAGTATTTCAGGAAGTTAGGACTATGGGACCCATGTTGTTTTCATTGCTTTGGCTTTACTAGTGTATGTATCTTCATTATGGGTTTATTATCCTTATTGTAGAAGTCTTGTTTCACCCTCAAGTGATAAACAATTCAGTTTGGCAGTTGTTAATTGTTTCAGAAGTTCTTCAAGGTAATAGAGATTTGGTCTGTGTATCATATGAAGAATGACTATCCGTTAAGTGCGTAGAAGGAGGCACAAAGACAACAGTATGAGACAAGCAATGGGGGAAATACCGGTATTACAGTCCCGACCTTTCATAAATGTCAATACAGTAACTGAAAGGGTCAGCTCACCCAAAGCGTAGGTGTTAATCTGACTTATCCTCTCCTTTGTCTCCCCCTTTTTTTTCTCTCCTGTTCCCCCCCCCTTTTTTTTTTTCCTGTTTAGTCACTTGGGGCTGTTGGATTGCAATAACTGCCGAATGAAATGTATAATAGAAATGGAAAACTGAGCTTGATGTCCTTTCTTTTTTTAGACAGAGCATGTTGCCAGGTGGTTTAGATATCTTCCCTCCCTACCTCCCCCACGTTAATAACATGGTCTACTGGAACGTAATTCAAGTGGTGGATCGACATGAATTGAAGATGGCGGACAGTAGCCTTGGCAATATGGGTTCTGATTGCTGTATACATTATTGGGGTATAGCTGTACAGTACATTTATTTTTTATAATATGTTCGGTATCTACAGGAGTAGAGTTGGACTTACAAACAAGTCTCAGGAATGCAACTCGTTCATAAGTAGATGGGCACCTGTACTGTAGTTTGGTTATGTTTTGATAGTAAATGGCACTTTGAATACAACTACACACTACAGTAATGGGATGGTTCTCAGGTATAGTACAGCTGCATACAGAGAAAAATTAACTTATCTAAAAGAGTTACTAAAAGAAAACACTATGTTAATATTTCAGTAACATGTACATCTAGTTTCTCAAATCTTGGCTGTTTTAGTAGCAACTGCACAGAGACTTTATATTCACTTATGCTAATACTGTACCACTTATACTAAGAGAAGAGAATTTAAACCACATTAGCTATTTGTCATGAAGTATGACTTATAGTTGACTTTTCATTATTAAACTTAATATATTTTTGCTGTGGGTGTACAGTACCATGTTGGCTGTGTTGTATGGTGTTGTTGTTGTTTGTTGAAAGCTTAGTACCTTCCACTTATCTTCTCAGGTGATGTCTAGGAACTTGTTGAAGCTAAGCTTGTGTGTTTGTCTGTCATTGTGACGGCATTGATCTCGTTAAAAAAAGGCTATTGGTTACTATAAAAGGAAGCAAGGTTATCTAGACCATTTTACAGAAATGTAAGATGGGCACTGTGGTGGAGCTCTTGTAGGGCTTCCTTGTGTGTGTGCCACAACAAAAGTGTTTAGCCATGCATTTGTAACTTGTCCTGCTTCCTGACGTTCACTGGGTGTCATCTTTACCACCTCATGATTCTGGATCTTCTCTTGTCAAGATTTATTGGCCATTTGCCTTTTTTGCTTGTTAGTTCATCATCTCTCATTAGAACATACCGTAAAAGATTAAATTTGGTTGTTAGGAATATTAAATTAGGTTAAGTTAGGTTGTCAGAATAGGTTTAGTTAACATTGGGGTGGTTAACCTTAAGGTGAAATAAGCTTGGGTTGGGGGGGGGGGGCTGGCTATTCATCAGACAATCCTAATTCTGTATGTTTTGTACAGTACTGGATAACAAGGATGCAGTAATTAGTTTGCAAGTACAGTAGTAGTAGTAATCACTGTGGGTAAACTTGACCACTGCAGCTTAACTTTTGAATTGGTTGACCTTAGGTTCTTCACTTAATAAAATCACTTTTATACTTGCCATGACTGTGGAAGAGAGGTACACCATGATACCCTATGCTATCCATCTGTGTGTGTGTGAAGAAAGTGACATCTCTCAAACACTTAATAACCTTGCACAGAACACTACATTAATCGTGAAAATTATCAGGATTATGTACACTATTTAGACAAAGTGCAGACCTCTTAATTAAAGTGTATGTAATATGTAGGTCAAGGATACATATGTAGGTCAAGGATACATATGTAGGCCAAGGATACAGATGAAGGTCAAGGATCAAATATGTTAGTGGATACACAGTACAGTACATGGCATCCTTCTATCTGTACAGGGGGGGGGGTCTCATATAACTACAAATATGCAAGAAGCTGAAGCATGCAATACAATTTTAATCACAAATATAAATACTACAGATTTATGATCATGGAAAATATCCTGTACTGTACTGTTTTTGGTCTTCATACACACCAATGGGAGTAACAAACGACAGGAACAGTGATATTGGCCTTACTTTATCTCATGCTTGCACGCAGACGCGCACACACACACATTTACTGTATGTTAATTATCTGTTGTCTTATATTTTCATCACTTTAGGTAATTAGTCCCATGGGAAGGAAAAGGGAGCAAATGGGGAAATGTCTACTGTATATGGAGGGATGGGGGGTTAGAGTCAGCTGTCTCCATTCCCCACTCATTAGAAGGATATTCATTTGTCTCTCCTTATTCCTTCTTCATCACCCTCAACGTTGCCCTTGTACCCTTCTACTCTATTTAGATATGAATGTCCTGCATGATACTTCTGACAAACTCCTCACATTTCAGGGTCACAATGTCTGCGGGGCCGTACAATTACTCGTATATCTTCAAGTACATCATTATTGGGGACATGGGTGTGGGGAAGTCATGTCTCCTACACCAATTCACAGAAAAGAAATGTAAGTATTGTATTTTGCAACTGGTTATATTATTATTAAGGGGTGCCTAAAGTAGAAGTCGTTGGTTCTGTTTCCCCATGCACTGTAATCTGTTTAATAATAAGTGACCTCAAACAGAAGGCCAGATATTGTTATCATTAATCCATGAGTCATAATAAGTTTCAGACCACTTGAAAAGTAGACACTCCAGCTTATTTCACCTCAAGATTAACCACCCAAATGCTTAGCTAACTAACCTAAATGCCCTAGGTTGCATTTGTGTGGTTAATATTTATGTGAAGTAAGCTGGGGTGTCAAATTTTGGAGACAATGAAAATAGAATTAGGTTTTTATTAACAGAATTTACTCCACTGTCTCTGTTTTTTTAATACTGTACATGTAGCACAAACTTTCCCTAATAAAATAAAATATTTCTTTCCACAGTTATGGCAGACTGCCCACACACAATAGGTGTAGAGTTTGGTACCAGAATCATTGAAGTAGCTGGTCAGAAGATTAAGTTACAGATTTGGGACACAGCAGGACAGGAACGTTTCAGAGCTGTTACAAGGTCTGTCTCATTACTCTTTTATTAGTGCAATAGTTTTGTTTTTACACTGTACTTGTACTTGAATGTCTTGATTACCCTAATTTTATTACATTTCATTTGTTTTGTTTTATGTAAATTCACTTCTTCATAATCTGATGGCCTATTAGAGGTAATATAGACACAACACACTGAAGACTAACCTCCCATACACAAGGAAACACTATGGCATGAGCTACACTTATCACCTTTCAAGATACCTAACTATTTTTTTTTCCTTTTCCAGATCGTACTATCGTGGTGCTGCAGGAGCGTTAATGGTGTATGACATCACTAGGCGGTCTACCTACAATCATCTTAGTTCTTGGTTGACAGATGCTCGCAATCTTACCAACCCTAATACAGTGATATTTCTAATTGGCAACAAAGCTGATCTAGATGCACAGGTGAGCATTAAAGATAGGAGTGTTGAAGATATTTTGTAGAGTGAGAGATAGATTTAATGAGGGAAAAATAGTGAATGAGATATAAATAGTGAAAGAGATTTAGAGAGGTAGATACTGGTTGATAGAGATAGATAGGTAGAGAGAAAGTGAGTTTACTGGTTATAACATGTACATTCTTTACAGAGAGATGTTACATATGAAGAAGCGAAGCAGTTTGCTGAAGAAAATGGTTTGATGTTCGTCGAGGCCAGTGCGAAAACGTGAGTACTGTACACTTATTGATTATATCGACTGTCCTTTTTCCTTTTAATTTAGGTACTGTACAATATGTATCGGTTAATAATCTCCCTGCCTTTAAGTTAAGGGGAAATTGACGCACAAAGGTTTTTAATGGCTGATGTTGTGGTCACTAGCAGTATCTACGAGTGAGTTTTATGAAGAGTGAGTGAACCTGTTTACGCAACCGTAGTTCCAGTTTCCTTATTAGGTTGTAAAGATATATATAATTGTTAGTTTGTCCTTTTTTGTGCTCTTACACCCAGATCAGGTAAGGGATAATCTTATTTTCAGATTTAATAAATTTTTGTAATCTAGTCACAAGTGATGATAATACAATGCAAGTTGTAACTCTGGGTTTAGATATGCCAGCTACTGTACTGTATATCGAGTTGCTTGATCTAGACTCAGTTGTTAATATTTCAGGATCACTTCACCATTTGTATGTGATAAATGAATGGGTAATTTTTATGGTCTTTTGTGCTTGCATTTTTCTTGCAGAGTACAGTATTATATACTTATGATATTTTTTTTAGCAAATCTAAGTCCCTTATATATAACGTTTGTTGAAAAGTTAGTACAGTAGCATCATCCTGGTAACTGTTAGATGTCGTATGGTATCCCTTACAAACCCTTGCTGTGATGCCCCCAAAATGTGTTATTTTATTACACATTTTTAAACTTTCAGTGGAGAGAATGTAGAAGAAGCCTTTTTGGAGACAGCAAAGAAGATATATCAAAATATTCAAGATGGCAGGTTAGTTATTGATGTTTACTGTGTACTGTTGTTAATGTTTATATTAGTCTTTTGATGTCAAATATTTATTTTTTACATATTTGTAGTCACAGTTACACATGTCAGTTTTAAGCTAAGAGTTATGTATTCATGAAGGTTAAAAGTTCTGACACTAGTAAGGTCTTTATTGATTTTTGTTTTATTGTAATATTACTTGAAAATTAACCCTTATAGCAGTGATTATGTAGTTTAAAAATGAAGAAAGCACTTTGTGAAGGACTGTGGGAGGTACATGTAACAAGGGTGTCCTGAAGGGTGGTGGTGCTGACCAAGGAACCTGTATTCAGTCTAAGCTTGCCAAATGCACCAGTGATAAGAAACATCACAGTATATGACTAGTTAATACTGTACTACCGATAACAGTTGGTATTTTATTACCAACCCCCGTTTTTTAAAGCAAATCAGTAGTGGTTAACAAAAACAATAAATACAGTACTCAGTCACAGCATTAAACAATATATAAAAATACTACAAGACCAACAAGAAAAGGCTGACTATTACAACAAGTAACAAGAGGTCCAGTAAAAAGTATTGTCACTAGAGCCTTTGTTTACCACATAATTAACATGTGACCATTACAGTATAATTCCCTCATAATAAAAGGAGTGCCTTTAGTTTCATATTGAAAGTCTCCAACAAGGCCAGCAGCTTCAGGGAGACTGACAACCAGTTTTATAGTGTAGTTGTTGTGTAGGGAAAAGTCTGGGCTGCAAAGAACATTCACACACATGACTCAGTAGACATATGTTTCACTTTAAAACACTTGTGAATCGCTGATGATGGAGATTAAAGAGACTTCATCGTCATCTCAAGGTGAACATAGATACATACGTTGTCATCCAGGAAATAACTACTACATACTTTTGATACATTTTTACTAATTATTTATATGACAACTAATACATAAAGAATACAGTACACATTATAATTTTTTAAGCTTATTTTACATGTATAGAAACAGCACTTCATAAATGGTGATGTAGGTGCTCTTGGTATAATTAATGATAATATTGTAGGTTGATCATTTACAAACAAATTCATTTAAAAAAAAAAGAACCTATAAGGATTGAAAATAATGGTGTGCAAGTGAGATGTTTGTAAACATATATTCCCAGCTGTCAGATTCCTGCACCGAGTTCACACTGGGGGGGGCAGCATCATTCCAGGCCCCTGAGAATCTTAACTGTTACTTTGATTTTAACTATCTGTTCACACCTCAACTTCTTCATTTGCACAGCACTCCCCTTATGGTCATTATGGGTATGAAAGCCATTAAAAACTGTTATGTAATACATTACTCTAGCTGTACTGCATTGTAGTATCCTCTCTAGCTTCCACCATTACAGTTTATCGGTACACTGATATGCCACGCCATAATTCAGCTTTCATAAAAGTACCAAGTCCTTACGATATTTTTGTTTCCAGTTTGGACTTGAACGCAGCTGAGTCGGGTGTACAGCACAAGCCAACACAACCAGGTAGAACCAACCTGAGCAGTGATTCACAGTCCAATCGTGATAATTGTTCCTGCTAAACTCTGCTCTTACTCTGGTCATTGTATGGTTTGTGGTAGATTTGCTGGACTATATTCAAGATTTTCAACCAAGGAAAATCTTCTTGTTGGAGTGGAGTGCTAGATGCAAAGACATTATCAGAGTTTTATCAAGGGGCGAGGGGGTATATGAAAGAAATTATGTTCTATATATTTTTCTTTGAACTTACATAACATGACTGTGAGTAGTTTACAAATCGAAGAACAATATGTAAGATATAATTATAGAAAGTATTTAAAGTTACTAAAAGTGTAAGGGAAAACTTGGAGCTTAGAGATTACTAAATATTTAAGAAGAAAATCAGATCTTCTCTAAGGATTTTATAATGAGTTCTCAAGCCATATTTTATTTTATGAGACAGTACTTTGGACTTAAGCAAAATTAGATACAGTATGTTCATTTATGGAAACAAGATTTTGACCTTTACTTGAATTTTACATTCTGATGTGGACTAAAGGAATACTGATTTTATTTGGGTATTTGTTGGCTTATGAATTATGGAACTGGCAAGTATGCAAGTGCTAGAATCATCTACTAGTTGTATATATCTTACTGGGATAAAAGCCAGTATATACGAAAAAACATGAAAAAATGATTACCAGAACTGAGAAAGCAAGTAGAAGATTAGTTAAAGATTCTTAAGTCATCAGTCACTATATTACCTTTGGAAGGAAGTTAACCATTTTACTAGAGAAGTATAGGATATGTGATGCTGGTATCATTATCTTTTAAAAGGCTTATGAAAAGTCCAGAAAAATCCTTTTTAATCTGTAAGTTTGGCTTAACATATCATCTACCACAGTGACAAACAGTGTAGAAATGTAGTAGCACTGACTTTAATTTTGGACCTAGTGCTGAGAAAATATTACAAGGACTTAAGATAAAAATTGAACTTTCTTATGATAAGTTAAATTATGAAAGTTTCTGAAATTAATAGGTACTTACAAGGTGGAAGTATATACAGTATATATGCCATATTAGTCTCTCAAGGGAAAAAATTATAAAAGTAATCCATTCTGTATTAGAGTACAGTACTGTACTTTAAACCTAGTAGGGTATGTATGTTACAACTACAGGACAGTAGAGTGTTTACTCACCTGTATAATTTGAAGAACTGAATGGATTAATTAGTTGAAGATTCATTGTTGTTAGTGATAAGAAAAAAATCTTTTGAAACAGAAGGTTGTATTATGTGCAAAAGGAAGTTTGTTTTATCCAGAAAGAATTTGGCATTTGTAAGCATATTATTTATAAATATGTAAGTGCATTAAATTTAGACCACTTTGTGACAGTCTTTCCTCTTAAAACTCAGTTCTTCATAACTGACATCTACAGTATAAGTACACCTTACTCTTTTGATCACCTGCATTATCAATTATTTTTTATTTCAATTAGCTAAAAAAAAATTATGTTCCATAATTCAATAAGGGTTGTTCATAGTTGAAGTGTGTAGTATTTATTCTATCATTTTCCAAATTCTTTATGTTATACAAGTGACTTGCTACTTTCACTATTTAAAGCAAGAGTGGGACATTATATTGGACAGCGTCCGTCCTTTGGTCACAGGCCATACACCATCTCTAGAAATTATGGCTATGCCCAACATTTTTGTACCAAAGATATTATTATGCATATAGGTATGTTGAGTTTACTTGTGGTAGCCCTTGAGCTATTTCATTGTGGTCAGTAAAATCACAGTAGAAAAATTGGCACCATCTGTCCAAATAGATTATTACAGCTCCCATTATTTATCATTGTTAGAGAACCTTGTTAGATTTTTCAACCAGAAAGTTGCAATTCCACACATGTGCACAGTTTAGTATATGTAGAAATGTGTGTACGTGTGTTTACGTGTGTATACCTGTACATGCGTGTGTTTGTGAAAACGGTGGCATCATCTGTCCAGCTACAGGATCAAGGTGCAAAACTTGCTCTCACTGCATATCAATGTAAATGGAACCTCTTGTATGGACTGTATGACAGTGGGGATGAGGATCTCTGTTAGGTCAGTCTTGTTTGGCATCATTTTACTTAGTGTTATGGCAAAATTACAAATGGGGCAACAGTTTGAATTGCTAATACTGACTGTGTTGTTTATTGTCCCTTCAGGTAAAAGATGATGTGTTCAACACCCTTAAAGATTATAAAAGAATCTTTGCTAAAACTTTCTCAACTTTCCATAAGCCCTTGAAGTACTTTTCATGTATACCAGTGATAGATATATATTGTACTAGAAACTACAGTGATGTAAAAGACAAGTTTTTATATGGTATATGTATGTATGTATGTGTTATGTACAAATACAGGTACATACATATGCAATTATGTTCATATCTTACAGGCCTTTATCAGTGTCTGTTGTACATGTGGGGAGTCTTGGAAGTGCTCCTTAGTGGTCATATAATACTTCTGGTATATTTCAGTCTTGAAATGCAGATTATTATACTGTGTAAGTACCACTATAAGTCCCCCAGTTGCCATATTACCATGATTACCTTTTAGTCATTCTTACAGACTGGATTATTAAGGTTCAGATGTTGATGTTAGCGAAGCGTACGTAAGTTTTTCTTTTGGGCGTACACTTTTATTGCCCCCTCTTTTTCCAATGGGGTTAGATGATCCTAACTTTCCTCAAGATGAGCTGTGTAGTCCCAATATTTTTATTTTCCAGCAATTTTTTTTGGAGGGGGGGGAGCAGATAAAACAGGTCATTAATGTTGTGAATGTGTTTGGTCCACCTGTCCCACGGCTTTATGTTGGGAATGAGAGTACGGTAGGCCAGTTGATAGATGGAGTTTTTGATACACACACACAGCCAGACACACACATAAGAGAGGAAGGTTACATACAGTGATCTATAATTTGTATATTGTACCATATAATTTAAAAGAAACCTTAGTGTTTTAATCCATATAGTTGTTAATTTTATTTAACCCTAGTGTATCTGTCTAAGGCAAAGGAAAGGTATTCTTGCCAGTTATCAGTTTTTTGGTTATGAGTCACTTTGAAAGATTCTAATAGTGTGCATAGTTTGATTTGTGATAGGTTCATTCACCTGACTGAAAAAATTTAATAATTTATTATGTTCAAATATTTATAAACCATTTTGTTGTTTACATTTTAAGGAGTTCGTGGAGCATTAATAATTTTTTTTAAATTAACTAGACTTGGATTTAAGCTACTGATATCTTAAATATTGAATGTATCACGGTTATCATTTAACTAGTGAAGTACTGTAGCTAGTTGGGAGTCTAAAAGTTAGAACTAAGCTGATATTTGGGAAACATTTTTGAGATTGTTAAGATCTGTTGAATAATAGTATAATATGTATCATTTTAATTGTAAAGGAGACTGGTTGACTTTAGATCATCCAAGGAACAATTACTTTGAAGCAACTAAAGGATTGTCCTTTATCCCACTGATGGCTCATATGTAGCTGAATTCTCATTAAAGCACCACTTGGTGAGTTGTCATGAACACTTTGCTACATCCTTATATTTTACATTATTATTCACTGTTACCCTCTCTGCTTTCATCTTTTAATTTATATCTACCTTTTCTACCGAGACAATCCATGTTTTTTTTTTCATTTACCTTTTTTTCTTGACGCAATTCAGTAATTATTACTCGTATGATACACAAATCAACACACAGAATTCATCATCAAATATTTTTAATATTGGTGGTTGGTTTTTGACATTTGAAGGTGTGGAGGTAAACAGTACCAGAACTGTAATGGGAAAAATTGTCTACTCTGCACTGCTTTATACCTGGGAGACTTGCTGGTTAATTAAGCTGAGGAAACTTATATCCTTAGAGAAGAGAATAAAGAGAATTCCATATCAGTCTCCACACCTTGAAGTACTCAAGACAAAGCACCAGCACCGAGAGCTTTTGTTAAATGTAACAACTGCTATTTTCTGCCATAAAGAAATATAAATGAAAACAGTAAGTGTTACCTTTTACCTTTGTCAGTGTACGTAAGGATGGTAAGTGTAAAAAAAGACAAATATGAAGAAGTAAATACTGTATAATAAGAAATAAATAAAAGAATCAGGAGGAGAGTTTTAAACGCTCTGAGGATATTTAGTAATGTGTAATAGACCAATATATTTGCCTCCGTATGAATTCGGCAAATTACAGAACCATTAATGAGAGAAAGGACTCTATACTTTACTTCCGTATACAGTACAGTACTGTTAATGTTAACAAGTTGGTGTATGGTCAGAAAGGTTTCTAAGAAGAGAGATTTTATATGCAGATATGAGAAGCACATAGTAAAAAGTGTCAAGAAGCAAATATTGAAGTAATGTGTGTTTAATAAAAGGCATAAATAAGCCACATGTTTCCATAAGTATGTGTGTAGGGTTGTGTAATATGGACACATGCATATATTATAGTTTGTTAATAAAAGAAGGCAAAACAATTATCTTGATGATAATGAACTCACTTTTATTATCAGTCTATGAGGGCAAGGAAAGTAACTGTTTTATAGAGTATAAATGAATGTTTTAGGATCAACTGAGACAATTTATAAAGAAATATGGATGGGAGTTGGGTTTTATATTGAGGAAAAAGGTGTAAAACAATACTTTTGTCAATATGAAAATGAGTATAGGTACAGTACTGTATGTTACAAAAGGTAATTAAATAACTTAGGAGAAAAATAATTATACAAGAGTATAGTTAATGCAGTGGACCATCAAATTGTAAAAGATAACCTGTTACCTTAATGTTTGTATTGAAATTGTAATGTGAATATTGATTGATTGATACGTTTATTGAGATACAAAAAACATTAATACATCTCGAAGGGATGAAGTGACATAAGTCATCCCCACCCCAGTCCAGGAATGTCCCTCTCAGGACTCACATAAATCCCTAATATTTCATATAATCAGTTATAGTACATAGTTATATTCTAGATGCAAAATTTCTATATTTCTTTAATATTTCATCTATTTTCCTATTTTTAAACATGTGAATATTGTGTTGCTGTATCTGGCATAAAAATGATAATTCAGATTTCATATATTATCTGTATAGTGTTTACTTGAGAAGCAGAATTCATAGAACTTTCAATATTGTGTCTAGTGTGGCCAAAGAATAAATTGAAAATCCCTTCTATAATAACAATAGGTAATAAGACATTGGTATCAACGTGAAGAAAAACTGATGGTACAGTATAGATATTTTACAGCAAGGAATGGACACTATTTAGAATCTTATAATTATCAAAAGAAATGATGGTGTGATAATCAAGGGGGTAAGACGAAGACTTTGCAAAGGATTTTATTATTCAAAGATGAATATAAAGCATGATGAATGCATAAATTGAAGACAAATTTTATTGTGGGTATTCAATACTAAGTTGATCCTCAAAGTTTATACTCAATATGGGGAAAAAGAAAAACTGAAAATATTCAGCTTTTAGATCATATATAAAACACGTCAAAAAAGAAGACCGATATTTTGATTATGGAGAAGTAAAATGACGAAGGTGAATGCTCTGAATATAAAAGGATGACTTATATCTTGGGGTGGATTTGTATACAAGCAAGTCCACTGGATAGGAAATTACCTTTAGTGCTAAATAATAATGAAGCTTTTTAGTGATTTGACAGGTATGGAGAGAATCCCTGATGATGAGTTTTGTCAAGGGTTATTATGGGAACTGATCCTTGCCAGGTTTGTGATCTATCCTCATGATTAAGTGATCTCTTGCAGAGGTTTGTCAAGAGCACAGACGAATTTAACAGTAGGTGAGAATCAGTTTGAACTGGTGATTTAGTGGCCATGTTTTCTCCTGAAATTTTTGTAAATAGCAACAGTACAGTACCTGGTATAGGTGCTGTAGGAGTTTAACAGTTTGCCTTCTGGACTGATGTGAGCACCCTTGATATTTAACCATAGGATTGAGTGCATTAGGGGAAATGCTGTATCAGGTGTTTGGTTTTTTGGGAATGCATATACTGTACATGGCACTTGGTTTTATATAAGTGCTAAAGTAATTTAAAAAACTTCATGTAAGAAGATATTTAAAAGAACACTGATACACACACATACAAAGTGAGTTGGTATTAAAATATTACAATAAGTAAGGAGCAGTCCTGTATAGAGGTGTTAACATTATACCTAAATTCTGAATGTGGACTATGTCAGGTTAACACAGTGTCATACTTGGAATTCCGAAATTGTGCAGTCATTGTTGATAAAAATTTTTTAAGTGTGTTCATGCTAACTGGGGGACAAATATAACTATATATTCCATTTTACTTGGTTAAATATTAAACAGGTGAAGGAAAATGGACACAAGGAAAATTTTAATGTACGAGGTTGAAGGGCTAAATTTTCTTGTATTGATTGATCTGGTTTTTAACTTATCCCAAATAAAACAGAAAATAATCCATTACAGTTGTCCCTGAGATGACATGCACACCTGTACATTGAGCAACTCTAGAATGGCTGCACTAACTCAGACTTAACAGTATGTATGAGTGCCTTCCTAAGATCATCCATATTCAGAGTTAGAGCAGAACTTTTATGTATAACGCTGATTATTGTCAAATCACACGCTGTATAAACAGAGTGTACCGTATACACCTTTAGCAAGAGTATAATTAAGTAATGATGATGCTAGCATTTATAATTTTTTGGTTCTTTGCATGAGTTTTTGTGTGGCAGACTTTATTGCATTTCCAGAATATATTTAATAGTTGTGTGGCAACAAAACTCTTGCTTTGGAGTGTGCATATCAGGATCTGGGAAGAAAATGATTCTATTAATATAATAAGCATATTAAATTGATAATACCATTTGTTTACATAATCAAATTATATATTTACTTTACTGACACATTGTGATAATCCCAATAACTTATGTTATCCAACCTTGTATAACAAGTATGTATTGTTAATACAGTGATAACCCTTTCTTCCCTAGATTTTTCATTCCATGCGGCAATACACCAATTATTTGCTAATCTCAATCTGGTTTATAAAGATTTTGCATATCCAATGTAGATTTCAATAGTTATGTTTGCATAACTGATTAAATATGCAACATCTTAACACTAGATGTAAAAAAAATTGGATGTAGTTAATAAACACGACAGTGAACTAGTTTGTGGATACTGTAACTAAGTCGCTGGTGTGTGTAGCCTGTTTCAAGTCGGTGAGTGGGTACGTCAAACGAGGGTTTTTTTTCATCAAGCTGGTGCCAGTTCAGTAAATGTTAGGCAAATAACATGAGCAGCTATTAATGAGCCTTATGGGTTACTTAAAGAGTGATGGTTGTCCTATTTGTTTCAACCTTATAGTCCTTGTCTGATATAACTTACAGGAAAATTGTTGACTATGACAAATATTTGGTTTAATAATTTCAAAGTATTTCCTGCTAACTGTATAAGCCTCAGTCAGAATATTAGCTGGGCAGTCATTTTATATTACTGACCTAATATTATAAAATAGGTGTTGAGCAGACAAAAGTTTTTGGCATTTTTGTAAATATTCATTATTTTGTAGTGTAGGAGTATCTTAATGATTATTGACCATTCACAACATGAATTCAAATATCAACCACACTAGATAAGCCAGAAGTTTGTTAAAAGTTAGATACTCTAATTAAATGATATTGTCTCATGAAATTCCTGTAGAAATGGCAGAAATGAGACATGAATGTCTTAGAAAATAAAATAATAGTTTAATATATAATCTTGTTCACAGCTTCCCATACACATCTCAACTTGATTAAATTTGCCAATGGTTTTATAAGTCAATGTCACTGTTAATTATTTCTTCTTAAATTTCCTTGACACTTGCCACTTAATTATGGGCTCTTACACTGATCATAGATTGGACTGGTGCTAAATTCGAATAACAAAGATAAGCAATTCTTTGCTTTCAGAATTTTTTGCATTCATTGTTTTACAAATCACACAGTTATCCCTACAATGTTAAATTATGGCTTTATGTTCTGTGTCCAAGTGTGTGTATGTTGAGAAGAATGTTTGAGTGAGTGGGGCTTTAAGAATGGCTTAGCCTTTTACTGACAGGTGGTGAAGATTAGATATATACTGTATCTTGAGAGTGGTTATATCATGATAATGTTACTAAACTGTACATTACATTTTTCTTTCATTATATATTTCTGAAAACCCTTGGAAGATCTTAATAATGTATATATTGGATATCATGACAGTGCATTCTGTTTTCACTGCTTGTATCTAATTGAACACTGTGATATGTTTATTTTGTTAAGGAATGGTCTTTAATGAGGCATAATGATTGCAGGTGTTGTCGATGAATTAAGAAAATTATCCTTGTAAAACATTAATAGTAAAGTCGGCCTCATTATTGAGATTTTATTAACTAATAAATACTACTTTATGTAAATAATGTAATTGCCAAGGAAAGTCTCTCCCACTGTTTGTTGAAGGGTTTTATGGAGTTGGTGTTAATTTAGGACTACTGTATGGCTGCGTTAGGTTCACGTTTATCTTCAGATTTTCTTGGTTACGTAAGTGTACCAGGAATCCTTTTCACTACATAACTGTGGTTTCTAATGAGTTTCAGTACTGGTATAAACGTTAATAATAGGAATATGAAACTTTGTTGATAATTATTCCTAATGTTTTCAAAATCCATTGACTGTGTACAGGGCGTCTCAAAAATTTATACACACTGCCTTACACATTTCATGGATATGTTATGATTGCTTGTACTGTACTGTATTAAAAAACATTGTCCTGACTTGTGAGAGACCTCACACATCAACAAATGAGGACAATGTTGCTGTTGTAATGTAGCATTCACCTGATCTCCACAAAAATCTGAATGACAGTGTGTATACATTTCTCTGAGACAACCTGTATGCATGTCATGTGTTACTTTAGGGGGAAACTCTCCTTGAAGGGGGTGGCCACTTGTATAATCTTCCCCTAATCCTCCTAGCCATTGACCACCTCTAACACCATCATAATTTAGACTGCAGCAACACTTGAAGCCTATGCTTAAGAATTTCATTGGCCAACTTGGCTGTCAGAAAGTAAAACGTAGTCACTCATTATGTGTATTGAGAGACAAGAACTGTAAGGTCGGTGGCTACTTCTACAGTTATGCACAAGCAACAAAGTAGAAGGAACAAAACAAGCAAGTCATACACAAAGGACCACGTGGAGAATGGGAATGCAATTTAATATGAGAACTCTTGTGGAATTCATGGATATAAGGTGGACTAGTGTTGAAGCAGATAATGTAGACACCCCTGCCCCATCATAAGGAAAAAAGCCATCACTGGGAGAGGGGTACCTTGTTTTCTCCATATTGGTATTTTTGTAGTTATTTAAGGCTATTCACTGTGTTTCTTACTTTGCAGTTTTTATTTAGCAATAAAGTTCTTTCTTTTAGGTACTGATATGATTTATGACTTGGTTTTTCATAATTTCATCTTTATTATTCATAAAGAATTAAATTCAGTTTCTCTGTCCTAATTCTTCTGAAGGATATAGATAAGTAAAGGAATGTGCTGGATGTTACTATTTGGCATAACGTATAATTCTTTGGTTAATTTAAACTGAAAAATATATGTATAACAATCATCAATAGTAACACAAAACATACCACTACCTTCAGGAACCATGTCACCATCATTCAGTCAAACAAGTACAGTATTTAAAAAATGCTGGAGTGGAAAGGGTTAAGCAAATATTGAAGCTCATTTCTTTCCTCATTCTGAAACATCATATTTTTCTCACTCATATTTACTGTTTTATTTGATTTTATGATTGCCAACTCCTGGCTACTACCCCTCTGTTCACGACCTGCTCGGACCTACCTAAAGATGATGGCCCAGTACTTGTTTCAGTGCTGATGTGTATGTAAGACTATTATTCACAATGTATTTACTTGTATATATTCATAAACAAGTGTGTGTAATCACCAGTAGGGAATATAAAACCTTCAGAAATGATATTTACTTGATTCTCTTTTGTGAAGAAATCAGAATTTCCAATTCCAAGACTGAATTTTTAGTAATTGTTTGAGAATTAGTTTTAATATGAACACCCAAACAATGCTCTAGCCACCTTGCCTGTGACCAATTAGATTACAGATTGGGACCTAATGCCTGCTGCATTACCTCAAACAATAACTAAGATTATGAGTCTAGAAGCAACATGCAACATGGTAACTTTATTCCTGACATACAAAATAAGGGAGTCGATAGATTTATATCTAACTCGCTATTTCTGCTCACTCTTTTTAAGACAATCTCCACTCCTGACCGTGTCCTCTGGTGTTCATAATAGTTGCTGCGTGCTAGATGGTGTACGCAAATCTGTTGTAAGTTTAAGAGATGTGTTTTTGTTAACATATACTTGCCATCAATCAAAAGACAGGTCACTGGGACACATAGGAAGAGATTTGAGAATTATTACCAGATATAAGAGCAAGATTATTGGCAGATCATTCAGCCTAAATACAGATATGAAATTGGAATAAGCTTGTGTTGCTGTCTATACTGTAAGATTTGTGTACAAATATTAGAATGTTAGTAATAAATTTGTACAAGTGTATATCTGTTTTTGAACATCCTTTCACCACCCTTTGAAAATCATTAATATGATCTACTGTACTGCACCTATTTTAGTTTCATGGTCTTAATGAAATTGTAATGATACAATCAAACTTTATGGGGCAAGAGTCTCTGAACATCACTCAACAGGGTCATAGGAAATGACACAATGTCTAAGGATGTACAAAACTGGAATCCATAAATGTATACGATGACCTGTCACTTGCTGATGATGTGGAAAAAGATGAGAGCCTGAGGCAGGAAGTGGAGATGTAGACTAAATTTGGGTTACCAACAGGGTGTGGGAATGGGATGAGGCAGCACTAGCACTGAGGAATAGTGAGACCAAATACTGCACCAACTAAAGAATAAAAGACCTGTTCTACTTGGGATTCAGGATGAAAGTTTTTCCATGAATATGTCAGTGCATGGTGATTGATGGCACGGAGTCATCTTGTGTATGTACCAGTGCCTGTAACAACAGGTTAGGTTAAGTTGTAAGAACACCAAGTGTGAGCTCAATAAAGACCAGACTGGACCAACACTGGTGTATGTTCAGGTACAGTCAAGAGCCCGTATATGCCTACAGTGTGTAACAAAGAACACATTGACTGCCTGATCAGCTAGTGAGCCTATTCAACCGTAAGATTAAAGCTACCTAGGGGCTTAGGCTAGATTAAGTTAGGCTGAGTTAGGTTAGATTAGGTCAGGTTGGGTAGATTAGGTTAGGTTAGGCTAAATTAAGATAGGTTGGGTTAGTAGTGTTGGGGTAGTTAATCTTTAGGTAAAAAAGCTGGGGTGAATCTCCAGGTGATCTGAATATTTTTTGTACAGGTTGTGTTTTTGCCACGTAAAATAGAGGTGAGAGCTGGAAAATACAATTAAAACACCCTGAAGGCAACATTTGAGGTCCTCCCTGCAGGCCCTCTCTCACCAACCTCCCAGTTTCTAAATTGTGAGGAAAATTTAAGTTTCAATAGGAAGTTAGTACTTTACTTTAGTTGGGGATTCACAGACGATATTGTCTTGGAACTGGACCAAGAGAAAGTCGACAGACTCAGACAGTATCTATAATGACATAGCGGTGAATCGACTCCACTTCACATGTACAGTATTTACAGGTTACAAAAAGGTTCATCTGTGCGTGTGTAAATAGATATTTAATAATATAATAATTAGCTATCTATTTACACAAAGGTACTCTTAAGTACTGCCAATCCCAAAAATAAACTAAAGAATTAGACAAAATATGCATTGAAATCAGTACCAAATATAGCGAATGGAATGTAACAAGAGTCAATGTCACCACAGTCAAGGTGTTGAGGGGGTTGTGTCCCACGTAGTGTTGGTAGCAGGTGTTAACGACCGAGCTACACCGCCCCCACCACTGCCACTTTCTCTGAGAGATCTGGGGTTTGAGGGCCTCGTGACGCACTAAAAACATTTCCCATCCATCACCATAACACCACCCTCTAACCCCCCCACCCCCCCTCTCTCTCTCTCTCTCTTTCCTCTTTCCGTGGTTCACTTCACCTTCAGAAGGGCGGGTGGGTCAGTGGGTTCCTTCCTTATACCTATTGACCTCCTCCACACGGTCGCTACTCTGACACGTGCAACACTCGCTTTCACTTATTATACGGCCTAAAAATAAACGTCTCTTGCAGTATGTTCCTCAGTTGAGTACACAAACAGTTATGTGAGTAAGGCGTCCATCCAACCATCCATCCAACATGACTAAAATTTGTTACTTCTTCCAAACGCATTTATTCTAAGACTTACTTTAGGAGTTTGTGTTTCGTATGTGACATTCTGCTAGTTTCTTGTTTTACTTGCTACAACTTAACTCGAGAGTGAATGCCTACGTAACTAAGTAATTTATTCCAAAAATTCCTTCATATGGGACTTCCTGCAGAGGTCACTTGGGAGTTTGACCCCATAACGTTGGTATCCCCCTCCCGGCCTCGACGAGTTGTGTTGGGGGAGAGGGTAGGTGAAGTAGGAGGAGGGAGGTGGGGTAAATTTTGCCTGAGAGGGAGGGAGGGAGGGAGGGAAAACTGAACCAGTCACACGAGACGAACAGCAGAAGAGAGAAGCACAGAGTAATTATTGTTAGTTTCTCTCTCTCTCTCTCTCTCTCTCTCTCTCTCTCTCTCTCTAACACACATACACACACACACACACACACGTTATACCGATTAGTGTTATTAAGAAGAAACCGAGGAAAAGAACAGCAAGATAGATACTAAATAAATATATGTAAAATCGTCACACATATTTACATAGGCAGTGCAGGTAAGGTATACAACAAACCTAGACAGAGCACGTATACAAAAATGTGTATAGACAGTGCAGGTATACACAGAAAGTGCAGATATACAAACAACAAATCGTAAACTTATAGTGATAAAAGAAAAAAATTACAACTCTTGTGAAAATAAACTTTGAACAGTTTTCTTGGTCGATCCTTTGTTAAATCGACGTACTGTTTATTGATTACATAATTTATATACGTGTACTGTCTATGCATGTTGTTTATATATCTACACTATCTGCATTGTCTATGTACACTGTATATACCTTTATTATGCATGTATGTACATTATTCGTATATTTGCACTAAGTATATTATTTGTATACATACATGGTTCGCTGTTCTGTGTTTATACTGTAGGTGCACTGTGTATATTGTATACTTGCACTGTTTATGTACTGTATATCTGCGCTGTTTATCTACACTGTTTGTATACCTGCAATGCCTTTATATATACTGAACCAACGAGAACTTGTAAGACGATTTCACTTAATGAATATCTATCTACATAAAACCGTGTAGGGAAGGAGAGCCTTTAGGCGCGGTGACTGACCACTGACGACCGTCCACTACCCCAAGGAAAGTGAAGAAAGTCTGGCGAGGCGGAGGAAGGGGGAGGGGTAAAGGAGAAGGGGGTGGAGGAGGAGTAGGGAGGTGGAGGGAGGGGGGGGGGGTCCACGCCATGCTGGTGCGGGGAGGTGACCGAGGTTATTAGGGCAGAGAAAACATCCTCCTCCGCCTCCTCCAATAGTTTCACACAAACCGTCTCTGTTCTTCACCAACTATGAGAAGTTGGTCAGTGTCTTCCACCACACCGGGAACCACTCGTGAATCACTGACCATAATATAGGGAACAAACAGGGCCGAAACAGTGACATCATAAAACCACTGCCAACCCCGAGAGAAAGAGAAGAGAGAGTACGTCCTCATTATAGTGAAAACTTGAGTGTGTGCGTGCGTGTGTGTGGGGGTGTTGTCAGTGTGTGTGTGTGTGTGTGCTAGGCGTGAAGCGCAGTAGTGGTGGAGGTAACATGGAGGGTGGCAGCCAGTCTTGTAGCGCTGGTGAGTCTAACAGTACTCTCCTCCACTACCATATCTCACGAACTAAAGTGTTATACCGAGTGATAACCTTCTTGAAGACGCCACTACCATAGTACAAAAATCTTGAAAACAGAAGCTACTACTCGGTGTTTCAAGGAACAACTCAGGAAGGCAAAACACGGGATTCATACAAAACAACTTGAATATTAAGATTTATATTTTTTTTGTATTTGTGGATAATTGAAACACGATTGAGATGCGATTTGAGGCGGTGTTGTTGTTGATGGTGATGGTGATGGTGTCTGCAGGTGACGCGCAGCACAACGTGAGTAACTACAAATACTACTACTATTACTACTACTATATACTACTATTACTACTACTGTTACTACTAGTACTACTACTATCTTTCATTATATCGATTTACTGATTACCATTGTGTGTATACCTTATGAGAACTTGTACGACGATTTTACTGAATATCTATCTATCTATTTATCTATCTATCTATCTACCCCCCTTGGTAATAGGGAAGGTAAATATATCCTTTTCTCTCTATCTTAATGTAATCAAATATTTCATGTACCAGCTTAAACCTAACCTGACCTGACCTATACCCCACAGGTAGCGTTAGGATGTTTAATCATCAGGTGAAATAAAAGAGGGGGCTAATCTTTAGGTGACCCAGCGGCCATATTAAAAACAGTATTGAACGAAAAAACTACCGTAACCTAATAAATTCTCAAATTGACTTAAGAGGAAAAATTAACTTAATATTTGAAAACCCAGTTAAAGTCAATGTGATAATAACCACAGTTGCAGACCCACATTTTAACGCAGAGGTCAATGTTCTGTTACCTCCTGGGTGATAATAGTCTACTGCGCAGGTGTTATGCGCATGTGGTGTTCCGCTTTAGGAGGAACTTGCCTATAATGGTATGCATCCCGTTCCTCGTTACCAACTCACCTACTTTACGAGTATAAGATATAAACACTTAAGAATTCACTTGTTGACGCTTTCTCCTATCTATAATACCGTACAAGGTGTAGTTTGGTTGATATTGTACTAGTTAAGTCCAGTTTTGCATGTACAGTAGGTGATTGGAGGCAGTTTAGTGATCGCCTGAAGATTCTCAGCCCCATCTTATTTCACCTCGAGATTTACCACCCTAACACTAACCTAACCTAACTCCAGCTAATTTCACCTAAAGATTAACCACCCTAACCTAATCTCATCCCCCTCAAATAGTGTCAGGGTAGTTAATCATTAAGTGAAATAAGCTAGGACGTAGATTCTTCATGTTATCCCAATTTAGCAGTTGTATGTGTGTATAGTTATGATCATTAGACTATACCACTGCGACTTAACTATCACGGTTAAATACTACATTCTGTGGAGACTTATTTACTCAAGTTCAGGAAGTGGTGGCGGCGTCTCCATGGTTTCAGACCCTCAGCTGGAGACGGTAACAAGAGGGTGAGTCAGCGAGCCCCTGACCCGTGAAACATTCCGAGAATTTGTAAATGGAAAGCCACGAAACCGGTGTGGCTTTTTACAACAAGGGGGTATTCCTCCCCCTTCCCACCACCACCACCACCACCTGTAAAGCGTGTGCGTGTGTGAGAGAGATAACCTTAACCTCTGAGACAAACACACACGACACAGCCAGCCTTCTCAGGGGTTTCATAGCAGCTTAGGACAATACATACCTTTAGCAAGAGGCTTTAGTCTTGTGGAGGAATGAAGAAAGAAAACAATGTATAATGACCACCGCTGAATGACAGAATGTGGAGCAGATATGAGAGCGTTAGTTAAAGCACGGGAAGGTAAAATATGATCTGTATCTTGTCTCCTAACAAAGCAGGGATGAAAACAAAACAAAAAACAGTGGCAGTTTTTCCTTGAGTGGCACCAGGTTTGTGATGGCAACAAGGTTCAGACACTTGACCCCAGAGCGCACGAGTCGTCAGATCAGGGTCAACAACGTTTTCTTAACGTTTTAAAATGTTCCTGAAAACAACACCCGCGCGCTTCATTTGTTACTGAAATCTGTTAGAGCGTTATGACCGAGAACTGTATTCTGATGTAATGTATCTACCTGTCTATCTATGTAACCAGAAGAATTAGTACAAAACTTGGATGTGTGTGTGTGTGTGTGTGTGTGTGTGTGTGTGTGTGTGTGTGTGTGTGTGTGTGAAACTTCAGACAAAAAACCGACTCAGGCACCGTGAGGCAGCTGCTGTAATACAAACATTATATCATCTGGCAACCCCCAACAGCCAAGCACCCTGGGGAACACCTATCTACGGTAAGATCTCTCTCTATAAGCGGCGGCGTAACAGGCGGAAGAAGAGGTGACCGACCCTACGAGTTCACCTGCGGCAGCTAAACCCAACAAACTGGGTCACAGGTAGTCCATTGTGGCTCTCCTTCACTACATACTTTTTTTTTTTCTGGTCACGAGTCTTGATGTCAAAGCAACAGGGTCAAAGACTGTCTTGTGTGGATTTAATTTAATTCGGGTTATTTTCCAGTCTGTCCAGTGCTTGTTTAGTCTTTCATTAAGTATGTGAGCCGAGTTGACCAGTGTGTGTTGATTAATAGCCATTCCTTGCGTGAGGATTGTTGCTACTAACCTTACCTAACGATAACCAAACACTAACCAAACCTAATACTAATCTAACCTAATGATAACCAAACACTAACCTAATCCTCAGGAAACATTAGGGGTATTCAATCATCGGGTGAAAATAATCTGTGGGTCTAATCTTAATGTGATCTCAGCACTACCACCGTCACTACACCACGATACATGACAAATTTCACAGACATCAGGCGCCTTGGTAAAGTTATCTTCACATCTTTGCCAAATACTGTCTTCTCATTAATTTTTTTTTACCGAGACACCAAATACCTCTTGAATATACGTATTAAACATTACGGGATCTCTAGATTAGTGTGAGAAGTTTTCTACATGAGGATGCGTGTATTAGCATAATCTGTAGGTGAGCGCGGGAAGGATGTGGCAACCTGAGGATAAAAAACAAAAGAAGGTAAAGAAAGTATTTAGTGGTGTGTGAGGAGGAGGAGGAGGAGGAAGAGGGTCGTGATGCGTGATGGAGAGTTTTTTCTACCACAAATTATAGATTTTCTCTCGTGTGCCATGTTTGTCTTTGTACCTCGACCAATCAGAGGCAGTCATTCCGCTATTAGTTACCTAGTGTATACATATATAACAACAAGAATATTTAAGATGTGTTAAGTAGAACTGTAGTGAAGTAGACTGGGACGGAGATAACAGAGCGTGTCGCCTCACCACCCCTCACCACACCCTCACACAACACTGACGTCAGGACAAAAACTAATGAAATATACTAATCCCTGAGTATTAGTACGACAAGTTAAGTCTTCGGTTTAAAATGTACTTTTGTGATAAGACTTTATATATAGAATTGTTCCCTCCGGGTCAGTTCTTGTAGTTAATGAATGTATCTGTGACCGTAGACGCTGGCTATGTCACGATCTCATTAACAAAACACACACACACACTCTCCCTGAATCATCTCAAATCTCGCATACACGCTGCGCAACGAGAAGCATTCGACGAACACTGATATAAACTGCCATAAACAGATGAAATGTACCGGGAATTTTCCCCCCCCATACACTCATCATTCTGTCACTTTATGTAACTTGGTGACAAAACCCACGACCTTTCAGGCTTTTACACCCTCAATGCACGAGTCATGAAGGCAAGCATGAACTACGCATGCTTCCCAGATGGGCGCTGTAAACGCTTTTGCACTTCACCTTGCACAGGATGTAAGGGGGTGCCCAAAAAACTAGCCCTCGTGCGTGGCAAATTCAAAATTCAAATACACACACACACACACACACACACACACACACACACAACAACTGCATTTAGTCACATTATTTGTATCTTCATCATCTTTATTATCATCATCATCATCATCACCACACCATAATTTCCGCACCCATGTTATCACCACCTTCAGCCACACCTTCAGTAGATCTTGTCGTGTTCCTACAGAGTGAAGCTGACGCGAGCATTGGGAGGGGCTTTGCAGGAGGTGAGAGTGGAGGCGGCATTGACCCGGCCATGATCTCCCAGTTGCGTCGCACAGTTCGTCAGATCGTCTCAGAGAACACCCCGCTGAGACCTACCAACTCCTCCGGGGAAAGAACCAGAGACGTGTACGACTTCACCAGTAAGTTCCTCCTCACCTCATAGTTGCTTCTGATGTTACACTACACTGTCAACACACATCTGTTTATCTCAACATAGATTTAGTTGTGCTTTTAGTACATCTGTTACTGTACGTAGCCTAGATTAATTTTCCCTTAATCTGGAGTCTCAAATATTACTGAGTACTTTGTAGCATTAATCCAACTACACGAGCTTTTCGGTCTGTGTCATATGGTAGGTATCATGTATTTCACTGACTCTTCCCAACAGGTTCTCACACTGCACCTTAGTAACAGACAAGAAAAAGAAAAAAGTGTGGTTTCCTGTTATCATCCTCAAATGGCAAAAGCATATATCTGAGGTTTATGCTGCCAGTCACTGAATTACTCACCACCAGCGCGCTTTCTTGTCACTAACTTTATATTTACCCATCGTAAAAAGATGTTGATACTGATACTGAATCTGTGATAATGACGACTTACTTCACTCATGGAGGACGAAACTATCTCACAATATCCACAAAGACTGAGCAGATTTGGCCCTGAGCGCTGTGTTAACAAGATTTCCCGGCAGGTTCGGTAGTAACACACACACACACACACTTACTTAAGTTTCTCCTTGACGCAGCTTTCTTTTTATGGGTTGTGTAGTGGTGTTAAAAACCAAACATAACACAATGTGAACACTACCGCTTCCCCCAGGTTCTCCGTGCCTAGGGGTACAAGTGGCGTGTGTAAGCGGCTAGCAAGGGTGACGCCCGAAGAGTGTGAAGTACTCTTGTCGTCAATGGACACTAAGGTTGAAGGGTAGATGATGACTCGGTCTTTAGGGCAACGGTATAATGACAGTCGGGAAGTGTGTTAGACTTTGTGTGGGTCAGACCCGTACAGCTGCTGAAATGAGGTCTATGACTTAGTGACCATGGGAGCGAGTCCGTTCTTCCCGCCTCGCTCTGCTCCCCTGACCTGTCAATCTATCCTTTTTTAACTTCTTTCTGATTTTACTTTTTATCTTTTACTCTTTCGCTCTTCTCCTGCGCTGTGTACCCACCTGGAGTCATCTACTGGTGTCTTATATACTTATCCTCTTCAGTGGGCTGTACTGTACCTCGTGTTGACAATGATAACAACAACACTCAAGAGACCAGCAGGTTCTTGAAGAGTTGTATCATAAAGTTCCCCTGACTAGTGCCGTGAGAGTACATCTAACTGGCTCACTGTAGCTGTGGTATAATAACCAAAATGGCCTTAAATGTTCTCTAAGACTCCTCAATGTAGCCAGACTCAGACCACTGAGAAAGGAAAAATCCTCAACGCTTGGTGAACATCTTAACCACCGCGACAGTGACTTTCTCCTCCGCTATTAAACACCAGTTGATAAAATAATTCCCAATCTCAAGAGAAAGTTCGGAACATTTAATTCCGAAAATACCAATAACAACCTCTATAGTAACTGCTGCGTCATCTTTCCATAATGGTGTGTTGATATAGTGGTTATTGTTGACAAAAACGACTCCCTAAAATACACAGTTCAACGACACTGGCTAATTACTGTTTTTTTTAATACGTTGGGTAATAAAGCGTACACCAGGGAGTGTCTTAAACGACTTCCTTTATTGCCGAGTTAAACTGACTTGTAGCTTGTAATAAAAACTTCATCAAAAACGTCTGGGTGATAACTTTCTCCTGTACAATAACCACTTCTTTGTGCTGGCCGGTACAATAGGAAATAGTGTGTTTGGTACAATAGGAAATAGTGTGTTTGGTACAATAGGAAATAGTGTGTTTGGTACAATAGGAAATAGTGTGTTTGGTACAATAGGAAATAGTGTGTTTGGTACAATAGGAAATAGTGTGTTTGGTACAATAGGAAATAGTGTGTTTGGTACAATAGGAAATAGTGTGTTTGGTACAATAGGAAATAGTGTGTTTGGTACAATAGGAAATAGTGTGTTTGGTACAATAGGAAATAGTGTGTTTAGTACAGTAGGAAATTGTGATTCATTACAGTAAATTCACTTCTATTGTACCATTACAAGCACCTAAAGGTTGATGTAATTTCACCTCCAAAATGCAGCGTAAAACTCCTATTTGTATTGTTTAGTCATTACAACTTTACAAAGGCTTAAACCAGTGACTTGAATCATGTGTGTGAGAATACCATCAGCTTATTTGTATATATTATGTATTTCCGTGCTTCAGCAACTAAGGTCTTCAAGCACCTGCTGTACATTATGTAGGCACACACACACACACACACACACACTAGAAAACAACTAAGTAAAAATCACGGATGTAGTGCAGTAGTTCTGGCCGTCAGCTGTGGTAATGACATTCCCCCTCCCTCCTTCTTCCCTACCATCAGGATCCTTCCACGTAGGCACCAGTTGTCATGACATCCAGGCTACTCAAGGCGCCACCAAGACCGGCATCTACCTCATCCACCCGCCTAACCTTGTTCAGGGGCCCTGGAAGGTCTTCTGTGACCTGGAGAGTGAAGGTGGTGGCTGGACCGTCTTTCAGGTTAGTTCTTACAACACAAATCTTGGAAAATGATAAATAAGAAATGGCCAGAGTTCCGTATTTCATTAAGGAGTCAGTCAGTTGTATGTGAAATGAGTTAAATTTAATCATTGTATTTAAACCTCCATCATAATAAGTCTTGTAAGTAGTTTCTCTTACGAGTGTGATATATGCATGTGGTCTTAGATGCTTTTGAAACTAACATTATCTCCGTTGTACTCCTTGGTAATGTATCATTCCCTACTACCGCGTTACTCCTTGATGGCACCCCGACTCACCGTTGGCCCCCCGTGGTGTCCCTGGCGGTGTAGGTGAGAGACGACGTGGAGCCTCACGAGAACTTCATGCGTGGCTGGGAGGACTACAAGGTCGGCTTTGGGGACTTCGACAGAGAGTTTTGGCTAGGTAAGTGTACACCCTCGCGTCTCGTTCAGTTGCCTTTGTTAGCTCAGTTTTCCCACCATTGAGATGTTGAGTTCTGACACAAGTGACGCAGCTGTTAACTGATCCAGGTCACTTAACCGTGTGACTTGGAAGCGGTGGTGCGAGGCTGTGAACAATGACACCCACAATGAAGATGGCTTTAATGGGTTCTGTTTGAGATATCCCGTGACGTTGCATGAGTAATTATGTAGAAAACAATGAATTAAATGAATAAGCAGTTAATTCAGACATACTTGTACTTGTAATGCTTACACTTGATGATTTTCACACCAGGTAAGAGAAATTAAATGTTCTCATAAATTAGATTTTAATTTCTTCTGCAATCAATACACCGATTAATAGCATTCATAATTTCTCTATTCCTTAATCATTAAATGTTGAAATGTTTATAATTAATCTAATGTCTGCTGCAGAATTTCTTTGACTATAATTCATTAATATTTAATTTTTTTCCAGCAATGTTCATATCAGTTACCCAATTAAAGCTTTATATATGTGTGTGTGTGGACAGTTAGACGGAGGACCTCGTATGAGTGTGAGAGAGAGTTGTGTGGACACTTTCCCCCCTCACTACCTGACTCAGCACACCTCTCTCATAATAACTTTTCTTTCCTCCTCCACAACAAACAAACACATCACAACAACCTGGGGAAAGTCGCTACTTGATAGATAACCTCATCTTAAGGTGCTTTACACCTCAGACACTTTCTTAGTGTGATGAAGCATTTGATGGTGTAGTGCGTCGTGTGTCAGTACGGTACGGTGCGTCGTGTAGTGCGTCGTGGTGTGCGTCGTGTAGTGTGTGTGTTCATTATGATATTGAAGTCAGAGCGATGTCAGTGTTCACGGTGAAGGATGAGCTCCACCCTCTGTCACTGCTTGAACACAAAAACATCAACCTGGAGGGTGTTTCACAGGTCTTGAAGCGAACACGATGTGGAGTTAGAATACTTAAGACATTGGCATACTGCTATGGCATACGAGGTTTGGTATAATTAAGTCAACAGGCAAAATACGCTATACCTATATAAGAATATTGTATGATCGCACTCTTAACTAAAACATGCATGAATTTCAACAATACAAAATACACCTTGTAAGTGGATCGTCAACACCGACTGTAATGATGTCATATAAACATTATACTGTTTACTTACACAGATGAGAGGTGTACAAGGGGGGTGTAAATGGTGAAACAAGAGTGTAATACCTAACACACAATACACGGTCCTAGGTATCACAAGTAGCGTTATTACCGCTGTCACACCGATATGGCTCCCTCAAACAGGTGGTAACTAATTAGTGTAAATATTACCCAGGTAATTCACCGTGACCTAACTGTTGACACACTGACTGTTAACTGTTGACACCAACTTTTGAGACACTAACTGTTAACGAAGACTTTGGCGATAAATTAAATGAGACACTCTCTTAACGGAAGCACTGACTATTAGACATTGACTGTTAGCACTCTATTAACTGAAACACTGACTGTTAGATACTGACAGTTAAGACACTGACTATTCAGACACTGAATATTAACTGGCAAACTGACTGCTGAATCACTGTCTAACTTGAGACGTTGACTGTTGAGTAACTGCTATTAATTGACACTATGACTATTAACTTAGACATTGACTGTTAACTGAAAAATAGAGTATACACTTAACATTAACTGAGACTCTGACTATTACCTGAGACACTGAGTATGATTAGAGAAACTGACTATACACACTGATTATTATTTACTGACTAAATGACTGGTGATACACTCACTATTAACTGAAACATTAACTGTTGAGATACTGATTATTAAATGAGACAGACTGTTGAGACACTAAATATTAACTGAAACACTTACTGATGATACATTAACTATTGAGACACTGACTATTAACTGAAACATTAACTGGTGAGACACTGACTATTAACTGCGACACTGACTATTAACTGATACATAAACTGTTGAGACACTGACTATTAATTGAGATATTAACTGTTGAGATACTAACTGTTAAGACATTGACTATTAACTGAAATATTAACTGCTGAGACACTGACTATTAACTGAGATATTAACTATTGAGACACTGACTATCAACAGAGACATAGACTGCTGAGACACTGACTATTAACTGAGACATTAACTGATGAGACACCGACTGTTAACTGAGACATAGACTGTTCAGACACTGACTATTAACTGAAATATTAACTGCTGAGACACTGACTATTAACTGAGATATTAACTGCTGAGATACTAACTGTTAAGACACTGACTATTAACTGAAACATTAACTGCTGAGACACTGACTATTAACTGAGATATTAACTATTGAGACACTGACTATTAACGGAGACAGACTGCTGAGACACTGACTGTTAACTGAAATATTAACTGCTGAGACACTGACTATTAACTGAGATATTAACTGTTGAGATACTAACTGTTAAGACACTGACTATTAACTGAAACATTAACTGCTGAGACACTGACTATTAACTGAGACATTAACTGATGAGACACCGACTATTAATAGAGACAGACTGCTGACACACTGACTATTAACTGAAATGTTAACTGCTGAGACACTGACTATTAACTGAGATATTAACTGTTGAGATACTAACTGTTAAGACACTGACTATTAACTGAAACATTAACTGCTGAGACACGGACTATTAACTGAGACACTAACTGTTGAGACACGGATTATTAACTGTTGAGACACTCACTATTAACTGAGAGACGACTATTAACCGAGACAATGACTATTAACTGAGACATTGACTGTTGAGACACTGATTATTAATTGTTGAGACACTGACTATTAACTGAGACATGACTATTAACCGTGACACTGACTATTAACTGAGACACTGACTATTAATTGAGACACTGACTATTAACCGAGACACTGACCATTAACCGAGACACTGACTATTAACCGAGACACTGACTATTAACTGAGACACTGACCATTAACCGAGACACTGACTATTAACTGAGACACTGACTATTAACTGAGACACTGACTATTAACTGAGACACTGATTATTAACCGAGACACTGACTATTAACTGAGACACTGACTATTAACCGAGACACTGACTATTAACTGAGACACTGACCATTAACAGAGACACTGACTATTAACTGAGACACTGACTATTAACTGAGACACTGACTATTAACTGAGACACTAACTATTAACTGAGACACTGACTATTAACCGAGACACTGACTATTAACAGAAACAATAACAGTTGAGACACTGACTATTAACTGAGACACTGACTATTAACCGAGACACTGACTATTAACTGAGACACTGACTATTAACTGAGACACTGACTATTAAGTAAGACACTGACTATTAACCGAGACACTGACTATTAACTGAGACACTGACTATTAACCGAGACACTGACTATTAACTGAGACACTGACAATTAACTGAGACACTGACTATTAACCGAGACACTGACTATTAAATGAGACACTAACTGTTGAGACACTGATTATTAACTGTTGAGACACTGACTATTAACTGAGACATGACTATTAACCGAGACACTGACTATTAACTGAGACACTGACTATTAACAGAGACGATAACAGTTGAGACACTGACTATTAACCGAGACGATAACTGTTGAGACCCTGACTATTAACTGAGACACTAACTATTAACCGAGACACTGACTATTAACTGAAACACTGACTATTAACTGAGACACTGACTATTAACTGAGACACTGACTGTTAACTGAGACACTGACTATTAACTGAGACACTGACTATTAACAGAGACGATAACAGTTGAGACACTGACTATTAACCGAGACAACTGACTATTAACCGAGACACTGACTATTAACTGAGACACTGACTATTAACAGAGACGATAACAGTTGAGACACTGACTATTAACCGAGACACTGACTATTAACTGAGACACTGACTATTAACTGAGACACGACTATTAACAGAGACGATAACAGTTGAGACACTGACTACAACTGACACTGACTATTAACCGAGACACTGACTATTAACCGAGACACTGACTATTAACCGAGACACTGACTATTAACAGAGACGATAACAGTTGAGACACTGACTATAACCGAGACACTGACTATTAACCGAGACACTGACTATTAACCGAGACACTGACTATTAACCGAGACACTGACTATTAACAGAGACGATAACAGTTGAGACACTGACTATTAACCGAGACACTGACTATTAACCGAGACACTGACTATTAACCGAGACACTGACTATTAACTGAGACACTGACTATTAACAGAGACGATAACAGTTGAGACACTGACTATTAACCGACACTGACTATAACCGGAGACACTGACTATTAACCGAGACACTGACTATTAACCGACACTGACTATTAACCGAGACACTGACTATTAACTGAGACACTGACTATTAACTGAGACACTGACTATTAACAGAGACGATAACTAGGAGACACTGACTATTAACCGAGACACTGACTATTAACTGAGACACTGACTATTAACCGAGACACTGACTATTAACTGAGACACTGACTAACAGAGACGATAACAGTTGAGACACTGACTATTAACCGAGACACTGACTATTAACCGAGACACTGACTATTAACTGAGACACTAACTATTAACCGAGACACTGACTATTAACTGAGACAATTGACTATTAACAGAGACGATAACAGTTGAGACACTGACTATTAACCGAGAAACTGACTATTAACTGAGACACTGACTATTAACTGAGACGATAACTAGTTGAGACACTGACTATTAACCGAGACACTGACTATTAACCGAGACACTGACTATTAACTGAGACACTAACTATTAACCGAGACACTGACTATTAACTGAGACACTGACTATTAACAGAGACGATAACAGTTGAGACACTGACTATTAACCGAGACACTGACTATTAACTGAGACACTGACTATTAACCGAGACACTGACTATTAACCGAGACACTGACTATTAACTGAGACACTGACTATTAACAGACGATAACAATGGAGACACTGACTATTAACGAGACGATAACTGCTGAGACACTGACTATTAACTGAGACACTAACTACAATCGAGACACTGACTATTAACTGAGACACTGACTATTAACTGAGACACTGACTATTAACTGAGACACTGACTGT